ATTCGTCTTTTTAAAGAATTTATTCTTAGTAAACTCCTTTAAAAGATTTTAAATAAAAATCGTTATTAAAGTATATATATTTTAAAATCTTTTTCTATATAATAGCTTAGATAAGATTTTTTTTTAAATATATTATTAATACTTAAAATCTTATTTTTAAACTTTAATCTAAGCTTAATTAAAAAGAAATTAATTTAATATTTCTTAAAAAATAGAGATAAATAAATCTTTAATTTTTTTAAATAAATCTTAAAAATAAATATCTTCTAATTAAAGCGATATTTAATCTTCTCTTATTTTTTATAAGCGAGAAGATAATAATTTATCAGATTCGTAATTAAATTAAGTAAAAATTACTTAAAGAATTTAAAGATTATATTTTCTAGACTATAGATTTAATAATATTTATATTATTAAATATTAAAATTATCTTTTAAAAATTATATATAATAAATAATTCTTAATTAATTAATAGTAAAATATTTAGAATTTATAAAAAATTTAATTTTAATTTCGCGGAATTAGTGTAGATACTTTCTCTTATTAATACTCTTATAAAAATCTTTTTTTTTAAAGCGAAGTATTTTTATCTTAATTAGTATATTTATTAAAGCTATAATAATAATTAATATAGATAGACTCTCGCTAATTATAAATAATAAGCTAATATTATAAAGCTTACAATTATAAGCCTTTAATATAACTAACTTTTATTCTTATTTTAAATAATACTTTTCGATTTTAATAAATATAAGATATTATATTATAATAAGATTTTCTATTAATAAAAATTTTTTCGAATTAGCTATCGACGCTATAGCGGTTATTAATATTATCTTTATTATTTATTTTATAATTTAGAAATAAATTCGATATTAAAATAATAATAAATCTTTTTCTTTAAAAGATAAAGAGATTAAAGTTATAAAGGCGTAATCTATTAATAATTAAATAGTAAATATAAGTTATAAAATATATAAAGGTCGTTATAAAATTTAATAATATATTTAATAATAGAACTAATCTAAAATTTTCAATTTTTTTAAACGATATTATATTTATAACTTATTTATAATAATTTAATTTTAAATATCATTTAAATTTAAAACTAAGAAGTTTATAATTAATATTAAGCTAGTAAGAGTATAAAGAAGATTTAATCTAAGATTTTTTTTTTTTTAGATTCTTATTTAATCTAGCTAGATTAATCTTTATATAAATAAAAGATTTTCTTTTAAATAATCTTTTAAGTAGTAAGCTTCTTTAACTATAGCTACTAATTTTTTAATAATATACTTTCTTCTTAATTATATATTTAATATAATTAATAAATAAATTATTATTACTTTAGAAGAAAGATAGATAGTATTATATTAGAGATTTAATAATATATATAATAACTCTATATTATAGTATAAAGAGAATATTATCTATATAGAATTATTATAAATATAGACTTTATAGTAAGATAGAAAGATCGAAAGATCTTAATACGCTAAGTTTAATTAGATTATAATATAAGTAAGATTATAAGATTATTAAAATCGTAATATAATCTATAGAATTATATTAATATTACTTTAAATAGCTTATTTATTTTAATAAAAGATATATTTATAAAGCTTAATATTAAAGCTTCGATATTTAAAAGATAATTAATCTTAATTTATTCTATTAATATAATAATTTTTCTATAAAAATCTAATTAATATTTATTCTATAAAGAGATTTTAATAATAATAATATACGCGAATAGAGAGATGAAAATAAGTATTTCTTTTATTTCTAACTCTTTAATTTTTATATATAAGATTTTTAAATCTCTAGCGACGACTTAATTAAAAATTTTTAATTTTTTAATTTTTATAATAATTCGATAAGAATATTCTTCTCTATGTCGACGACTTTTAGAATTATATTAATTTATTCTTTTATTAATAAATCTATATTTTTATATAAGATATTATCGTTATTAAAACGATATTTAATTTTTAGATATTTAAAAAAAAAAAAAAAAATTAAATTCTATTTATTAATAGCTTAGAATATTTATATTCTTATATATAAGAATTTTTGATAATAGTATTATTATTTCTTTTAGTAAAGAAAGAATTATATTAATTATTTAAGAGGATAAAGTTTTTATAACTATTATTAATTTTATTAATCTCTTTCTTACTTTTTAAACTTAACGCGTTATTAATAGCTCGAAGATCTATATTTAATATTTATAGAAAAATAATTAATTCTTAAAAAGTATTAAAAGATTATTCTAAAATTCGATATTTTAGATATATAAAGATTAATTATTTTAGATTAAATATCTTATAAATCTTAATAAATCTTAAGAAAGTAATAGTTATAGAGAATTATACGTAGAAATTCTTAAATAATTTCTTCTTATCTATTACTTTTATATTAAATTTAAAATTAAATATCTTAATATTCGATTTAATAATCTTATTATATATTTTAAATATATTATTTAATTTATTAATTATTTCTTAAATAATTTAATATAAGTCTAAGATATCTTTATTTACTCTTTTTTTAATAATATTATATATAGTAAATTTATAATAATTTTATATATAATCGATTTTCTTAAATTTAATAAAGAAGATTATAATACTTTATTTAAATTTCGCTTTAAGATATTAATATTATCTATTTTATTTATCTCAATTATTAATATTATAAAAATTCGAGATATTAAAATATTATTTATTTAATTTTATATTCTTTATATAATTTATAATAAAGATATAATATAAGTTTCGATAAATACTATTAATAGAAATACTCGACTAATAAGATATAATCTCTATATTTTTTTTATTAAAGTTTTTTAAATTAGCTAATATAAGAGATTATTATTCTTTTAACTATTATTCTTTATATCTTAAATCTTATTTAAAATTTTTATTTCTTTTAATAAGTTTTATAATATTAATATAATATCTATTATATAAACCTCGAAGTTTATTATTAATTTCTCGCTTATAAAATAATTAACTATTATTATTATTTAATTAAATAATAATTATTAATATTTTTATCTTAGCTTAAGCGATATTATAATTAAATTCTTTATTTTATTATTAAAGTATCTTAATATTATAATTAATAATTTAAAAGCTTTTTATTAATATCTTTAATTTATTATATTAAATATTAAAAGTTTTAATAACGCTTTTTATAAAATTTTATAAATTAATAATAAAGATAAAGATTATAATTAACTCTTTTTTAATAATATCTATAAATTATACTCCGATATAATTTAAATTAAATTTAATAATATATCTTTTAATAATAAAACGCTTTTTTTTACGTTATACGAATAATCTAGCTTTACTAATATTTAAGATCTTCTTATTAAAGTTCTTAAGTTCTTCTAAATAATAATATATTTATAATTTATTTATAACGATTTAACTTTAAATATTATTTAGATTTAGAGTTAAGAGATTTATAATTAATATTAAATTAGTAAGAATACGAAAGAGATTTAATCTAAGATTTATTTCTTTTAATATATTAAAGATATATATATTTTTCGAATTTTTATTTAATTTAGCTAGATTAGTCTTTATATAAATAAAAGATTTTTTTTAAATAATCTTTTAAGTAATAAGCTTCTTTAGCTATAGCTATTAACTTTTTAATAATATACTCTCTTTTTAGCTATATATTTAATATAACTAGTAAATAAATCGCTATTACTCTAAAAGAAAGATAGATAATATTATATTAAAGATTTAATAATATATATAATAACTCTATATTATAGTATAAAGAGAATACTATTTATATAGATTTATTATAAGTATAGACTTTATAGTAAGATAGAAAGATTAAAAGATCTTAATATATTAAGTTTAATTACGTTATAATATAAGTAAGTAAGATTATAAGATTATTAAAATCGTAATAAATTTATTTATTTATAGTAAATTAATCGATCTAATTAAAGAGCGTAATAAACTTAAATTTATAATTAGCTATATATATAAATTTAAGATTTTTAAATTTAATTTTATTTTATTCTTTTATATATATTAATAATAATAATAATAATAATAATAATAATAATAATAATAATAATAATAATAATAATAATAATAATAATAATAATAATAATAATAATAATAATAATAATAATAATAATAATAATAATAATAATAATAATAATAATAATAATAATAATAATAATAATAATAATAATAATAATAATAATAATAATAATAATAATAATAGTAATAATAGTAATAATAATAATAGTAATAATAATAATAATAATAACTTAAATATTAAGAGAGAGATAATATCTAATTTAAGAATATAGAATATCGTAAATAGTCTATATCTACTTCGACTATTTATTATTCTATTTATCTTATTATTAAAAATTTACTTAATTAATTATTAATAGATTTAAATACTATAAAGAGTACTATAAAGAGAATATTTCTAATTTTACTCTAAGGATTTAATATATTTAAGTGTTATTACCATGTTTTGATTGGCTGGACAAAAAGCCCGATAGCATAGTGAAATATGAGCGGTGGATCGTATTCTTGTAACGCAGTCAACCACTCACGACGGCCGAGTTTTGGAAATTCCACCAGTCAGCCGGTGCCCTTGCGTGCGTTCTTCCCACGATCCACGAGAAGGCCAAATAAAATAACAGAGACTTGCTGCGGATCATAACGTTTCGCAATCATTGGTCTCACCCGTTGCCGCCCTCTGAGATTTCATCCTTGATCCAAGTAACATTCCGAGGCGTCTCACAGGGACCTTATCGGTGTGAATGAAGGAAAGCCTTGCCCACCGTGTCACACCCATTTTACCAGCCTCCACTCAAGACCTAGGCCGTCAGCCCAGGCAAGAAAAGTTCCAGAAAAAAAATACTCATCCTCTGTGACAATTTTCAATAATCACAACGGGCACTTGAAGTTTGCGCGGAGTGCGCAGGAACTACGAAGGTAGACCGATCTATGCCCGCATTACGGCAAGCAAATTGGAATGTGAGCGATGGCGATTTGCAATCCTCCACAACAAATTACGCGCAAGCAGGCCGTGACCAGGTCTACGAGAACCCATCAAGTCCAACAGAGTCTCCACGTCATAGCGTCTCAAGTCTACCCTACCCCTTCGATTCCCAATCCTCCTTAGAGAACGACAATGGCAGCCACGGTATGTACCGCACTGAGGTTGAGACGATGTCAAGGAGTTGACAGGAGGGCCAGCATGGAGAAGAAGCTTGATCGCACGCATTATAGACACGTTTCAACTGTCCAAGAGCTATCTGCCGGGGCATGTCAAGGGCGATGTAGATCAGATCATACATTCACGTAAGCCTTCTCCCCTTCTACTTGTTCGTCAGGCTTATACTTTGATTGTAGTCAATGAATACTGTTCAGGCTATGGAAAAGTCGCTGCGATCGAGAATTTGGACTCGGACTTTTTGATGTGTGTATTCTAGGACTCCATAATTTCTTTTCCGCGCGGATCTTGAGTCTTGAGACACAGCGTGGAAGTTTTCTCTCTTCAAACGTGTTTTAAGCCTTGATATTGCCCCCTCAAATAGGCATCACTAACCGTGAAATTGTAATCCAGATACAGGAAATTTGGATGGCTTCGCAATTACGCTCTGCTACACCTCCAGGATGAACTTGCTGCTCTCCAACATGAGTTGGAGGAATTTGATAAATGGGATTTCAGAGATGGTGATCAGAAGCGGCTAGTTTCGCGCCAACTGGACTATGGACGCCCAGACTCAAGACGTAGGGAGATCATGGCCAGTGTGCACGGCAAGCTTAGAGAATATGGCACGCTCACAGCTTCTTTCCGGTCCGGATTCGCATACTAATGCAATAGCAGATGAAGCGCTGTTGCGAACGCAGAAAATCCAGGCGATCAAAAGGCCTTCTCGCAGATCTCAGCGGAACGTGCATAATCTGATACACAATACTGAAAGCCTAGTCCGCAACGAAGCTGACTGGATTCGTGAAGGAACCGACCTAGCTGCTCTAGGTTGTGCTGCCGACCGAGGGTGGCTGAATACTTGTCTCGAGAACACATTAAACACAATATCAAGGACCGCTACTAAAGTGAGTGCTCAACATCGCCTGCGTCGTGTTTCTGTTCAACGCCACTCCAGTATGGTGTGGCCACGTTTCCTCTGCCTGTGACCATATATGGTTCAGGTTCAAGCCTTCCATGCATTTCTGTGGACCTCGTCTGTGGCTCTAACATTGCTGAACAGAAGCTCTTCCAAACTCACGAGCAGGAAATTAAGACTGGAGACGAAGCACTCCACTTGGTCTCTCTCGACCGCCTCGACAACGTCCTGCGCGCTATCGTTACGATGGTAGCAGCGATTTTACTGCTCGTCCCCGTATACGTGCTTTTCAAGTTGCAACCAACCAACATGTCAGATGTCGAGCGGAGGGGCAACTACCAGATCCTCACAATCTTCATCTTCACCCTGCTCTTCTCCGCCTCTTGCTCAATCTTTACGCAGGCAAAGAAACAGGAAGTTTTTGCTGCAACTGCCGCATACTCCGCTGTGCTGGTTGTGTTTCTAGGAAACACATCAAACGTCTTGGTGGCCACGGAAAATTAGATGGCCATGGAGAATTCAACACTCTGAGCTGCTTTTAGCTTTCCTACTCTTCGTGCCTTCTTCGAACATATTTTCCGCTTTGCCGGTGCTCATAGCTGGCAGTTGTACATGGTTTGGTGCTTGCTTTGCTTGGAGAAATTTGGAGAAAATATACCCTTCATTTAACGGGACGGACTAAAGACGGCTTTGATTTTGAAAGACCACTAATTTTGGATATTTTATTTTCATTGGTATACACGTTCCTTGACCTTTGCGTTCTAGTGATATTGCGTATAGTCTTTGGAATGAAAAAGCATGGAAAGAGTTACAACAACGAGTTTCTGGACCTCTTTGTACGTCAGACACATCTTAATGTGCGCCTAAATAATGTTTCCTCCTATACCGCTTATTCACAGAGTCAAGGGGGCCATACGGGGGCGTAAAGACTTTCAACCTTCCTGTCGCTTATCGCAAGTTCAAAAAACAATAGCTGCATATTGGGAGTATGTGCACAGTGCGGGCTACCATACCACTTCCGCTGGGACACGGTTACCTGCTTAACTGTGCATCTGATTGACAGGGTGCTTTCACTGGACTACCTAGGGTCTCAAGGTGCTTCATATATACAGATCGTCTTCGGAACCCGTTTGTCTCAACAGCAGGGGACGCTGGTGAATACAACAATACCTTAAAGCCGAAACAGGCTTTCAAGGGCACACCAGTTCAAACATCTTGATCAAATATGGAACGACAGATTGCGGTAAAGACTTCCGTTGTGGATTTCCACGCTCTCAAGCTCATGCCGATTTCGCAAGGCTTTAGGATTACGTCTAGATGCATTTCATTGATCGAGTTGTGCAAGATCACTGATCGATGCGATTATCTCTCCTCATTTCCAACCAGTCAGAGCAACCACCTCTCTTCTTCGGTATGCATTACGAATCCACGTTTCCCGCACAATTATTGAAGATCAGCTTCAATCTGATCAAAAGAGAACAGCATTTGCCCTTTGATTGAATGTCTGTGCGTAACGCCGAGGGCTTTGGAAGAAGTTCCTCGTCCAGACTCCCGATGCTAACAATTACAGGACCGGATACCTCCCGGTAACAACCGCGAAGCGGATCCGCCTTTAGCGATCCCAATACGGCTAAGGTCTTGAATAATATCGGTCTTAGGCCCGTACGGTACTGTACCTAGATGCAGATACGGCTATGGCTATTCTGCTAGAGTAACTCAGAATGGTCGAAGCTCCGGAAGGGGGGATCTGTAATAGGGGTTTTCAGAGTAACTCGGCAAAACCGAACGATTTATGTGGATTTAGGTTTTTTGTGGATATATGAATTGTGGATATGTGGATTACTCTGAACACCCCACTACCAAAAAGGCCTGATTTCTATGATATTCTCGGAAATTCGCTTTTGAAACCCTAGCCCTAAGTAGCTCGAGAAAGATGCCTTGTCTTCTCAACATTAGGAGACGCTGGTCCGAATCCAACCCCAATACTCTTAGAGCCGAAACAGGCTTTCGGAAAGGCACCACCAGTTCAAACATCTTGGTCAAACATGGAACGACAGATTGCGGTAAAGACTTCCGTTGTGGATTTCCACGCTCTCTAGCTCATGTCGATTTCACAAGGCTTTAGGATTAGGTCTAGGGTGCATTTCATTGATCGAGTTGTGCAAGATCACTGATCGATGCGATTATCTCTCCTCATTTCCAACCAGTCAGAGCAACCACCTCTCTTCTTCGGTATGCATTACGAAATACAGAGGCGTGAGATCTTCCATCGCTACATTATTGAAGATCAGCCGTACAATCTGATCAAAAAGAACGGCGAGGATTCATGCCTTTGAAAACTTGGCCATTGAATGTCTGTGCGTAACGCCGAGGGCTTTGGAAGAAGTTCCTCGTCCAGACTCCCGATGCTAACAATTACAGGACCGGATACCTCCCGGTAACAACCGCGAAGCGGATCCGCCTTTAGCGATCCTTCGATATGGCCATATAAGGTCTTGAATAATATCGGTCATTAGCCCGTCGGGTGCTGCAACTAGTGCAGATGCGGCTGCGGCTGCACTGCTAACCCGAATGGTCGAAGCTCCAGAACGGGGGGATCTGCAATATTCGATTTGGAATTTATCCGCCGGATTTGATATTAGATCCTGTCATCGTGCCTACCTAAGCCCATTCATCTCATAGTTTTTCCAACTCTAGGGACGGACGCTTGACTCCTGCGTGGGGTCTGCGGCGTAGGTGGGTTGGCATTGCAAGGGTCCGTATCACGACTTGATTGGCTAGTTGGAGTTGATCTCCCTCGTCTCCCCGAAAGCGCGTACCTACTGATGCCAAATCAGTCCACCTGGGATTACGTCCACAGTTCGAGAGTACTCCATGCCCCAAGGACGGGACTTTGATCGGACTCTGATCACTTAGGGCACACTCAAGATCTGCCGTCAGCTATTCAACAATTTTTGACGTCTGACGTCTCCAATTTGATACAAAGCCTATTCAGCGAGGAGGTGTTAAAAAGTTGTACAGCATGGGTACAGCTCGGGCCAAGGCTCGATCGGCGCGGCCGAGGCTTGATGCGGCAAAATGGTCAAAAACCGGGGAAGTGGGTGCTGAATCCTAGCCTCACATTTTACATTTTCCCTGAGCTTCATTGGCGTACGGACTTGGGAATCCGTAACCTCCGCTCGTTGAAGCTTCTCCGTGTTTCAAACGCTGAGGACGTGGAGTTCAACGTCCGGCACTGCGGCCAGACATCCTGTTCCTCGAGTCTACGAAGTTAATGTCTTGCAAAGGCTATTGAAACGACGTCACTTTTGTCGCATCATCTTGCTCCTTCTCCTCCGTCTCAGCCTTCGGCACCTGCTCTTGCTCACCGCTTCCCGCAACAGGCTCTGTTTCTCCGTTTCACTCTTCGGCGCCTGCGCCTGCTCACTGCTGCTTCCCACAGCACTATCTTCCCCCTCCCCCCGGTCCGAGTCCCTAGCCTCGGCGTCGTACCGCGACTACTCCGCTCGCCTATCACCAATTCACGTACCATCTCGCTACGTTTCCGCGCCTCGCTCATGTCTTTTGTCTCATCCCATTCCAAAATAGGGTCCCTGAAGTGAGGCGCGGATCCTAATCACCGTCAGGCATGCACTCTTTGACTTCGCCCTCATCTCCAGGCACGTCTTTCAGATTACAAAAAATACTACTTCAACTTTCCCCCTCTGATTAACATGTTTATGATCCAATAGGGCCTGCCTATGGTGATGTCATCGGACTCGACTTATACTTTATCGCCGAATGCAAGGAAGGGGAGTTGTTGTCAGTATGTTGGGTGAGATGATGATTGTGGATTGCAACTGCCCTGTCTTCGGGATCTCTATCGAGAGAGGGAGTCGAAGTTTGAGACACTGAGAATTAAGTCGCTAGTAATGGAGGAGCCGGCTTTCTGCGTTCTTTGCGTCAGATTGTGATGGAATTAGGTTGGAGAAAAGCTCGACGATGCTGGGGAAGCACCGTGTTCTGTGTCCGCTGACTTCGGAAGTCACCCTGTCTTCTACGCCGTGTAGACCTGTAGATTGACAAAGCACATGTTTCGGGTGATTTCTCGTTAGCAGATGGGTCGTCTTGGGCGTTCTCGCGGCATCCAGATTATTGTCGGGAAATGTAGGATCCTCTTCCCCCCAAGAAGCCCGCCATATACAGCTGCCTCTGTTCTCGAATCACAATGACCTACGATGGAGCAAAGCAACTTCTATATCGTTATGCCGTAAATGAATCAAGTAACCGCACCCCTTGCTTCGATCTGACTTGGTTTCCAATACATGTTGTTGAGTGGCCGAATTACTCTGTCCAAGAAGACGTAGTCCCTGCCTATTGCAGTGGTTCGAGCACTCCACTGGTAGCCATAGGCAAAGAGTGCCGAGGAAAGACAGGGAAGATCCCATCACCCGCGACGACAAGAGCCAGTGCACAAATCAAAAGTATGAGAAGAGCTTTGCGTTTTGTTCTGGCTGTGATGCCGGCTCCACAGTATATACTGCGTGTCAGTTGGGAGCTGTGTCTGCGTAGTCGGCAATATCAATGAACCACTTTGTTTTCAGATGCGCAAATGCACAATACTGATTGTGGATGGCTCGCCTTGCAGAGAATGTTACGTCTTCGAGACAAGCGTAGCTTTATCTCAAAGTTTAAACTTTTCTCGATTGTGCCTTGGTCAGTGTCAAAGTCTTAATCTTCTCGATTATGCCTGGGTGACCTCAATGTCAAAAGTCTTATCCTAACCGGTGATCCGAATGTATGTGAATTATAGGACGGCAATGGCGGCAAGATACTCCGGCAAGGGGCTACTTTACTTTATCATTGCGTCAGAGCAGGATAATGATGTCTCGCACCTGGAATTGCTCCCTCGGTCGAATTGCACTGTTCGACAAATCTGCTCTGTACCCACGATCTACACTGGCACCGTCGAAATCTATAGAGATATCTACTCGCATACCTTCTCAATACCGCAACAATGAGCACGTCATACAAGTTTCAAGGATGGCTAGGTCTCGACCCCAGCTCCGTCAAGGGTAATATGAAATGGCAGGGCTACGAGCCCAAGACGTGGGAGGAGACCGACGTCGATATCAAGATCACGCATTGTGGCATCTGTGGCAGTGATCTACACACTCTTCGCAGTGGCTGGGCTCCAACAATTTACCCATGCTGTGTTGGGTATGTCGTCGCCTCCAAAGGATTGAGCTGCATTGGCTAAGTCGCAACAGGCATGAGGTCGTTGGCACAGCGGTCAAGGTCGGCAGCAAGGCTGAGAGGGGCATTAAGTAAGATCGAAGAACATTCCACATTGGCCTTGGTCATGGTGCTAATTCATTATACAGAGTTGGTGACCGTGTTGGCGTTGGCGCCCAATCGTCCTCCTGCCTCAAGCCAGATTGTGAGGAATGCGCGAGCGGTATGGAGAACCACTGCATGAACATGGTCGGCACCTACAATGGAAAATACGATGACGGCAGCAAATCGTACGGTGGATACTCGGATTACTGCAGGGCACCGTCACACTTCGTATTGAAGATCCCTGATGCCATTCCATCTGAAGAAGCAGCGCCTATGCTCTGCGGTGGTATCACGGTCTTCTCACCCTTGAAGAAGAACGGATGTGGGCCGGGCAAGAAGGTTGGCATTGTTGGCGTTGGTGGACTAGGCCACTTCGGCATTCTCTATGCTAAGGTACTATCAACTGTTCTGTTGAAGACGGAGAAGCGACTAACCTGCCTTAGGCCCTCGGAGCTGATAGCGTCACCGCCATAAGCCGGTCGGCTGCGAAGAAGGAGGATGCGATGAAGATTGGAGCCGAGAAGTACATCGCAACAAACGATGACAAAGACTGGGCCACCCACCACGCTCGCTCGCTAGATCTCATTGTCAGCACGGTCTCCTCGCCCAACATGCCACTCGAACAATATCTGATGCTTCTCCGCACCAATGGCACGTTCATTCAAGTCGGCGCGCCCGAAGATAGATTGCCAGCTTTTAATGCCTTCTCGCTGATTGCAAAGGGCTGCAAGATCGGCGGGAGCGCGATTGGTGCACCGCATGAGATAGAGGAGATGTTGGAGTTGACGGCGAAGAAAGGCGTCAAGCCTTGGATTCAGAAGAGGCCGATGAAGGATGCGAACGAGGCGGTGGTAGATATGGATGCGGGAAAGGCGAGGTATCGCTATGTGTTGGTCAACGAGGCCCATGCTTGAGATACAGGCAGCCTCCCCTCAGGAGATAGATACGATGCATAAACAAGTCACATGAATCAAATCCTGCCAATTGGAAAGACAGATGAAGTTCAGATTTAACATTACGGACTTAAACAGCACCACGACTACTACTCCTACTATTCACCATGAGACTGCAATCATGCAAGGTTTGATCCTCGACCCCGGCCGAGACGACACCGTAACCACGACATCTCCACCGCTCGACCGTCGCAATCGGCCGCCGTCCATCCATCAGCCCCCCCCTCCCAAAATATAGACCAGAAGACCCCACGGCATGTGCGCAAGAACCGGTGTCGGAAAAACCATGCGTGTTTGGAATCAAAATCCCAGGTACACCCACGCTGGCCCCAAGTCGTCGGCGTCCAACCCAACCAATTCACTAACTCACCCGCCGCCATGAATGAACGAACGAAGCGGGCCCAAACTCCGTCTTGATCGTCGGTCTAAATGTCCGGTGCCCGTTCCATCTAACATATCAAGAAGGGGATGGATCGAAGAACGACTGCTTCACGCTACTCTACCTACGGCTCTGGGCCCCACCAATCTAGCCACATCGAAATGGTGGCGTGAGAGAGTGTGCAGCTCGGGAGCTTCGGGCCCCCTCCCGGGCGAGATACCCGGACCGAGGATGACCTGCCTATGACGGATGGGTCTTCGGTAGTTATTTGGGGGGGGGGGAGGAAAAGCTCCTCCCGGCCTGGGTAGGTACAGTACAATCTTTTGGGATCGCGCCAGTCTCATCGTCACTGCTTTTATGCCTTTTGTGATTCGCACCTTCCATACGGATATTACCTGTTTTCGCCGTTTCGAGCATTTCTATCGTCGTCGCTATCGCCTCCGCGTCCCCGCGTTCGGGAGTCCCGTCTCATTCGGTATCGTACAGATCCTTCTTCCTAATTATTCTCCACCCCCAGCGGCGCGGCGCATCAGCCATTAGCCCCACACATCCCCCGGCCCGAGGAACACATGACGGTTATCCGTGCAAGCTGTCCCATAAGCTTCTCCCAATTCCATTTGCGCACTTCAGGCTGCTCAAATTGTTCTCCTTTCTCTCTCTCTCTCTCTCTCCCTCCCTCTTTCGACACTATCATCTTCTTATCCTACAGCCGTGGTGTGGTTCTCCATTTTATTCAATGTCTCACAACCCTGAATCGATGAGTTCATGCTCGTCAAAGAGTGCTAGGAACCAATTGGATGGCTCAAGTGTCCTTGAGCAATCCGAGCGAAGGATGCCAGCGAAGGATTCTCAGAGGGATCGTTGCGGATAATCCGGCGGTAAGACGTTGAAGGACGCGCCAATGGCCTGAACACATAGTTTTTTGGCATGCCGTAGTAGCTGCCGCCATTGGACTGAAATACGAGAAGACGTAGTCCATTGTTGTCTTGGTCGACAGGTTGAAGTGGTTGGCTTCGTAGATCTGGGGGTGGTGGGGGGATTTTTAGTCTGTGCCCACGCAACACGCGTAGTGATCCATGCTGAGCAGGGATCTTTTTAGACTTTCTCTTTGGCTTCAATCTAAGACCGAGCTTGTCCCGATCTGGAAATCGTGCAGGAAGGGCTCGGAAGCTGGCAAGGAAGGCTTGACCGCCTCGACCGCAAGAGCTGTGTCATGAATCTCACGATGTTCTCCTGCAGAGAGCACCACATCACTAGAGAGGGTGCATGAGCACACAACGATCTGAAAACCTCGGCTGAAAACTCACTTTGATTGCTGACTCTAGCATGCCCATGCCTTGACATGAATGGAGATGTCTATTCTGACATATCCTCTGAGGCTCGCAAAAGCAAACCCTGCGTCCGGAACAAGAGGATCAGAAAGACCGATGGGAACCAAAAGCAAGCCGCATAATTTTCCAATTGCGCCGACCAATAGGGTATCACAAAAGCCGCCCAAGATTGATGATCCAGAATGCTAAGCCAGTCTGTCCCAAGTCTAATGACTAGAGGTTGTATGTGCCGGGGCGCGCTCCATGGAAAGGAGTGCCGTTCAAAGTAGAGGGTTGTGAGTTGTACTCCGGAATCAATTGGTTGAAAGATCGACTGAACATGCACTACGTGTGTCTAGGTCGCATTTCAAAGTGATGTAGACCGTTCGTGCCAGCAGATGCATCGACAACAGGGGAAGCTACCGCACTGCTGTCGGCGTTGACATCATCGTCGTCAAACCAGTCATTGACCGCGCCGAGAAGCATCTTCCAGACGTTCCCATCCGAATGCTCTGTATCGACAATGTCCCTGGCCTATCATTAGCACCATGGCTCGCATGCTGAGAGGTCAAGATGCGTACATTGATAGGCCCAAGCCGGAGTCCAGCTGATTGAGGCGATTGATGCCGTCAGGATCATTGCCGAAACGGATGAACTGGATTCCAAACTGTTCTCTCTCCATAAAATTCTGCTCGAGGCTGCCCACCAGCTTTTTGATCATTGGGGCTGGGTCGCAGCCGGGCTGCCAAATCCCATCAGTAAAGATATATAAGTTCTGGCGTCGTACCGGCCGCGCTGACTTCAACAGTTTGAATAGTGATCTCGTTGGTTTTCGATCCCTTAATTTGTCGTGATAATCTTGAAAAATGTCCCCCAGTTGTATTCTGATATTAGATGTGCCAACATATCGCACTGTCTCTAAAGTTCGTAGGAGCTGACCAGTGTTTTTCGCTCTCTCTTTTCTATCACGCGACATTGTGAACTGTATTTCTATACCATCAGGGTCTGTCCCCTTGACTATATATCCAAGCAACCCGAAAAGATTCTCCACTTCTCTACGATAAGGTCGCATGGAGAGGGAGTTGTCGATCAAAAAGACCTGGCAGTATTGTAAGTATTAAGAACAGCAGATGCAACGCTGACTCACGTGATCCCTCTTGTTCAGATCTGCCAGAAGATCATCATGAGGCAGCCTGACAGGTCTATGCTCCTTTTTGTCCTTTTTCCACTGCTGAGCGTCGGTGAGAGACAGAGAAGGAGGGCGTTGCCTTGACCGGGTTTCTATAGGAGGGGGAACGTTGGATGAACCAATTGATACGAATCCGGGGTGCTGCATTCCTGAACCAATGTTTGGATGGTGTTGGCCGCCTCGTGAGCCATTGTGTCGATCTTGAACCAACGTCGCAGTACTAGCTCTTGACACTCCTCCTGGTGGAGCCGTGGGTGTATCGCGCTGATTGAGGTCGTAGGTCTCTCGTCGGTCGTGGGAAAACATATGAGGGCCGTTCCTAGTATTAGCACCCGAGAACAGATCAGATGGAGTTCGACGTCGCTTGCGGTGTGTACTCTGTGGTTCCTGCCACGAGGGACTAGAAGGGTTGTCTTGTGATAGATCGACTTCGGTGAAGGCGCGATTCAAACGGTTTTCAGGGATTTGATATTGGTCCTCGGATTCGGAATAGCTTGGATTACTGACCAAGCCTATACTTTGTTGCCGGGTCGGCCGATCGCTGTAGTGCACTTGCCGGGATGCCCTTTTGCCGACGAAATCATCGACGGGCTCTTGGTCATGAGCCTTATCCTCATCATACGATATACTCGCTGGACTACCATGGCTTTTGTGTGAGGGTAAGTGTTGGCTGCGGGAGTTGCTGGAACGAGTATGAACGTGTCCAGGCGGTGGCTCGGGAGGTGTGCGAGGTGGCGATTGGGCACCAGTTCTGGAGTCGTTGCTGCCAGCACCCGTATACGACCCAGATCTTTTCAGCTTAGACTCTGCACCTTCCAAAATCCTCTTGGTTTGATAAGTCAAAGATTTCGCATGTGTCCTACTGTTCGCCTCTATCAACATCTGTTTCGTCACCATGTCCACCGTTGCTCCAGAGACGTGGTCGCGGGGACGTATGTCATCAGGGAGATTTCTGTGCATCCCCATGACAGTAGCAAGCACTTCCCGCCCGTCGTGAAAACAATCGCCATCTCTGAAGCCTGGGATTCGCGCAGTCTCAATTCCACGTCGTCGGCGGTATTCTTTCAATCCACCTTTTCCGTGAACGACCCATACTGCTGCCTCACTGAGAGTGCAGCCAAGGCTCCAGATGTCTACGTTCTGCTTTACTAGAAAGCGAATTTTCTCGATGTCGCTGTCAGCTCTATAGCACTCCGGGGCACCTGAACAACCGTCAGCCAGGGTGAAGTCGGACAATTTGTCGGAGTGTAGCCTACCGTACGCGCGAGTACCATAAGTGTCTCTATCGGTTGCGTCTCCTTGTGACGGTACGTGTTTTTTGAAATGGCTCAACCCAAGGTCGGCAAGCTTGAACTCACAGTCATAGTCTGATCCTCCGTTCTTACTCTTCACGAGTATGTTGGAAGGTTTGATGTCTTGATGCCACCTAGAAATATTAGCATGATTCCATGCAGTGTGGAGTTGCTTGAGTACCCTTGAAATATGGATGCGTCGGATGACGCTGCAGAGTCGCTCGGCTGCACACTGTGAATGGCGACCAGAGCCCCAAAAGTCTTGAACAATCCGCGCCAAAACTTTATGGTGTCTTCACCGCTAGAAGGGGGTTGGATAGTGTCGAAGTATTGTTCCAGGGTCCCTCTATCTGCATATTCCAACAACACATTGTATGTTCCATCCCGGACAAAGCTCCCGTGAAAGCCGATGATGTTGGCATTGGGTCCTCCAACATAGTTGAGATTTAGAAACCCGCTCACTTCGTTCTGATAATAGCGTTCGGCATCGGGAGTGTTGTACGTCTTCAATACGAAGGTGTGAGTGTCCTGATCGTTTGAGCCCTACTCGGGATAAGCTATTTCAAAGAGAGGCACTTTGTATTGTTTCTCACCTCTCGAGAAGGAGCCTCACGGCCTAACTTATTATACGCCGGATGCAATTCGATCTTGTGGACGATTGAACTGCCGCCGTGTCCGAGCTTCTTTTTATATATGATTGGCAGTATCAAATCCTTTTCATCAAACTGCACATTCATTCCGTATTGAAGGATTGGGGCGCAGAATTCCCACTGTCGGTGGTAGAACGATTCGAAGAATCCAGCGTTTGCGGTCGATGGTGGAAAACGAGCAGGTCGAGATGTGAAGGGCAGGTATCGATCGCACAGGCTGTCATGGCGGACAAAAGATACGATGAAACGTCCATTGCCGGTAAGTACAAGTATGAGGAAGACTTTGGCATAATTTTTCCGGATGGTCTCAGGATCCACCTGGGGAGGGTCATGGGGAAATAGAGCTGCCAGGAGCTTCTTTACTGGTCGAATGTCCTGAAAGTAGGCCTCGATTTCTGAAACTGGAATGAATGGCCGATCTGTTTCGAGCCCCGCACCTCCGGTACCTAGCCGGCGCGCTCCCTCGGCCCATGTGAGAAGATCCTGGATGTGTGGGTGGTCGTCAGGCTGCAGCTCGACCATTCTGGAAGTGGTCGTCGCTTTGGGGGGAACGCAGCCAGGGATGCTGGAGCGTAATAACACAACTGTGCATGCCTGTTTTCTTCGGTAATGTTTTGTGGGTTGCTCTAGAGTGCTTTGGTGGTTTGTTGATGTTGACTGCGGGCCATTTGAACCGAGGGTGCCCCTCGGCTTTATATATTACGGAAGAGCTGACTAGTGTAACGATACTTAGACTTCGACTGTCGCTGATGCTGCAAAAAACCTTTGGCATTGCGACTGACCTCGACACAGCCACTTTGCTTGCTGCCGAGCAATCCCAAGGGCCCGAGGCAGACATGAGCGGGCATGAGGTCGTGCATTTCTGCCTTTTGTAGCTATTAGTTGTCCCATTCATGAAAAACACGCATCAATGCACGCATAGGGGCCCACATAGAGTGTAGATAGTGGATGGGCCGTCTCACGCCGGGGATAGCAAGTCTGATTAGGCCCAAATAGAGGCCTGAACAGGCATATCTCTCGTACCCATGGGCAAGAAAACTCCCATGCCTATGGCATAGACCTGCACATTGACAGGTGAAAAACAGGTGGCTATATAGCTCGTAGTGGACACCTGTCTCCTACCCTTTGCAGGGGTACCGACAGGGCTATGAAACAAGGGCATCTCATGTAACTCATTAACCCCCCAGTCCCACTGTGGCGAATTTACCCTACGATCACTTCTTTTGATGCTGCGCCCTACGCTATGACCATTTCATGCAGTTGGATATCTCTAGGAAGTGACACAATGTTAATAAGTAGGTCTTTGGCATCCTTCGACTTGTCCAATTCTAATCCCGGCTCCATCTGACATTCTTGACCTTCTTAGTGCTCCAGAACTTCGACGGAACCGAATAGGTAATAGCCTCATTGGCCAATTGATCGCACGAACCCTCTGACTTCCTCCGCCGCTAGACATGCGACTTGAGTGCGGTTCTCTGCATACGCAGCTTTTCTTTCCGGGTTTCCCACCAATAGACGCCGTACCAGGCCAACATGGTGACCACTACAAGGGGCAAGCTGATCGCAATGTACAGTCTTAGAGCTCCTAGCTGGACAGTGTTACCGAATTGGCCTGTATTTGTTGCTTTAAATATATCGGTGCTCATGAGTGTCTGCATGGCCATCAGCTAGATGTTGGGAAGAAGATCAACCACTTACCGATATATAGGTGCCTGGGAGGAAGAACAAGGTAACGAGAGTAATTATTCTCATCGAGACCGTTTCTTGTTTTGTTTTCTGTGCAATTACATGCATCTCGCGTGTAATAACTTCCATATTGCGCGTAGATTCATGAGCTTTGCCTGCAAGGATCTTACTAGCTTCCATGTTTTGATTGGCTCTTCGAGCGAGTGTTTTGCTAGCTTCCATATTTCGATACTCTAAGATGCCATATAGCTGCAGGAGATCAGTTTACTCACATCAGACAACTAACGAACACGACATACCAGGCTCTTCCTGTCAGCGAGCAGGCGTAGCAGTGTTTCAGTTCTTGATTGTTGCATTCGAAGATCTTTCTCCACAGCTACAACGCGTGTCTCAAACCGGAAAATGTCCCCTTTGCACTTTAAAATTAGGTCGCGCGGCCATCCATCAGATTCGCAAATGGAGTGGTAATATTGTCTCAGCTCTGTAAGGACATCGACGTTGACTTTAAGTACCAACAGAGTCTCGTTGACCTTCTCCTGAATGAATTGTATTCTCTGCAAATCACTAAAAGAGAAATCTGGGTGGCTAGTTGTGACTTGTGGTTGGAGAGTGTCCAACTCCTGCGATGCTAGGTCCATATCCGACATTGTCTTGCAATTCGAAGTTGATCGACCTTTTAGATGGTACGCTTGTGCAGGCGGTCCTCGTAAGACTGGGTCAGCTAAAGTAATATCGGTACAAGATTTTGCACACTGTGCCAGCATGGAGTGTCCGAGTGGCTCCTCATTAGCCATCGAGCTGGGAAAAGGGTCAACCATTGCCGACAGCGTTGGACGGGTTGTAGTCTGAAGTGCTTCCTCTAGGAAGTTGATGAACCAACGCCAATTCTCTCCAGACCATTCGCACATAATAATATGGACAGCGAGGGATGATGCAAACGCACGGTCGACTGTATCAAAGCACGAGGTTTCTGGAAGACCCCGAGATCCAGTTGCTAATTTGATCCGCTTCTTCAATAATTGATCTCCTTTTATCACTATCCAGTTCGTCCGGCCATTCTCAACGTCGAATGAGTGATACAAAGCCGATTGGCGGATAGACCATGGCCACTCCGGTTGGCCTCTCGACCGCTCTATCGATTTCAGATTATAGCAAAATTGAAAGTTGCGCCCCGACCATCCGAGGTCAGGTATCTTCAACCCACTGTCAACCTCCGAAAATCGATTTTCGTATTTGAAGCCGCTGAAGTGAAACCCTTCGGCGTATTGCTGATTACCAAAAGGGAACAAAAAGTCTAAGAACTGTGGCAGAACCTGGTGATATGTAAACACCAGAGTGAGCATATCCCGAGTTACTTTCAAGCTTGCCCGCGAATGTGGTGCGTGCACAAACCTGGAAGCAAGTAATTGAGCTTCGGAAAATCGTTGGATTCGAGTGTGAGTACACTTACACATATCTGCACCGCGGATCTTCGCGTTCGGGAGGACATCCAACCCGAAGGTGCTTTCTCAGCTCGTCTACATAGCCTATACGTGAAGGCCAGAATGCTGGGGTTGATCAGATTCGAAGCCGTTATTGGGGACTCGTGGATTCAGCTCGAGCTTTGCTAACGCACCCGTGGCCTGTGCATCGAGCTCCCAGAGATCCAATGCCGCCTCAGCGTCGTTCTGAAACAGACTATCTTCTCGTTCATTCAGCCGCTGGTAGTACGCGGTCAAGTTGTATTCGTACGTATTGGGGCGGATCAAGTTCTGTGGATAGGACCTGGCGTCGCGACACGAGGTGGCCAATTGCTCCATTGCACTGTCTCTTGAAGGTGTATCAAGGAAGGCGACTCTGGGCTCTTTATCTTCCAAATTGAGGCACTGCCTCATCAATCGTGTCCTTGAACGGCTACACGGCTAGGAAAACAGCTTCGGTATATCAGCATGCGCCGATGCGGGCGTCTGTGCAATGTCTTGGATGTCCATCTCAAGGCGTTATTTTAGAGTACGACAAGTAAGGAGGTAAGTTCGATATGGATTTTAAGTGCCTGCGGCCTGTTGTTGAAAACAAGGCTAATCTGGGCATTGATGACAGGCAAGACGTAAGGGATGAACGAGAATGACAATAATGGTATTCCCTGGTTACTAGACAGCCCCGCCAAACGTGTAAAATTGACGCCCGACATGCCGAGATGTAGCTAGCGTATGCACTCGACTGACTAACCGCAGCAGAACGCCTTTTACCGGATTCCGAGTGAGCGCATTTCCCTTAGACTGCACTGCCATTGGCACCGCTGCTTCCTGCTTCCTGCCTCCTGCCTCCTGCGCCTTGTTGCCTCGCCCACATTGCGCATCAGTCGTCTTGAATTCGCAGCGCAATAATTTCCTTTTTTTCAGACTTTCGTCCTGTAAGGCTCTCAGTCTCATGACTGTCTGGGGAGACTCACGCTTGATAAAGGTCTTGCAATCCAGAACCTATAGGTGTCGTTGACGTGCTAGAGGTCGCGGTCAGCTATCCCTAATACAACGTCCACATAGGGATAACTTACCTCGACATAGAACTTGTAGTTGCCGAATAGCCTTCTCAAATAGCCTTCGACGATTGACTGGTTTAGGCGATAGGAATCAATAGTATCGTAGACCATGGTGATTCAAAGGTAAGCCGCTGGGGTTACCGAACTTTGGGGCTTCTGGTGCTGTGAAAGAGGCGGTCTCTGTCGCAGGAGGAGGTTTCGTCCGTGAAGGAAAAGGAGGAGGCAATGAAATGGGGCAGGGAATGCTTGTATATATCACCTTGGCCTGTTTGAGTGTAGCCTAGCAATGCAGCGATGGCAAGGTCCGCAGGGCTGACATCGCAAACTACATTAATGGGTTCGGCTGTAACAGCTTGCGCCTCATAAGTATTGGGTCTATGTACCCATGCCTGATTAATTGTATTGGCTAGCCTCGGTAATGCCTGAGCCTCTCGGCAGGGTGAAGACGAGCCTACCTCCTGACCATTTGACCTATTAAAGCTCGCATCTTGTTTTGTCATGGACGTGCCCGGCAGTAGTTCGTTCATATATATGTCAGGCTCAGCGTGATACAGACGACCTAATCAGTGTCAAAGGCATCGCAAGTCTACCGAAAGGCTCCTGTAATCAAGAGGCCGATGTTGACATTCTGAAAGTACAGCTTTGAGCTGGACACACAGTCTCCGTAGAGTTCCAGTGAGCTCAAAAGCCAGTATTGCTTCTGAACATTGGAACCTCGAGTCATGAAACCCTTTGTACATTGGTATGTAGATGTAGATCCGCTGAAAGTGCTCGCTGGTCACTATCGCTCTTGTGTTTGTTTTCCTGACACTCTTTGCTTGGAACATTCTACAACTTCTCAAATGGTCCGAGAAAACAGAGCTCCACCGTCTAGATCTTTTCGAGGACCAAGCTCATCCCAATCATAGAGGAAAGGTCGAAGCCAACAAGCTGGTCGTTGATACGTGGAATTTACTTTCTTAGCCCCGGCCCCTTAGCGCGTCGCCAAGATTGAGCCGGATCCTGAAACCAAGGGCGTCATTGGCCAGTCGCCTCTCACACAAGACATGCTTTTGACGCTTAACGACTATCTCGAGACTATTATCAGCGTTTCAGAAGTTCACATATTGACGAACCTACTTTTATAAACTTGCATTTTTTTGAGGATCTATGTTGAACCCTCACGCTGGTCCGGAGCTTGGTCAACAGCAACCCCGAGATCGTGGACGAAGCCCTTGAGCCCTCGATGTCTACATCTTCCACACAGTCTCGAGGAATCAATAAGCGCTTTAACAGCCTGCAGAATGGGCAACCCGCTCGCAGCGACTCCTACTCCAGCAAGCGGGCCATAAGCCACAACGATGCCTACCTATACGCTCTACGAGTAGCCTACCTTGCATACCTCCTACAGCCTCGAGCTAGGCGAACTCAGCATGTACCGGCACCACAAGCGCCGGTGCAGCGTTCTTCTACCTCTATAAATGATTTAATGAAGGATTTCAGTCTGGTGCGGGACTCCAAGAGCACCAAGTTCCCTCATGGCTTCATGGCGGAGCTCGAGAAGCGCCTGACAGGGGTCTTGATGGCAAAGGAGAAGAGACCGGAATACAATGATGCTGCTGTCAAAAGGACGTTCGCTGCCTTTTTCAACGCCTTCTCGGAGCCAAGCTTCAGGAAACGAATGGAAAAGGATAGACGAGTTGAGGACCTGGTACTCATCTTCTTCTCTAATGCAACGAAAGAGTTATCGAAGGGCAAGCAGCAGGGAGATGATGCGTGGAAGCTGATGGTTGACCGACACCTTGCTCTTTTTGTCCGTCTAGTCAGCCTGGTGCTGAAGGATCATGACTGGGTCAGAGATCGGCCAGACCTTACAAGTCGACTAGCCACCCTGGAAAGCAAATTACTGGCGCACGACCAAGACCTAGCAGCAGCACCAACAAGGAACGGCGCTATTGGAGGCACAACCATTGAGGTAGAAGTTCCTCTAAGCTACGATGTCAAGGACATGCCGCTTGTACAACTGGTTGCCAAAATATTCGGTCTCAGAAACACTATGGTGCAGTCTGATATCAACAAATATAGGTCGGTATGGACAGAGAAAGCGGCGCTACAGGATTTGAAAACATACCAGACGCTCTTAAATCTCAATTCTCGGAAGACTTTACGCAGCGATGACTTCGACCTTGATGAAGCTTATGAACAATGGAAAAAGGGAGAAACACATGATATTTCCCAGCTGATGTTGTCGATAATGCAATCTAATCCGGAGTTGGCAAAGAGCACGACGGGAAATCTGCCCCAATTCAGCCACAGGGCCAATGGCTCAGACGCGTCTGACCTTCAGCATCCAGATCGGAGGACCTCCGATTATTCTGAGGCTTCATCCTACGTCATCGACCAGCCAGTGGACATGACTAACCTGAGCTCTCGTAGCCAAAGCCCGGAGTCATCGCCCGACGACGATAAGACCTTTACCTTCATGCCATCGGACTCAAGGGGCTACTATCGCTTCATTGTGGCCCAGGCCTTAGCCTATGACTTGAACGACAAAGACCTGCAAGCCTCAACGTCAGGTAGCAGCGATCCGCCGCCAGCCAAGCTGCTTTCGAAGCAGTCTACGGAACTGCTGAACGAGATCTGTGTTCGTTGGCGCGTACCCTACGTTTCTAAAATCATCCTTTTCCTAGATGTTGTTCATGAGAAATTTGTTGATCAGGAGATCACACTTGGTACCCTGGATGCTGCTTTCAATTTTATCAAGGAGCCACCTCCGGAAAACCGCAAACAATCGAATTCCATGTCGTCGGTTCTATTTGACCGACCGAAATGGCTCTTGACAGACACTGTGCTCAACCAGCAAATCCTTAGCGCTTTGCATGTGGCTTTATTACGAGACTTGTACGATGTCCTGCAACATTGTTACGAGCCGAAGCCGCCGAGCGTAGGGCCTGTCGTCTACGTTCTAGAACATCATATCTATGATGACCCCGGCTTCTCGAAAACCCAGGAAGATCTCGACGTCTATAGAGACCAACTTTACCAGGGATTACAAGGCAAGGCGCATGAGATGTATAGAGCCTTCCTTCAAAAGGAAGTCCCAAATGATCAGCATAGCTGGGAATTTTTCCATGTGATTGAATTAGGCAAGATGGTCGTTGCATTGGCTCAAAGGATACAGAAGCGGTATCGCAAGAACCCCGAAATTATGGGGTACGTGTCGTCTTTACCTTCTGTATGAGACCTTGCTTACATGGAACTCCAGGGTGAATCCGTTGACCGCTCTGGTTGGGACGATTCTACCCCTTTATGCGGAAGACGCTCGCGACATTATCAAACGAATATTGGACCTTGCCATGGAAAGGAGTGAGGAAGTACCTATTGAGGATGGCTTCCAATTATACGGAGAGTTGGTTGAGATCCGGCGGATTCACGGCGAGTGTCTTCCAAAGTGAGTCCAGCCAGGTTTCCAGCAGCCATCTAGGATCCTTTTAATGAGTGATTAGCGTTCCATTCGCGTTCCACATTGAGGGAGACCTCGCGGAGTTTGTGTGGCGCTGGATTCGTATGACGGAGTCTTCGATCCTTGACTGGGTGAACCAAGCAATCAAGCAAGACAATTTTCGGGTACGAACAGAGAAGAATGAGATACCGACTGAGGACCAGCGGCATAGTCTTTCAGTCATCGACATCTTCAGCTCCTTCAACCAAACGATAGACCGGATAGTCCAGCTCAACTGGGACGACGATCTTCAATACGCAAAATTTATGACCGCATTAGCTAAAGTCGTTGGTGCGGGAGTGGCAAGATATTGCGAAGTGCTTGAGCAAAAGTTTAGCAAAGAGATGGACCGATTGACTCCCGAGCAAGAAGCAGCAAGGAATCAAAGTACCCAGGAAAAATGGCTTTCGCTGGCAAAGGATGCCTGGAACAACAAAGAGAAGATCGAGCCATTCAACTTCTTCCCGGAGGTTAGTGGATATTCTTCGAAGTTAGACCTTGCGGTGCTAACATTGGCTCTTAGTCCTTTGTGAAGCTCAACAACATCGACTTTGCCACTGCCCAGCTTGACAAATTGGAGCACGAGGTCAACGTGGATGCGTGCGCCGCTGTCATTCAGAGCCATGCACCTCCGGTCACTCAACGCCAGAAGAAGGTCAATAACTATGTCTTCACTATCAAAATAGTTGAGGCGGAAGATCTCAAGGCTTGCGATGTTGGCGGTTACAGCGACCCCTATGTCGTGCTCGGTGACGAGTATCAAAAACGCCTGGCCAAGACAAGGATCATATATCGCAACTTGAACCCGCGGTGGGATGAGACGGTAGATATCACGACGCAAGGCCCACTGAACATAATCGCTACGGTCTGGGATTGGGACGCCATGGGTGACCACAACTGCGTTGGCCGAGCTTCTCTCAAGCTGGACCCATCGCACTTTGGTGACTTTCTGCCTAGAGAGTACTGGCTGGATCTTGACAGCCAGGGTCGTATTCTGCTACGAGTAAGTATGGAGGGTGAACGTGATGACATTCAATTCTACTTCGGTAAAGCCTTCAGGACGCTGAAGCGGACTGAGAGGGACATGACGAGGAAGATCACAGACAAGGTACGTCGGGTCCTTACAGACCAAGAAAGTGCTGACACATGTGCAGCTATCTGCATACATCAACCACTGTCTCTCACGGCGTGCTTTGCGCAGTCTACTCTCGAAAGGTATAACAATGTCCTCAGTATCAAGCTACTTCAATCGAAACAAACAACCTCAAACGACCCAGCCACCAAGCGAAGCCGAAGTCACCAACGCATTGAAACCGCTTTTTGCATACTTTGATGACAATTTCGCCATCATGAACCAGACGTTGACCAGTGCCTCAATGGTAGCGGTCATGACAAGACTCTGGAAAGAAGTCCTGGTCACACTAGAGACCCTGCTAGTACCTCCACTATCCGACAAACCCTCTCAACAGCGCCAACTGAGCCAACAAGAGCTCGACATTGTCTTCAAATGGTTACAATACCTTTTCGACTTTTTCCATGCCGTAGACGAAGAGACCCGCGAAGCGAATGGTGTCCCACTCAACGTCCTCCAATCTCCCAAATATTTCGATATCAAAACACTAAATTTCTTCTACTTCGAGGCTACCGAGTCTTTGATTCGCACCTCCGAGCGTATGGCCTCCGCCACTGCTGCTCGTCAACAAAATCAACGCAACAACCGTCTTTCGGCCCCTGTGGCTGCCTCCTCCCACGCTTTCGGTGGTGCCGCCGGCCTCGTGGGTTTGCCCTCAACGCGAAGATCGAAAAGTGTCATGCACTCACGGAATTTGGGTACTATGAAGAAGGCGAAACAGGAAAAGTGGAAGGAGGCTCAGGCAGACCCTAACGATGACATGATACTCAGGATACTAAGGATGAGACCAGAGGCGGAAAGATACTTGAAGGATCGAAGCAGACAAAAGGAGAGGCTTGCCGCAGCGGCAGCCGCGGAACAAATCGTACGGCAGAGTCTGTTGGCGGGAGGAGGGAGGATGATGGGAAATTTACCCAGACGTTAAGATATAACGTTGTGTGCTTAGTCCTAGCGAGTCTTGGTCGGTGTCTGGTTCTAGAATCATGTGGGCGGCGGTGTATGGTGATACCCTGGGTATCTAAGGGTCATGTCGAGAGGTCCGGAGGCGTTCATCCTTTCGGCCTTGTTGAGCATAGCATAGCATAACAATGGCGCGCACACTTGTCATAGACGTCATTATAGGATATAAGCAAATGTCAAACAGCTTTCAAGACTTAAAAATTTATGATATTTCTGCCCGGAAATTGCAGCTCATATGTACAATGACACGTCCACCTCGGAACGCAGTTTCAATCGTCCTACCTCACCCTCAATCAACCCCATCCTCTGTCCTCGCCTACACTCTCTTTAGCCATCACGCATCACTAACCATGTCAAGAGTGTTTACTTACCAGCACAGCACCTTCACCGCCCAATTCCCGATCTAAACCCCCCTCATAACCCCTCCTCACTGCCGGCATATCAGGATAATACACTCCCACCACAGTCACCAACCCCAAAAACGTCGCGACGAAAATGCCCAAACAAACAGCCCCCCACCCAGGCTTAAAATGTGTATACTCTTCTGGAGAGAATACGCCAAGGATATCATTGTCCTCATGTACAGGCTCGCCGTAGTTGCGCCGTTCTTGCTTATCCCACCAGTCGGCGTAGGGATCACGGAACTGACGGGGAATCGCAGGGGGGTTGATGTAGCCACCGTTCATGTTAGGGTCTTCGATGTCGGCTTGGGATAGGTAGCGGATTTGTGGGCGGTAGGTGACGGGGTTGCGGAGGAGATGGGTTAGAGGTCGCGCTGTTGCGAGGCGTCGAGAGAGCATCTACACTCGATTAACACTCTTAACCCAGGCGTACCAAAGCGGGACCTACCTTGGAAGTGGTTGCACTGTCGCGCAATGCCTCACTCGAAATTTGAGACAGCTGGGAAGTTACGAGTGAAGGTGAGGTAAGTGCCAAGATTAGCTGGCTTGATCGGGTAAGGCGCGATCGAAAGTGCTGGGGTCGAAATATCCGAGCGCGAGTCGCCCAAATTTCTGATTAACATTAGGCACATCATACAGCACATTTTTCTTTCGCCTCTACACAACCACCCAGGACCGTGGTCTCTTTCAAATTCCACCAGTGAAATGGTCTCACATCAAGCTTTCATTTGACGTACCAATCACAAAAATTGGATGCGTTTTCATGGATGTTTTGGGGGGTCGTCGAGTAAGGATTGATGATTTGGTCATCTCACGCCAGAAATGCAAACCGAGGCGCCGCTGGAAAACGGCGACGCTTCAAACCACGTCAACCATCAGCCCAATGGACTTGATCATTCGACACCACCACCTCAAACTTTGACTGAACAACTCTCGCATGTGAATGCTGAAGCCTTCTTAGAAAATGGAGATACCCCGCATGGAGAGGACAAGGGCATTGATGCACCTCCAAACAAAAAGCGGAAGCTCACAGATCCCCCAACGGGGAAGAAATCCGCGCCAGGATCACGGCCCATCTCACCACCCTGGAAGAAAATCGCAGTCGAGGGACCCACATCATTCGTGGAAGAAGGCAGACGAAAGTCGTCTCGTACAAACTATGTGCCTGTCGAACTCCTCCCACAAGCGAATAAACGGAAAACGCGTGCTGCCATCAACCAGGGCTCTCCTATCAGCAGTAGTAAATATGGAGGTGCCTACAAAGTTTCACCCTTGACTACACCTGCCCCAACACAAACACAGACGCCCAGCAATGCCAAGCGACCCCAATCGGCTGGTAAGCCCGCCGTCAACACTGTTGGTAGACCGCCAATGAAAAGCAGTCAGCCGGCGAATGCTACAAACTCCGATGATGCACCCCCGCCGCCCAAACGATCTCATAAGAAAAAGATACAACCGCCTCCGGAATCTCCCATACCGTCTCACTCACCTCAACCATCGAACCCCCATCAAACTCGCCGAGCAGCCCGCCGCTCTGAGGCTGGAACAACACCGAGCAGAACACAAGGGCCAACTATTAACGGTTGGCATACCAACGAAGAAGAAACAGGAGATAACGAGGAGGTGGAAGAGCTTGTCGAAGTAGACCCCAACCAACGGTTTCAACGATTGAGTCTCACGGTTCGCATGCCGACGGTGAACGTACAGCATCCTGGACATGTGCTTCCACAACGGAATTATGACTCGTTCAAAGAGTGGTTTGAGAAAGAAGGCAGACTAGGGCTTGAGATTGGAGACCCAGATCCTGCGATGACCGAGCGGTCTGCTTCTGAGGAAGCGCACTTGAGGACCCGCATCAACGAAGCTGCGAATCCGGGGGGCCTACTCAGTGAAGATCGGTGTTCATTATACAAGCCGGAGAAGTTCGACCCGCCGCCTCGGCAGTACACCCACCATGACCGTCTTGTCGCACATGCAGTATACTTCCAGAAATTGTTGGGTCAAGAAAATGCCAAACACCGCAGAAATGCAAAGGAGTGTGCCCGTATGGTAGCCGATTTCGTTCAGCGCAGAGAGCTAGAAAAATACAAAACCTGGAAGCAAGGACAACCTAAGACAGAGGAAGAGGTTTGCCAGGAGCAATACGACGCGGCAAAGGAGGTCTGGCAACAGATCAGAGAAGACTTGAAGAAAAAGTGGGCCATGGTCACTGAGATCGTGGAGGCAAACCGGCTTCAAAAATGGCAAGAAGAGCAAGAGCGTCTGGGAAAAGAAGCGTTGAATGAAGTAATAGACAAGTCGGAAGGCTATATGATGAAACAAAGAACTCGCCGCACTTCTCGTGGCAGCGACGAGGAGTCTGGTGGCGATAATGCGAGCGGTGGTGAAGGATCAGGTTCCGGACCAGAAGGAGATAGCGAAGATGAAGTCAATATGTCGACCAGTCAATCTGACAGTGACGAAGATCAAATTGCTGTGGATGATGACGCAGGTCTTACCCAGGAGGAGCTGCGTCAGAAATACGCGACAGTCCCAAGCCTCAAGGAAAGTCAGCCTTTAGACTCGAAGCAACCGAGCGGAGACCACGTAAGTACCGATAGTCCTAGCGACGGCCAGGCTCCCGATGAGACGAAGTCAGATCCTGCAATCGAAACCGACGAACCTTCCTCAGCACCTGATTTGACCCATGAGGAGCCTCCTCACAGTCCTGTCGCGTTGGATGAAGTTGATGATGCTTTGATGGATGACAGCGACGAGAGCACAGACATGGACGACGACATGAGTGACAGCGATGAATCTTCGGATGAGGATGAAAGTGGTGACGAACAGAGCGCAGATGAAGAGCCAGCCGGTTTGCTTGGTTTCTTTTCGAAGAAACAGCTGCAGCCCGATGTGGAGTCAGTTGATGAAGAAAAACACGACGCATCTCGAGACGATGACGAGGCATCTGAAGACGAGGCCGAGGAAGTGTCTCTCATCCCAGATGCCACGCAGGGCCCAACACCGTCTGCTACTACGAGTGAAGAACCGTATACGGAAGTCCGCGACAAAAGTGCCCTGAGTATTACTCGGCCTGGACGCGAGACTGAAGCTACGACAGGCGCAAATAACGAATTGACCATCTCAAAAGCAGCCGAAGAAAAGCTTCCTCCGTCTCAGGACTTCAGATCGTTGGTCCAGGATACTTCGTTGCCAACAACACCCATGTCAAACAATCCGTCGAAGACGCCTATACCATCTCTGCTTCGAGGTACACTTAGAGAATATCAGCATTTCGGCCTTGACTGGCTTGCTGGGCTCTATGCCGCTGGTACGAATGGCATTCTGGCGGATGAGATGGGTCTTGGGAAAACGATACAAACCATTGCATTGCTTGCACATCTTGCGGTTGAGCACGAGGTTTGGGGTCCACATTTGATTGTCGTGCCGACAAGCGTCATGCTCAACTGGGAGATGGAATTCAAGAAATTTCTTCCGGGCTTCAAAATCATAACCTACTATGGTACTCAGGAAGAGCGAAGGAAGAAGCGTCAGGGGTGGCTCGATAATGAGAAGTGGAATGTTTGGATCACGTCGTATACTCTGATTACGAATGATCAGCAGATCTTCAAGAAAAAGGCGTGGCATTACATGATCCTCGACGAAGCTCACAACATCAAGAACTTCCAATCGCTGCGTTGGCAGACTCTCTTGACGTTCCGGACTCGAGCTCGGCTTTTACTGACAGGGACTCCTCTGCAAAACAATCTGACAGAGTTGTGGTCATTGCTTTTCTTTCTTATGCCTGCCGACAGTGCCGAAACCGGTATCGGAGGGTTTGCAGATCTGCAGGAGTTTACAGAGTGGTTCAGAAAACCAGTGGAGCAGATCCTCGAACACGGAAGGGATGTGATGGACGATGATGCCAGAGCTATTGTCGCCAAGCTTCACAGGGTCTTAAGACCTTTCCTCCTTCGGCGGCTGAAAGCAGATGTTGAGAAGCAAATGCCTGGAAAGTATGAGCACGTGGTCTATTGCAAATTGTCCAAGCGTCAGCGATATCTGTACGATGGCTTCATGTCTCGAGCCCAGACACGTGAGACGCTAGCTTCGGGAAACACCTTTTCGATCATGAACGCGTTAATGCAGCTTCGCAAGGTCTGCAATCATCCCGATCTTTTCGAGACCCGGCAAATTACCACTTCATTTGCAATGCCAAAGTCAGCCATTGCAGACTTCGAGATCAAGGAACTCCTTGTTCGGCGACGATTGCTTCAGGATGACCCCGTCAGTGTTGTTGATTTGAACACAATCAATCTGCTTCCAGGCGCAAACGAAGAGTTCTCGGCTCTTGAGACCATCCAAAGACAGAGAGTCGGAGCTCTTGGAGCTTTCAGGCAATTTTCAAGCCAACAGTGGGCACGCATGGATCATAACGTTCCTTTCGATGCCACCTCGGTCAAGAGCACTCTTGCCAGTTACGCGAGCACTGCTAAGTATGATACGTACGAAAGACTTAGGCAAGCTGCCTACCTTACAAGCCTCCGAAGCCAACGGCGTCCTCTGTACAGTCGCGACAAGATCGAGCGGCTCCGATTTGGTACCAAGACTCTACCACATCCCCCTATGCCGGAGCGAAGAGCTCAACTATCGGAGTGGTATTCGCGGATGTCACCTGCCTTGCAGGAGATGGTCTTGACTATGCCTGAACGCGCCAAGGCTCTCGAAACGACTGTACAAAAGTTTGCTTGCGTGACGCCTTCCGTTGTCGCTACTGATATGGCACCTTTAACCCTATGCGGCAAAGGCGTAGAGGTCGTCCAATCTGCAAAGGAGGTCTGCCCCCAAGATCCTTTCCATGAAGCTCGCATGCACCTCTCCATCGCTTTTCCGGACAAGCGCCTCCTTCAATACGACTGCGGCAAACTCCAGCGGCTCGACACTCTGCTTCGCACTCTTCAAGCTGGTGGTCATCGTGCTCTTATTTTTACTCAGATGACGAAAGTGCTTGACATTCTTGAGCAGTTCCTCAACATTCATGGTCACCGTTACCTCCGTCTTGATGGGGCAACTAAAGTCGAACAGCGGCAAGTCTTGACAGAACGATTCAACCGTGACGACCGCATCCTAGCATTCATCCTGTCCTCACGGTCGGGTGGTATAGGGATTAATTTGACTGGCGCAGATACTGTCATCTTCTATGATTTGGATTGGAACCCAGCAATGGACAAGCAATGTCAAGACCGATGTCATCGTATTGGTCAGACGAGAGACGTCCATATCTATCGACTTGTGAGTGAGTACACCATCGAGGCCAACATCCTCAGAAAAGCCAATCAGAAGCGCATGCTCGATGATGTCGTTATTCAAGAGGGAGAGTTCACAACAGACTACTTCAACAACATGAGCGTCAAGGACATGATTGGCGATGAAGATCTCGATGACCGTGATGCCGATGCTAATGCAGCTATGGACCGTGTGCTTGGTCGTGGTCGTGGTACTGGCCGAGTGTTCGAAGCTGTCGAGGACCAAGAAGACATTGCCGCAGCACAGGAGGCGGAAAAAGAAATCGCCAACGAGGCAACTGAATTCGACGAAAAAGGGCCCGCGACGCCCAAGACCCCAGGGCCAGCTACTCCGGGCGAGATGATGCCTCCACCAAGACCCTTGCAAAACGACGATGTGGAGAGGACCACAACCATGGAAGCTGCGGATTCCGGCTTAGCAAATCCTGCTGACATGCTGTCACAGGTGGCTGAGGAAGAAGTGCCGTCATGCGATGATTTCATGTTACGGTTTATGGAATGGGAGTTCGAAGATATTCCCGTGCAGCCACCTGTGGATAAGAACAAGAAAAAGTCGAAGAAGGGGAAAGAGCTTGGGCACCGGAGGAGGTGATGTGCTCTATCTTCACCAACCAAGTGGTTTTTGTAAATAGGACTTTGAGCGCACTTGTACTATAGTATACTCGGGGTACGGCTTCGACTGTCTTGAATTGCTCAGCGGCATTGGGTGGAGCGTTTACGTGCGTAAGCAGCATTCATTGTACTATTAGAGAAAAGCATATGATATTGGTGATACCCTAATCACACCGTGCATACCGTACCAATGATTATCTTCCCTTTACCTGCCACGCTAGCTCCTTCTTGCTGAGGATGACCAGCCTTGCTCGCCGCAGAGTCTCAGCGCAGATTCCGAGCGCTACTCAAACCGCCCCGCCTAACCTGGGCTCTCTCTCTCTCTCTCTTCGCTGCGACACACGGCATCCGAATCTCCGTCTTTCCTCCATCAATCCGATCCCCAAGCCCTCACCACCCCTACCGCCAAGTCCTCCGTGGACCACCGCTTCCGGCTCCCGCACCATCTGTGTGCCTTGGCCTCGATCTTTTTAGGAACAATCGGCTCCATCCTTCGACGATCCGCCTGAACGGTACTCTAGGTAGAGCGCGGCGAGATCGTAACGTTACCACGCAGAGGGTCGGTCGTCGGAATTGTCGAATTCGTTTTCCGTCGGAGCACCACTTCCGCGGTCTTGGGGACGTCGGTCGTCTCGTTTCGGGGACGGGGATGCTTTTTCGGTGCGTGGCCCTTTGTGGGGAGCTCGAGGCGTGGACGGTCGGTTTCGGTTTCGGGTTGGGGAGACTTGTTCATGTCTGGTCACTGTTACCAACTGTTCTTCCCCACCGCCCCTTTTCTCCAATTCCACCTCCCACCTCCCTCCCCTCTTCCGTCCGGGTGATGGCCGAAATCCTCCCGCAACCCTCCCACCCTCTCCTCCTCCCTCACTCTCACAAAACCCTCACCACCACCTCCATCTCCCCCCCCCCCCCAGATTCCACTCCACGACCCCATCGACCACCATCACCTTCCCCTAAACCTCACCGTCCCCCACCCCCCCCCTCCTCCTCAAAAACTTGACAACCGACCCCGTACCGTATGCGTCCGAAAGCTCGCCGGGCTCCGACTCAGATAAAGGTATCCATCACCTCGGAATCCGCGCTCGTGGATGCGGATTCCGGGGAGCAGGAACGGCTGTTCCGGTGGAGGTGCGCCGGATGCCGGTATAGTACCGGTAGATCCGACACCTTTGGGCTCCGGGAAAGGCTGTTCGGGCGTGGCGGCGTGGAGGAGGCGGAGGTCGTTGGGTGCTGATGCCGCGGGTGACGAGGAAAGGGGAGGGGCCCGTCGCCGCCGTAGTTGACGTCGGGCAGGTACTCTACTTGGGGCCCGGTGGGGAGGGGTGACGTTGTTGACGGCGTTGGACCCTGCCGTATTTATACGGATATGATACCTTTCACTTTCTCCCGCAGATCCTGGGCTGGTGCAGCGTAGAGTTTTCTTGGGGCGTCGGGCCGAACCCCTCTCTAAACTCTGTATGAATGGAAAAGGGTCGCTACGGTTTGCTTCAAACTCTTTTGCGACGACATCGATGTAACAAGATTACTTACGGGCTTGCGGTTTGAAAAAGTGTTCGTTTGATATGTACGCCGTTCATCGGATAAATACAGCCCTGGAATCCAAGAGCGCAAACGGAACGCAAGAGCGCCCTTTCAAAATTGAGTGTCCGACATGCCAATCGCACGCAAAGAGATGATATTCACGGGACTCCGGAAACTCCCAGCTTGCAGACCACCCCAGAACGGGCCAAGGGGAGACCCCGAACCGATCATCCACCGCCATACGCGACGCAGAACTCATGGTCCGAATTCTTGTAATTCTGATTATCCAGCAGACCCCACCCCAAATAGCAAACCGGCGCCGCGCCTCCGCCAAAGTCTCCCGTCCCGTCCGAACACGCCTGGCCGTAAAACTTGGGCGCGACTTTCGACGCACAGTCCGTGAATGGATTGGGCTGCGTGTTGATCTCGGTCAGATCCCAGGTGCAGACTTGCATGTTGCTCAGGCAGTACGTCGTCGAGCCGCCGGGCGAAGTATCCACGATGGCCTGACTGCCCTGCGTCGAGTGCGACGCCTGCGCGCAGAGGTCGGCGCCTTTGAGAAGGATCTCGCCGGTCGAGTACCCGTTGAAGAAATACTGGTACTCGGTGTTGAAGTCCTTGGTCTGGGTCTGCGTATCGTAGAGCGCGTAGGTGATGCTGGTGGCCGGGTCGTACCAGAAGGTCGAGCACTCGCCGTACTGGCCGTAACCCTTGCCGCAGCCCGTGTCCCAGTTGAGAGCAGTGCCGTTGCTGGAGAGGGCGTTGACATCGGTGTCGATCTGGCGGGTGATGATGACGTTGCTGACTTGGTAGGCTTGCGATATGACGTAGGTGTAGAGAGAGGTGAGGCATTGATCGACTACTGAGTTGAGGTCGGGGATTTCGCCCGACAGGGGGGTATTCTCGACGAAGGCGAGGAAGCTGGTGAGGTCGTTTTCGGCTTCAGCGAGGGCGGCCACGTAGTTGGTTTTGAATTGGGTGACTAGGGTGCCGAGACTCGCGCTGATTTGCTTGAAGTCAAAGGTCTCTGAGTCGGAGGTGCCGGTAGGGAAGATGTATTTGGCTACACCGGGGGCTTGTTGTGCGGCAATGATGATGCCTTTGATGAGGGCGCCTCCGAATCCGGGGATAAAGGCCAAGCCGACAGTCAGCGCGGTCAAGATGTCATCGAGTGCAGCGTTAACCGTTTGCACTGGGTCGATGGTATCGATGATAGTTTGTAACTCGTTGGTCACAGTACTCTGAGCATTGAAGATCGCTTGGTAATAGTTGGCAAAAAGACCGTTGAGATTCCAGATGTTCCAAGCCACGTAAAATGCTCGTTGCGCATTCCATAGTCCTTGGAAATCTCCCCAGGCCGGTTCTCGACATCCGGAATCTTCATTGATCTGAGCGCAAGTTGACGGCGAGTACTTTGGGATCGCGCGAGCATAGTAACAATCAGCGAAGCCCAGTGTACCGCAAGAAGCGTTATTGGCTGGCCACCACCAGTTGATGTATCCCGTCAACTAGGTCAGAATGTCAGATACACGAGAATCCTTTCGAAAGATGATGCTGGTGAACACTTACGTCGAGAGCCTCCCAGCAAGAGGCGTCCGGAATTGTGGGATCGGCACAAGGTGCAGCAGGATCAAGGTCTGTTGCCCAGGCAGGAGCACCGGGACCATACGGGACTTGAGTGAATCCCGTAGGTGGTGCTGTCCCAGTGGCACAATAGGATGTTGTCGCAGTGCCCGAAACGGCAAAATTGATACCCGCTATTAAAGTACTGCCACAGACGCAATCTGTTATGGTGCTTGTTGGAGTTGCGGCTAACGTAGTGCTGTGTCTTGTTAGCTTGATGCAGTCTTGACCATCAGACCCATTACGCACGTCTGGAAAATACAGCCAGCACCTTGCCTCGGTTCAAGCGTTGGCTCCGGTGCTCTTTCGACTATATCGTATAGTGCGGCCGGTGTGGGCGCAGGTATGGGTTGCGGAAGAGCAGCGACACCTAGAAGTACAGCAGATAGCCCTGCAAGGCACTTGAACAGGTACATGATCAACTAAAAAAGAGAAAGATGACTTCTTCATACGGTGGGGAGCGAGTAACAGATGCGGACAATATAAATCAGCGAGAAAGAGAAAGAGAGGAATAGCAAGCGACTGCCGAATTTGGAGACTGGGAAACAGGTAGGATTTTGTACAAATTTTAGGGAATGCAATTCGTCCTTCGACAAAGAGGCAGAGCAAATGAAACTTTTCAGACAGGCAAAGAAGACTTCAGAGCAACCCACTGGTAGTACTTCAATTTCCGAGAATTAAGTCGTCAAAACGGGTACTCTGAAATATTGTTTGGGGAAATACCGGCCGACACTTAACTGGCATTGAGCGTCAAGAAAGTTGGATGCTTCGTTTCAATCTAGGAGGCAACCAGCTGAAACCGCCAAAAGACTGCGGACAGCAAGTATGACGTTGAAATCACGTTTGACTTTTGACATCGAGGATCAGGAACACGTCCGTTCCGACTAATATGGGGGCACAATGGAGGATAGCAGTCGGGGAATGGGCCACATGCTTGCAGGCCGTGTTGGGGGCCGGCCAACCCCTGATCGATATCCCGGATGAGGCAGCAGTAGGGAACATGCGATTGCCGTCAGGTGTGACGTACAGGAGAGCCCGTGCAAGGCGTAGATGCAGGTAAGTGGAGCTTTCTACTTTAACGTAGGAATGCGCGCTGCTTGCGCCAACGCGCCAACATCGCATGTGCTACGTCAGGGGTCCCTTTCAGCCCTTTCAGGGTCCAGTTTCAATGACGTGCCCCTTATGCTTAGGGGCTTGGCAGACATAGATCTACCTCGCATGCCGCGGAGTTTGGTGTTCCTTAGAGATTAGTTTCTAGGCTACCAATAATCAATATACTATTGAACCCCATAACGAGAACCTCTACCTCTTGGGCCGCAACTGCGACGCTTGATAAAAGCTTATGGCTCCCCGAGAGAAATAAAGTAGTTGGGTAAGGTCTAAGTAGAAGATTAGAAGGAAAGATTAGAAGGAAAAGATTGGGGTTGAAAAGTAGGGAGTCAACGTAAGAGGCGTGGATAACGTTTTATGTTTTATGTTTTGCTTGGCATGCGGCCCGCCTTTTGCACTATTTTGAGATTCGTCAGCTCAATCTCGCAATAAACAAAGTGTACTTTACTCTAAACTATTTTCCTGACCTCTCCTATCTTCCTATCATATTTTACCCTTTACCATCTTCATGAGTTCAGGAGATACAACCCGCTTGAACACGTCTTGACACAGAGACACATCAAAATATTGAAGCTTACCCAGGATTGTCCAAGAATGTTGGGGCCATGCCCCTATGCTTACCCCCGTGCCTCACCGTGCCATAGGGGTACCCCCATCATCTCAACCGCTGCGGGATTCTGGATCGGGACCGACTCACTTCGGTAGTGCTAAGATCAATCCGGGATATGGCTTGCACGTTTGAAACTTGAATCTCACCGTCAACTTCTCTCTGATCTTCTATTCGTGAAGCCCCCATTTCCACGGTAGTTCAACCGTAAGGGCGGTAACCATGGTCTGTTTCATCACAAACTTGCTTTGTAGCCGAGGGATTCAATGGCCTCCAGAGGTTGCTGTACTCTTCACAATGCGCCCATAAGGCAGACACGAGCAGGCACATGGTAGGCATCAGCAAGTCCGTAAATGTCGTGAAAGTCATCGTCCAACACAGAGGCAGCCTTGATTGTCGTGCGATACTCTGAGGTTTCGTGGCCGCTGGAGGTCGGTAATTCGCGCATAACGCTGTGGGCGTTCTCTCCGTTCTCGCTGCTGACGTGTATACATTATGACATGGTTCATCCAATCCTCATTTTGTATCTCGTCGTCGTTATGATTATGGGTTTTTCATTGTCGCCGCTGTCACCACCGTCGAATCTTACTCCCCAATCTTGTCCTCTCCTGTTTTCTGAGACCTCCAGATGAAATTGCAACCCTGATGTCGTGGCTGAAGCAGCAGAAAAAGACGTAATCAGGAAGTCCTGTTGGCGTATGGCATACATTCTAGCGAACAGCAGGAATGCTGCTTTCGAATATAATGGTTTCAAGCCAGTGATTACCATGCTTTCGGCTCGAGCTTGACCTTATCGGACAGTCAGTCAAGAATGGCTTTCCCAAAGGTTCTCGATTTCCACCACGCATATTGGCAGCTTCTAACGTCGATCCCAGTATGCGAGTGACAGTCAACCTTGAAGATGGCAACTGGAAGAGAAGAATGTGACAGCAATGGCTACATGGTACTCCTTGATTCGAAAAGACCTTCTCGCCAACACACCCATCGCTTGGGACGATTCCGTCGTTAGCTTTCCGCGTCCAGTACGGCATCCAGCCAGCAATATAATTCCTCCAGCGATTCAAAATTCCACTTTTGCACGCAGCACATGATGTGCACCAACGATCGCAGGCGCGCCGCAATCGTTTCCAGTTGGGCGACTACACCCTTCTCTCGTACACGTGGGGTTACTCAACCATTACCAGTGGACTCCTTGTCAATCGGAGCCGTATGCAAACTACCACCAATCGTAGGGGTATCTTCTGTGGGTTGGAAGTCGCCCTACTCTATCCGCTGTAGAACCTGATAGATGCCGAGGCTTGGAAATTCAATGCTCCAAGTCCATTCTCAACACGATCAACTGTAAGTGTCGGAGATGAAAGCTTCCAACAAGGGGTCCCTCAGACAGAGACACCAAGCCGATAGAACTTACCTCGAAAGCAAATTAGTCGACTAAGAGTCTCGGTATCTCGCATTCGCCGCCCATACCATCCCGTCCGCGATGTCTCACCTACCTCATCAACCCTCCCTGCAAGCGATTCAGACCCGGAAATCCCCTTTCTCTCCCCATCATCACCCACACTGACTACCACACAAGACAAGGAAACCATGCTTGCACAATCACCCCGGCTTCCAGAGTAGTAATCTCTACCGCGCCGGATATTCCACTCGAAGTCCTTCCGCTCCCCGTCACCCACCCGGGAACCGGAAATTACAATCGGCGGATCGACCCCGTCACGACGGCGACGCGGGGACGCGCTATTCCAAGTTGGGGTTTCTGGCCCCGCCAGCATCGAACCCTTGGCGAGAATGGTAGGGAATATAATAGGTTTTGAAGACGGCAAGGGTGACGCTAGTGGGCGTTGGTGAGTGTCTCGGGGGTGTTTGTCGACAATCATGACTGGGTAGCGAGTATTTTGGACTTTGGTTTCAAACATGGTTCATCGTTGCTTGTGAGACCACAATGCTCACATAGTTCGCTACTTACTCTATCTTTAAGAGGTCGTACTTGCCACCTGTTTCCACCAATGCCTCTTCGATTCTTTCCATGATCGCTAGCACTTTCTCTTCTTGCAATCTTTGACCGACCACCTGGATCGCTACTGGCAGCCCGTGCATCTTTTCAGCGTCGTAATGCCGATATGCACCTTGAGCAACGCCATTTAGTTTGTTGAACTGGAAAGTTGCTGGTAGCTTGTCGAGCACTTTGTTTACGTGGGTGATGGGCATGACACCGCAGGTGTAATCAAGCTGTCTCGGTCATCAATACGCCGTGTCTGAAGCGTTCCAGCATGAAAGAGCCCTCACCAAATTGAATAAAAACGTATACCCACAACTACTTACCGCCTCCTTCATCCCGCAATGCGGCACCGCCGGCGTCGCATTTACCGGCGTCAACATAAAATCCAATTCCTCCCCTTTCCACCATTCATGCCAGCACGCCTTGTAAGCCTCTCGCTTTGATACCCATTTCCACTGCTCGTAAGCGCTCTTCTCATTCCAGTTTTCCAATAAACCTGCCCACACACTGTCGCGCGTTACATACTTGACCCAGAAGTAGTAGAGGTATTTGAAAGGCCGCGGCATCTTCATATACAGTGACATTTGACGAGCGCCCGGGTCGTTGGTTTCGCCGGTCCGGAAAAAGGAGAGGAACATTTTGCAGCCGTCGGAATTGAGAAGCTGGGAGCCGATGAGGAGAGCGGTGTACGGGGAGGGTGGGGAGATGTCGACGAGGGTGTGGCCTTGGGAAGAGAGAGCAGATACGGTGCGTTCGAGTGCGCGGGCGCAGGCCGGGGATGGGTCGACAACGCCTTGAAATGGCTTAGCAGAAAGCTTTTGGGCGGACAGATTCTGATCTGTTCGTCTTACCATCTGTCCTCATAATGCCGATCTTAAACTTCTTGGTCTCTTTCACTCTCCGTTCTTCATCCTTCCGCCACTCAATGGGATGTACAGTGTGATCCCACAGCCACGGCTTCATCCCAATCAGACTCCTCGAGAAGTAGACTAGATCTTCCAGCGTCCTTGCCATGGGGCTGAACACGCTTGGTATACCCTCTTGTCCAGGCATACTCGTATTCATGCCCATTTTCGGCCAACGTCCCGTGCTACATCTTAACGAGTATATACCAGAAAAGTGTGCAGGCACTCGTACTGAGCCTGCAACGTCAGAGCCAATGCCGATACGGCCACCACCGTAGGCGAGAAGAGCAGATTCGCCGCCCGTAGATCCTCCCGGGGAGTACTTTGGGTTGTGTGGATTGAGGCAGCGGCCCCATACGTCGTTGGAAGATTCGAAGGAGAGAAGCGTAGTCGGTAGGTTGGTTTTGACGTAGGGCACGGCTCCTAGAGACTGTATCAGGCCGAGCCAATGAAGAACGGCAAGGAATGTTGACCAGCAGCTTTCAGTATCTTGACCAAACTACCATCCTCAGCGTAAGGTTTGCCTGTATTGCGCGAATATCCTACGCTGACATCGAAGCCGCGAACCGCTATTGAGTCTTTCAAAGATATAGGTATGCCCGCTAACGGGCCTTTCAAATTGACCTCGTTCTCTGCCCACGACTCTGCTTCAGGCAGCATGACTTCTGTGAGGCAATTGATCTTCTCGTGTGCCTGTATGGCGACTTTGCCGTAGGTTCGAAGGATGTCAATCGGTTTGAGGACTTGCTTGTGGACATCTTGGACAATGGTCTCAATGGGCTTGTCCAGTATTTCATGGTCCTGAGATGAGATAGGACTATGGTATGAGGGAGGTAGATTGGCGATACGGGTCGATCGTTCAAGCTGTTTCCGTTGGCTGAGAGGTGATTAGCTTGCTGTTATCCAAGTGCTGTTGGAGGCCTACCATGCTCGGCGATGCTCGAAGTAATCGAAAGGCGGCAGCATCTTGGGTGCTACGACCAGTTCGGGTTATTCACATACCTCGATAATGGAACATGTAGAAGAGGGAGATATCTAAGGATCTCCTCTCTCCACAGCTTCTCGGATCCCCGCAACGGCGACTAAGCTGCGATTAGATAACGGTTGTACATTCTACACTCGGACTAGCTTATGTTTGTTAACATTGCGTTGGCAGCGTTAAGTAGGATCTGCGACCACAAAAGTCATTGTTTGTAAAGAGGTAAAAACGGTCCGCCGGCCTTCTGTGTGTTCCAGCAGGTCAACATACGGTACGTGCTTCAAGCAGTCAGAGGCACCATTTATTCCGACGGGGTCTTTGTTTGAGGGGCATGTCGTTTGAGTGGCATGCCATGCCTGGTAAACAAGGAACCCTTCTAACCAAAATGGCACAACGCGAGCAGCCTAGCTGATTAAGACATCCCCCGCTCTTCTCGGGCAGCGTTGTTGGCCTCCTAGAGAGTCTTACGCTCTGCACGATTTGCTGGACGAGCAGCCGCCTCCGCTGCCCTGGACTCTCTTCCTTTTTCTCATGTTTCTTGCTTGGTCTTGTACTCTGCCATGAGGGCCTTGCCTTTCTCGGCGTAATACACGCTGCAATCTCTTGTTCCTTCTCAACAGACCATCGGTTCGTCAAGTGCTCTGCATCTCGGATTTTGTCGGCTATCATCACAGTGGCACGTTGCAGGTGAAGCATTTGCAGTGATTTAGACAATTGGAGACAGTCCAAGAACTGAGGTTCGTGCTGAGAAGCAAGCAGTCCGGTTAATGACATATCCTTGTCCTGAAGCATAGTCTCATGCGGCCATGATGCAAGCCGAACCAAAATCTGATCGATAAACTGTCTTGAGGCCTTTCGAATTATCTCAGAGGCGGAGCTTGAGCGCACGCTCTCGCTGCTCGCCTTGATAACTAACCCGGCTCATGCTGAGGTGCATCTTCGTCAGTTTCTCTCTTGGAGAGACGTCAAGAAGGATTATGGTAGAAAATAAGAAACACCGCAACACCATTGTACCAGTGCCAATAAGAATCGAAATTATTGCGAGTTAAATACCTCTAACCTATGGTACCTGCACCGCCACTTTGTGAAGGGAGGGTTATGCTCGTTACGACTAGACCAAAAGGTGATCACTAGTAGTCCGTCACTAAACAGTAACTTATACTAGTTGTAGGCTTGAAAGCGTACGACCGCTTTCCCACACACACACTTTGTTTATTCGTACACCTAAGAAGGCTGAAACTTCCCAATGCGGCTAGATCAAGGTGGTATATACCTGGTAATTCTCCCCCACCATTCACCGTCTCATGAATTTCATTCGATAACTCAAGAGTTGGTAAGTCTTGCGCAGCCAGTACGGATACATTGGTGTTTTGCTTTCAGACCACTGCTCTGAGCAAAACTTAAATCCTCGTCTTGTCGCGTAGTGCATTTGTTGGCCGTCGCTATCTCTGCATGGATCGACCATCAACTCGGCCTAGTCATGTCTCAAAATCCAATGTGCTAATATTATTACAATTGTCTGGTCTTGACGCCGTCACTGGCGAGGACAGAAATATCTCCAGCGTAACGTCTGCTTGGGAAAAGATTGAAACGATCCGTTCCATGGTGCCCTTTTCTATTCTTGCCTGTGTAAGGCCAAAGAAAGCCACAGATCTACTTCTCGTTATTGATCGTGTTTCTGCCTATAAGCTCATCAAGCAGCTTCTGCGACCTCAGTGGTCGGTTTCTTGTCGCCATCCAGTCGGCCAATGCCCTGAGTTTCTGCTAAGCGCCCACCTCGGTAAGATCCGAGAAGCCTCATTTAGAGATTGTTCGACTATTGGCTGAGACGCACTATTATCGAGCAAGCGTGAAACTGCCTGATAATGAAAAAGAGACATCTTTAGAAACATTGTGAAGCGAGAGCGTTGGTCGGACATCGAAGAGGCTGGAGGCTGTATTCTCTTGGTACTTAAGAAGGGCGAGATACCTCGCTACATTTCTTCTACATCTGAACCACAGTCTCTTACGGATTTCCTCAAAGCATCTCATCTCTCGTGATTTCCTTGCCTCTGTCTATTTCCTTAAGACGCTCATTGCAACAGATTACGGCCAATCGCTACGTCAGCACCGATTCAGTCTACGATCTCTTTATCCCGGCATAATCACACGCTTGTTTTACCTTTCCTCTCCAGTCAAACCCGCAATTTCTCGACATGGCTGGACCCGACTACGGTGCTCTTGGAGCAACGTTCAAGATTGTCCGCTTGCTTCAAGTAATTAGTCTCCTCGGCTGCATTGGCATGGCTGCGAACTTCATCTCGGAAATGGTCTCGCAAAACAACTCTCCGTCAGAGGAACTTGTCGGCACCCTCAGCGTGGTGGGTATCTCATTGCACCTTGGAGTTTCCAAAGCTGACGTCTGCAATGTAGACTTGCATCGCGATCCTCTACTGCGCAATCACTGTCATCCTGCACATTGACAACATCCTTCCATACCTTATCAACACTGGTATGGATGGTCTGATGCTCATCGCCTTATCTGTTGTCGCTATCGTCGTTGGCAAGCCCCTTTCGTATCTGAATTGCCAAGTCGTCGGCACCTCCAGTGTCGCTGAATCGGCATCTCAGCTGAGCTCCCAGGTCAAAGACACTTTCAACAAGCAAGGTGGAAAGGTTGTGTACAGCAACTGGATTGGTGCGAGCAAGACCACATGCTATGAGATGAAAGCTGTCTGGGGCTTAAGCATTGCTCTTTGGTATGTACCTCTTACATTGTCGTCGCCCATCATAATCTCTAATAGATCTCAGCATCCTTTTCGCCTTCTCCGCCATGTGCAGCGTATGCCTCTGGCGTCGTAGTAAGACCGTCCCTCCTAAGGATATGGCTTAAGTAGGCTGTGAGAGAGTACGCTGTGGATGTGAAGATACACTGTCAGAGTTGGGGCCACAAAAAGGAAGAACAATAGACACTCTCATTTAGCGATGCACGGGATTCGGCGTTATGGTGGGGACTTCTCGGGGAAGCCATAGACCTTGGCCTAATAGATTAATGAACGTTTTATGAACCACGCATTTCCCTGTGGTGGAGTAGTATAAACAATCCTCTCAAAAGTAGATTTATTTCAGCCCAGTTTCATGACTGGTTATTCCATACACGACGCTGTAGTGTGGGGGGGGACTCAGGTTGCGCGATTGAACAGCTCATATCTATCCACTAGGCTTATTCCCGGGTCCAGGCGCAGGCTGTCGTCTTTGTGCATCTCCAAAAGTTAATCGCTCAACAAGTTGGGGTAGTTGCTTCAACGGTTTTTCACACCACCGTCAGACTTTGCGCTGCACATTCAAAAGCTGCATGAGCTTATCTTTCGCCCGCTCATTTGCTGGCAGTTCCAATGGACTCGAAATTCGGTGGTGCCGGGGATGACGTTTCCCACATGTCTCTAAAGTACCTTATATGTCTCCATATTAGATTACCGGCATGAAGAAGAAGCGCGAGCCCGACGATGATCGTGCAGATCAATGCCGCGTGCCGTGGTGAAAAGGAAGGCACAACAACAACAACACCCTGGTCCCTGAAGCCCAAGGACACGGTCGAGCCCCACGAGCCCCAAACCCAGAAGTGTGGGACAAGAATTCCCCACTCTGTGGAGAGTTTTACCGACAGAATGTTCCCGCTCCTGGTTCCGTCCGGAGGTAGTATTTCCGGCTTTTTGATTGGCTTCCAAGGTACCGGATTCCCAGGTGTTCAATGCAAATCCCTGGTTCAGTTCCAACGCCAAAATCTTTTAATCGCTGCATCAAGCTTTTCCCCTCTCAAATCTCGACGCCATGAAATAAATCAACCCCTCCGATGGACAAATAGTCCCATCACTAACTAACCTTGATGATGTGGCAATCCTACTCTGACATCCCTCATGATTTCGACCTCTCTATCTCCCCCCCCAGTCTTTCCATTTTTTCACCTCCGCACCCTCTTCCCCACACTCAATTCCGCCTGCGCCTTCGCCAACTGCAAAACCGACACCTGAGCCTTCACATCCCACCTGTTCCATAAATATATACCAAGAGCTTCGGCAAGGCACTCGGCTCGAGCCACATGGATGGCTTCAGGCAGTGATGATATCCCCATTGTGACATCAGCCTTCTCCTTTGCACTCTCCTCAGCACTGATGCAACGGTAGGATTCGAGATACAACGACGATGAAGACGCTGGCTCAATCTTCGGAGACTCTTCGTGAGCAACTAGATCTTATCCCCGCAAAGCAAATACCCTCTGATTCCATGGTAGCCGAATGTCCTTGGATAGCGACCTGAAGCACTACCGGCTTGAGAACGATAGAAGGTATCACACCTACCGTACGTTTGGACATCTCATATCGCAATTGGGACCGAAAGGGCTTGCTGATGGAGTCAGGCGATGGTGAGTACTGGATTCCTCATGACGATGAAGCTCTACGACTCGACCTATATGCGTGAGTCTACCCATAAATTGCTTATTCTATTTAACGGTTCTAACGAGTCGACCTGGAATCGCAGGCATCATATGTTTATCCTGACGCTCAACAACAAGCTATTCCTCGCACCGATAAACAATCCAAAGCGAGTCATGGACGTGGGCACCGGCATTGGGATATGGGCATCGTATGGTCTACAACTCGACCTCGGAGATGACGTGGCTGATGTCTCGCAGGGACGTCGCCGACAAGTTTCCGGAAGCAGAAGTGATTGGTAGACCACCAAGCAACCATCATAAAAGTGTCTGTACTGACACGTCAACTCAGGGACCGATCTTTCCCCAACCTTCAGGGCAACTCCGGCCCCAAATCTCCTGTTCGAGATCGACGACTGCTGCAGCGAGTGGATCTACCCTCCTAACCACTTCGACTACGTCCACGTCCGATTCCTATACGCTAGCATTGCCGACTGGCCCGCCTTCTACAAAGAATGCTTCGAGTGAGTGAGGCTGGAAATTACCGCCTGGCTCTCTCAAGCTGACGTTGACCCCGCGCAGCCATATCGCCCCTGGTGGCTACATCGAACACAGCGAACCCCGCCCAGCTTTACTATCGGATGACGGTTCCATCGCTCCAGGCGACATAATGCATCAGTGCTCAGACCTCGCCAAAGAAGCCAGCCATAATTTTGGGAAGAATATCATGATAGCGCCACACATCAAGACTATGATTGAGGAGGCGGGCTTCGTCAACGTAGTGGAGAAGCAATACAAGTGGCCTATTGGTGAATGGCCTGTTGATCGCAAATTGAAGGATATCGGACGCTGGAATATGCAGCATTGGCTTGAGGGATTAGATGCTTGGACGTTACGGCTGTTGACGCAGTACTGTGGGGTGAGTTAGCATTCTGTGCCGAGCGCCATCTCTTGATTCCGAGAAGGGGGGAGTCGCGAAGGGCGATGGCTGACTGAGAGCAGTGGACGTCTGATGAAGTCAAGGCGTGGACGGCGCGAATGCGCACTTCCCTTGTGGATCCAAAGCATCATGCTTATCAAACGATGTATGTTGTACTTCCAGCCCTTCGTCGCTATGTTTGAGCGGCAGGATTGACAAGCTTGACAGAAACGTTGTATACGCTCGCAAACCGTTATGACGCCTCTCCACCTTTTGGAAGCTCCAGGTTTGTTCTCTTGGCACTTTCAGCCAACGAAATCTACCATACTACCTTATTTGCACGGCATTAGCGCATAGCGTGACAATTCATGTAATGACCAAGATTTGCATTATTTAGAGGAGTATTCATAAAACATTTTCGGATGTAAGGGGAGTCCGATATGATCCTCACTCATCATAGATATGATAATGATTTACCACGCTGATTGGTTGAATTGGTTGCCGGTTTTGATAGTTTTTACAACGTAGCCAACGCTAGTGACGATACCGGATGCCGGCAATGCCGCCCACGTGTATTAGTAGAGCCAGTATCTGCCGGCTAGCGTCGGCCTCAGTGCCTTGAACTTCCTCGCCATGAAATCTTTGGCTGCTCTCACACAAACTCCTCTATTAAAGTACCTAGGACAAGTACGCTTCTGTATCCATTCTTCCTGTAACCCAATGATCTCAACACCCCCAGATTGATTAAAGCTCCCATTGAGCAGGAGGATGTAGTATTCTATCTTTCACAATAGTACCTAACCTTCCTCCACTTCCTCTACTTCCCCCTCTTCCCCTCTCTTTCACCCTCTGACTATCCCTCCGATCCTAGACTCCACTCCGAGGCAGCCTTATCGCCGCCTCAGCGAATGTACATCCTGAGCACGTGGGGTTATCGACAAGGTAGTGACTGCCAGTGATTGAGGACTTTCGATCGACCGGGGCACCAGTCAATCATCCAAGACTTCCAGATCGAACCTGCTGCAGGATGTTGGAACCGCGGCGGTGATTGGGAGCCGGAGGGTTTCTCTGGATCCCGTTCACCAACGGCGGGGAAGATCGGCAGACGATTTGATCTGGGAACCCGGAAGTGTGTCTTTCCGGGGAAGTACTTTGTATCTATTCTTCGAAGGAGCAGTCCCGATTTTGCTTGGCAGTCCGATACAGAATTCAGCAGTCAATTCCACCGAGGACCGGTGGATCTGAAGCAAAATTTCTCGCTGTTTTATGACACCACTTGAAGCTGCGACTGTGGTCCACGCACGCACTTGTATCATATAGCTCAACGATATCTTGATCCCATCTAACCGTCAATATGTTTGCCATCTCTCCGTCTTCTTCGATTGCCGTCCATCACTCTTGCATCCTCACTCGTGATCTCGTAGCGGTGAATCTTCCTTGGGACAAGTCTAGACGACTTGAATAGCACGATTCAAGCACCAAGCACACTTGTCGTCCTGGCGGCATATTTCTCCCAAGTGCTCTCCTACCCTGGTTGCTCTTTCAACCAGTGGACGTGCCACATCCTCGCAACCCAACAGCTCTCCCTAACACATGTATACTCTTCATCGTCCTTGCATCTTCAACCAGAGCTCACAGGTGGTATAATCGCCACCTCATCCCCCTCCTTGATCACCACGCCCGCTTTCTCCTTGCCACTCTCTTCTTCGACGTCCACATACTCCAAGTTCACAGTCACAGCGCAGCTGTCTAGCACCGCCTTTGTCATTCCCGAATACTTCTTCTCCAGAACGCTGAACAGGTCGCTGATAGGCAGTGGAGCGGGGAAAGTATCAGAGGATTTGCGGGTGAAGGAGGCGGCGGAGGCGAAGTAGAGGAGGCGGAAGTGTTCTGAGGGAGGCTTTCCGGACATCTGGTCGGGGGTGTTGAGGTCAGTGGATATTTGACAGATTGGCTAGGGAAAAGAGTAGACGAGGGGGGTGGTTGAGAGTCAGGATGGTGTGTTTCTCTGAATGGAAGCCACAAGGCGCTTCTTCGGATAATACATGCTATTGTTTTTGATGCTCATCATGCGTGCCGGAATTAATTGAATAACGAAGGAATGCGAAGACTTACGTTGGATGTGGTTCATGAGTCTATATAGGTAGAGCAAACCAGTCCCAGTCCGCAGAGGGCGGAGAAAAGCGCCAAGACTTTCAGCCCTATCGACGAAAGTTTTGTCCTGAGGAGCTTCGATTGCCATTCCTGTCATCATATGCTCCTTTTTCCTCGAGGGTTGCCCTCGCCTGCTACGATCATGGCAGCCAGACAGAGACTCAGGGCGGTCCTAGACGCCAGAAGAGCCGGCCAACCATGCTGGCGCTGCGCGCTGGACCTACCTCGTTACAGCTCCACCAGTCCGGCCGGCATACCAGACGTCCCGGAGAAGACCTACATCGCTCCCTATAGCCATATACTACGGCATATGATCCGAGACACGTTGGAGTCTCATTTCCCCCCTATACGCCCAGTTCACAAATTTACCGGCCCAAGAAGCTTGATTAAAATGAAACCCGCAACGATGCAAGGCGCTCGCAAGCCTCGTATACGGGTGATGAACAATGGTCGACCGGTGGCTGTGAACACTGAGTCACAATCACAATCCCAATCCCAATCGAGGCGAAGCGATCACACGCCTCGTGTACGAATAGTCCCAATTTTGGTTCTGACGAAGTACTCGAAGGAGTCTAAGTCTAACCTGGACCTGGATGCGAAGGAGGTCTTGTCTGAGGCTGAGCATAAAACGGGCACGGTTCTGAGGAAGGTCTTGTCTGAGGATACCTATAAAATGGACCTGGATGCGAGGAAGGCCTCGTCTGAGTCTAGGCGTGAACCGGACCTGGCTCGGAGGAAGCATTTGTCTATGTCCACGCATGAACAGGACCTGGTTTCGGAGCAGGTCTTGTCTCAGGGACCGGACCTGGTTCTGAAAAAGATCTCGTCAGAGGATAACGTTAAGTTGGACCGGGTTCGGAGGAAGAAGGCCTTGTTTGAGTCTAGGCGTGAACGGAAACTGGTTCGGAGGAAGGCCTTATCTGAGTCTAGGCGTAAACGGAACCTGGCTCGGTGGAAGCACTCGTCTAAAACTACAAACAGGCCGGACCGGGTTCCGAGGAGGGTCTTGTCTAACGAATCGGACCTGGTTTCGAGGAGGGTCTTGTCTAGCAGACCAGACTCGGTTCCGAGGATATACTTGTCTGAGCCTAAGGCGTCAGCTATCAATTATGTGGCCAAAGGGAATAAAAAAACTCGTTTGATACGCAAAGCTGGCCCTCCCTTAGGCAAGGGTTCAACAAATGCAGATGAAGTTTTTCTTGACGCATTGACACCCTTGCTGGACGAGTCCAGAGACCTTCCTACGTCAAAGTTGCCAAATCCCACTAGAGAGATTGGGGCGTTAACTTCAAGCACCCTCTTATCTCCTCAGGATCGCTTGATTCGACAGTTTGCTTTAGGTGGGAGCCAGATGTCGAATCGTCAGAGCATGAAGTCATCGAAAACACCGTTCTCGACCAGGACTCCTAAGGCCCCAAACAGGCACTATGGTACTGCAACTGTAAGTGAAAAAGACTGCTTTTTCTTTCACATACTAAGGCCTTTCACAGAGTCAGGCTCCCCGGGCTGATGCCCCGATCGACCCCACCGTTATTGGAACGAATCCAGATGGGCTCTTCAAACACAACTCTGGAGGCATCCGAGAGGCGCTCAGATTGTGGCAGGAGCAACACGACATTACTTTGGCTGATACGTCAGGTCGGCCTCCCTCAAGTACGCTTAGCGACACCCAGAACCTATTCACCCAGTCAGGCGAAGACGAGAGCTTTACCGCCATTGCCCAGGACGAGAAAATGGAAGATGATGACGACGTAGACTTCGGATCTGAAGAGCGAATTCCGGACATCTTCGCTCATCAAGTCTTTCTTCGACGAGGTGATCTAGTCGAACTAGTGTGAGTCTTACGCCGAGACAGTGGAAGGCAGTGCAGACTGACGATTACAGAACGGCCTCGGAGCCAGTCTTGGCCATCTTTGTTCGAAACGTGGCCGACCAGTGCCAATTCTACACTATTCGAGGTGAATGGGTCAACCGAGAGTCAGGGGTCGCACGGTGGGGAGTCTCGCGGTTTGTGGATCCGGATGATTTGAATGAAATTCTTCCGTATCTCCCCTCTGAGGAGGTTGCCGAGGAGAAGATGAATCGTCTCCAACCCGTTGATGTCCATGCTCCCCGAGGTGCTGGAGCTAAGGTCATAGAGCAGATGTCGCTCTTCCACCAGACCGCCGACGCTGTGTTCAGAAAGCATGCCGATAGAATCAACCGCCTTTACGAGATTATTGCTCCCTCTGAAGCCTTCGCAGATCGAACATATATGTCGCTCAAAGATATTGCCCTGAAGGTCTTGATGAAACAAGACCCTTCCGAACTTACTCAACCGATGATGTGGACCATTCATAGAGCTATAAGCCAATGTCAGAATATTACGTGGGATTTCCTGAACTACCGTCAGAATCCGGTATACGAGATTTATCCTCAGCAAGGCTTGAAGTACATTTCTCAAGTCAGACAGTGGGTTCGTGAGTATCAAGAAGCGATAATCCAAGACACGACCAATGAATCGATGTCCAGCATTGATTCCACGTTGATGGCGACAACGCGTTCGCTCAGTCCAATTGCAACGTTCGTGAAGAAAGCTCGAGCTGCTATACAGCAAAGCCGACAGACAAGACCTCTTTCAAAATCGGGTTTGATTGGTCCAAGCTCGATTAGAATAGACATCGACAAGGAGTTTGGGGGCAAACCTTATATAGAGAAAGATATGCAAGAATTCGACGATAATGAGAAAATCATAATTCATTATCTTGACGTGTGGGCGACGTCGGCATACGTCAATACTTATACATACCTGGCATCTTTGGGTCCCATGATCCTTCGTGCCATAGGAATGTATGGAGGTTTTGAGCTGAATGAATCCAGGGGGTTCACTCTACTTCAGGAATTAGGCGTCGTTACGCCGTGGGAGAACAGGACCGTGTACAATATCAGAAACCTGAAACTTCCTGGGCACGATTTTGGCTCCGGAGAGGCAAGCCGATTATTGATGGATGCTCGTAAAGAGGCCAGGATGTTTAAGTCGAGGGATTCCATGGAGGGCTTGAGAAGGGACTGGGGTGACATGCCGGTTTTCTGCATCGACAGTGCGGAGACTCTGGAACGTGACGATGGAATTTCTTTGGAGCGTGTTGATGGTGATCCATCTGCGCATTGGGTGCATGTCCACGTCGCCAACCCATCTGCTTTCATCACTCCTGACTCGGCCATGGCAAAGCACGCTGCGTCGCTTGCAGAATCGGTCTACTTCCCAGAAAGGAAGTACCCTATGCTGAACCCGAAGGTGACATATGACCAACTCAGTCTTGCAAATGATCGGCCTTGCATCACTTTTAGCGCAAAGTTCTCGGCAGATGGTGACATGCTCGAGAAGAAGGTTACACCCGGGATCGTACGCAACGTCCATTATCTTACGCCTCAAATGGTGGGCCAGGGCCTCGGCTTGGCAGAGACCGACGAAGAGTTGGAGACTGTGTCAATATTGACCGTGGGCGGACGCATGCCTGTTCAGCGTTTCGACGATTCAGGCCAGACAGCCAAAACGTTGACGGATCCTGGGCACATCAACCTACTGCACAAGCTGCTCGAGCTTGGTGAAGCCGCTCGTCACAAGCGAGCCCAGGCTGGAGCCCCGGAATTCTATTCATCAAGCCGCATAGCACACACGTATCCGGTAGTCTATACCTCCAGACACCTAAAGAAGAAATACTTTAAGATCAAAGACGAGAACGTGCGACAATTCGAAGGCGACCCGATCATCGCTCTACAAAGGACGACAGAAACCTACGGCCTGGTCGCCAAAATGGTCTCCGACCTCATGATCATAGCCGGCGACGTCGGCGCCTCCTGGTGCTCCGACCGCAACATCCCCATCCCCTACCGAGGCATCCTCCGCAACCCCGAACCGGCCTCCTCGCCCGAAGTCTTCAAGCGCGAAGTCCTCGACCCCAAAATCGCCAAATACGGCCACGCGGAGCAAAGCGACCTCCTCCGCTACATGCGCCTCGTCGGCCAAGCCCAAGCCTCCGACCGGCCTCTCGAACACCCCACCCTTGGCCTCCCGGCCTACTGCAAAGCCACCTCCCCGCTGCGCCGCTACATCGACTTGTACGCGCACTGGCAGATCGAAGCTGCCCTCCGGCACGAAGCCGCCACCGGCACCTCCCTCGTCGGCAGCACTGACGGATCCTACCTGCCCTTCTCGCGCGCCCAGGTCGAAGAGTACGCGGGCGGCGCGATCCACCGCGAGAAGAAAATCAAGCTCGCCAAGACGGCATCGACCCGCCACTGGATCTGCCAGGCGCTCTTCCGGGCCTTTTACTTCCACGAAGCGAGTCTGCCCGAGACGTTCGAGGTGACGACGATTGACGGCCGGGCGCGGCGCGGGCACCATCCGGGCTGGGCCAGGGTGTGGAACATCAAGGTGCAGTTGAAGGATAGTGCCATCACGCTGAAGGAGGGCGGGTGGAGGGTCGGGGATGTGTGGGAGGCGAGGCTGATCGGGGTGGACACTTATCATAAGAAGATTGACATGGAGCCGATCAGGTTGATTGAGAGGGAGGGTGGTGCTTCGAGCAAGATTTGAGACATACTTCCTTCGGATCTCTCTATTTTTTGATACCCAGTCTCCACCGTATCTATCGCACTCGGTCGGGCTCGTCTTTTGGGAAATCGCCATTCCACAACATCGAAACCACGACGGAATCAAGCACAACCCTACCTACCCCAATCCCTTCCCGATAGATATTGACACCGTAGCGAATGACCATCCATCACATCACATCCACCTCATCCCACCCTGATCCCCCCCCCCCACCAAACCACCCCGTCACCCCGCCTCCCCTGACCCCCCGCGCGAACACAACCACCATCGTCTGCAGCTTCCGTCCGTCCTTGACGGCCATTACTACCCTGGGACCTTTTCGTCGGAGAGTCGTGTCGGTGTTAGCGCTGGCGTGAAGAGCGTTGCCGACGGACGGATGCCTCACCCTTTTGTCGTCGGTGGGAGGTCGGGGGGAGGTACGGGAATGTACTGTTGCTTTCGGATGACTGGCTGAGACGGGTCGGTTGGAATTATTGGGAAGGGAAAGGAGGGTAAGGGAAGGGAAGGGAAAGGAGGGGAAGGGAAGGGAAGGGAAGGGAGAGGAAGGGAAGGGAAGGTTGGGGGACAATGGCTTGCGGTGGGGTTGCGATTGGTTCGTTGGGTACGATTGAAATTGTCAAAGGGAGTTGAGGAGTATTGGCTATCACCTTGAGGCCGAGTTTGAGTGATAGAGTGTGTGCAACGCGTGTTCAATGGTATCAAGTACTGCAAGACAGCAGTGCAGGTGTAGGCTTGAATTATTACTTATTAAGCTCGAAGTGTATACACCATGCTTTGGTAGAGCCTGCAGGCCAAGCACCAGCTTATGCTTACTTCAGGGATTGTATGATTGGTGAAGCAATCGAGCACTTCCTCCGCCACTGCTAATGCGCTACACGCCATTCGTAGACATCTTACGCACGGCGCTGGCGAAGCCATCCTCACTCGCTGCCATGGCCTCGGCCGCTGCTGCAACCTGTTGAGGCCCGAGTTGGCCTTCCTTCACTCCGTAGCCGTTCACGTTCGATTTTCCCATGGCGGCCACCTCACTCAGAAGGTGCAGTGCTCCCTCTGGGAACACGTCCTTCTCCAGCGGATACTTATCGCCCAAGTAGTTCCATTGTCTAGGGGTGGGCGTAGGCTCGTGAAGATCGAGTATCTGAATAAAGTTCGTCGCCGGAAACTTCCCACCGCAATGTTCTTTGATTTCTCCAAGGGTCATGTGCTTGATCTCCTGGAACAAATCGAGAGACGCGTGGAGAACCATTAGAAAGCTGTGTGCTGGAAGAGACTTTCCACCTTCGGCACCGGTACGCAGTAAGTCGATCAGTCGGCCCACATACTGCTCAACCGTTTCCGCGCTGAGCGACATTTGCTTGCGATATTCCGGGTCGGCTTTTCCAAAATTGAATATCTTCGTCAGAGTCAAGGTTCCATGGGCAATCTGAGCAAATTGGAATACTGGCAAACTCCGCAAACCTTGGACACTCAGGCCCAGGAAATTGTCCAGCATCCCAAGGGTCGAGGATAGAGGCGTGTTCGACGGGTCTGCCATGGTAGACGGAGATGACTCAATTCGTTGTTTGCCTCGAGCGCCTGGTACTATGGCAGGTTCAACCCCCACGTAATATTGCATTGCTAATTCGTGCATGTAGAGATTCACCACGTTGAGAGCGAACGACAGTGGCCCTGCAGATACATTAGCCATGTCATACTGAAGATTTGGACGGCATTGACCAAGTCTGTGTATGCAGAGGCTTGTCTGGGTGGGTGGATGAAAGCTTACTTGATCTGAGCTCGGAAAAACTGCGCACCTCCCACTCCGATACCTGCTTCGCAAAGTGTGCGTGTGCGCTTCGGGTCCTGGCGTCGCGGGCTTCCACAGTGATTTCGGAATCCTCCTCTGCTGACGCCTGCGCTGCAAATTCATCTGCTAACCTTTGTAGCTGTACCCATCGACAGAGAATCTTGTCAGATGGGAAAGCATCTTCTGATATCTCTAAAGCTTTGAGGCAGTCTTCCGTATGTGAACTGGGTTGGACCAGATTTGGTCGTCTCATTCCCATTGCTATGCTGCATTTTCCGAACGATCAGCTTTGTAGAATTCAACATCAAAATTGCCCGGGAATGGCTTACCTCGAACACAACAAGTAGCAACCTAGCCAGGCGCGTCTGCATTCGGTTGTACAGGGATCGGACAGGTAGGACTTTGGCTTGGGAAGGCCAAGAATCTGCTCCTTCCTAACAATTAGTAAAGGCTGTCTCCTGTGCATGCCAAGATCTATCGCCATGATAGCAGTCATGTAGATGAATTGGTAGTATTTCGAGTCACCGTTAGGCTCAGGCCAGTACCAAATTGTGACTACCTGCAGAGCTTGGACCAGTTCCAAAGATTTTTCGCCGTGGATGAAAACTCGGTCTGCTAGGATTCGCATGATCTCCTTCGTGAGTGTAGCTTGTAAGTCGGGATAGTCTTGTCCGGAGGCGACACTAAGAATAGCGAGGAACAGGACTGGGCTTCTCTTGCGTGTAGCATCGGGCCTGACGTCAGGTGAAAATACAACGATCGGCATGTGAGGTGCCATGTGATCGGTGTAGTGCCTGAAAAGCCCATTGGCAGTCTCTGCATGTACAATACCCCGGCCGACGACATCTGCCTCTCCGTAAATGACAGCGTCTACCTCTCTTCTTGGCTCGAGATCTGGACCCCCGGCCTCCGACTTTGGCGGTGCGAACAGTCGCGGCCCCATGTTGGCCACATTAGCCGGAGAGATTTGACTCATGGCTTCGGAACCACTGAAACGACGCGACCCAGAGCTTCCACTCTGTTGATACTCGGACAAGCGTCTCTTGCGACTGGTACCAGCCGATGTGGTAGTGTATGGGGGAGTCGGCTGGTTAGATCTGCCATCTGAAGATTCGATCTGTGGTGTGTCTCCATCTCCGTATCCATCATCTTCGCTTCCGCTGACATTGCCTTCTTTGGTAGCGTGTAGACTGGCTGTAAGAGCATCAATCTTTCTTTCCAGCTCGGCAACTCTGCTGTCCGTCTTCTTCTGCCTCTTTCGACTCGGGGCCGTAATAACACAATTGCGGTTTGCCTTCCTACACCTCTTGCAAGGCCCCGTGCCCGGGTCCGGTTCGCATCTCACCTTGAGTCCGCGGCACGCCTCACAGGCTCTCGGCCGTTTGGTGTCATTATTGAACCCGGCTTCTGCGGACGATGGAGCCGCCTCCGAATTGGTCTGATATGCTTGATAATTAGCGGCCTGTTGCATTGGCGGATGCTGTTGGTCTGGCGGGGGGCCATAATACGGATTGTAATCATCTTGCTGCCAGTGGTGTGGGGCGCTGTAGGGGTGCTGTGATGGTTGTTGTTGCTGCTGTGGTGGAGGAGGTGGTGGAGGCAAGCTATGAGCGGGAATGTAGCTGATTGGGGGGAGATTTGAATACTGTTGGGGAACTTGGACCGACTCTTGGAGACGAGGATCAATGTCACTGGCCTGCGTTTGAGAGATAGGATATGGGGGCCGCTCGGCATCCATGTTGAGAATTTGGGTTCCTTGGAGTCGGTTTAAAACTGGCCGATTCACCGCGTCGGTGCGGGAGGCGATATCTTCCTCCGATCAGTAAAGTAGCGACCGAGGCGACTAGCAAGGGAGCTTTCACCGGCGAGACCGGCTTGATTAATTCACCAAAGCAGCTGCAGAGAGACAGACCATGCGAAATCCAATGGCTACTCCATATCAAAAATGAGTCGCACGGCGGGTCTACGGAAGAAAAAGGAGAGGAGGGTGAAGTCAAACTTGCATGAAAACGCCTAACGTGATTTGGTTTAGGGTAAGTGTATGTATTGACACTCGACAACTTGTCACTCTTGTGTACTACTTGTGTGCTGGTAATGATCAAACACCTGAATGAGCACGTGTTGGATCAGTGCATGTATTCATTGAGCTTTTCACAAAAAGCACAGTTTTTCATCTGTGTGCTACTGTGCGTAGTCAACTCCATGTGAGCAGAGTAGTGACATGTTGAACTCCATCTTCTTCCACCGTGAAATCTCAAAGCCAAATTACCCTCTCTCTAGTCCTGCTCCTGCTCTCAAGGACTGTCTGGACTCATGAACCACCAGTCTCCCCATCACAACCCCCAGAACTCATCCTCCCTGCTCCCTGGCATCGCAATCTCTGCCTCCAGATCCGTCATCTCCTCCCCTAGACCTGCCCACCTGCACATTTCGGCGTCAGCATGGCTTCTCTGAGGCAAAAAAAAAAGTCATGTCACAAGACGGGTTCGGGGGCTAAAACCAGTGTATTGCTTGCGGCTCAAAACCATTGTTTGATCAGAGAGAATTCGCTCGGAAACATGCACTTACTTATAACCCGCCCACTCGTGAAGCCCATTGAGCTCTTTGAGTCGATTCAGAATGTCTTGTGATCCGTCAATGGACTCCTCGCCCTGGAGTCGACCCTCAAGCTGGTCGATCTCGGCCTTTGCTGTAGTCATGTGACTCAGAAGCTGGCGCCTCTGATCATGCATCACCCCCAGACGCTCTTTGTTGCTCAGTCCAACGGACTTGAGCTCTCTCAGCTCTCTGGCAAAGCGTTCCAGCGAAGGTGGTGTCGAAGGACGCGAAATGGCTGGCCGCACAGTCGGAGTACCAGATGCTGGCGATGCAGGACCAGCAGTGGTGGCGATTTGGCTGCGTGGCATGAAAGACGCAGCCATTGGGTTTAGTGTGGGTAAGATACCACCCACACCAGCCATTCCTGAATCATGGTGAGCCAAGAGTGCTTTCAAAAGCATGGTGTACAGCCTTACCTTCTTGACCAACACCTGTCTCTCCCTGATTTGAAGTACCCAACTCTAAGGGCACGTTCCCTTCCATACGAGCCGTTTCTACTTTGATGTGAGCCAAGTTCTGAGTCAAAAAAAATGTTGGCTTGCCTACCTTTGTTGTCAGTATTGGCATCCATATTGTCTGGATGACGGGAAACTTTGGGTATGCTGCCACAAAAAGGTGCCGTTCCTAAACTGAGATGAGCCAAACATGCGTGAAAGTATAACACCTTGCCTTACCTCTCAACCTGATACACTGAGCTTTTCAGGTATGCTACCACAAAGAGGTGTTAATTCTAGCCTAAGATAAGAAAGGAGTCTGTAAAAGTATAACACCTTGCCTTACCTCTCAACCTGATACACTGAGCTTTTCAGGTATCTTGTCCCAAAAGAACACCCCTCCAGACTCAAGACGAGCAAGAAATGCACAAGACTATGCCCCCTTTCAGGTACCTTGCCTAATGAGTAGGATGCAGTGGTATGTAAAGAAGGAGGATAGTTTGGAGCCGGCGGTGGGAATATATACGCGGAGATGCTGCAGAGATTCACTTCCGGACGCGTGTGAAGAATATGTCTATGTATAGAGTGATAGACGCAAAAGTGATGCGAGACGGGAGTGTGATATAGAAGAAGCGGTGATACAAACGGGAGCGTGATAGGGAAGTGTAAGTAGTGATGGGTGACGGACGCAGTGATAGGAAGCACAAGGAGTGACATAGGATGGAATGAATACATCTGTCTTGTTCACTTTTGCACGCCTTCACCATCGACATGTGATTCTGTGAGGTGTAGAGAAATAGCTGGATGGGTATATGCAAATATTACAAAGCCACACATATATATGCATCCAGACGGCAGCAAATCGAAATACATTTTTGGGTTCATCAAGCACCATTTGCAGCACCAGGCATTCTGGTATCTTCAGTCTCTTCGGCCTCCTCTTCTAGAGCATCTCTCTTCAGATGCCTACTCTGATGATACACATAGCCTACCAGCACCACACCCACCACAAAAGCGACCACCAACAATATAATATTGACAGGCAGCGGATTCCGATGGAAGACCTTGTGAGTCAGGGCGTCCAGGCCTGACTGCGAGAAATTGAGCAGACCGGCCAGGCAGATGATCAGCCCGTAAACCTTGCCAAATGTTTGGAAGCCGAACACCTTAGCTGCGTAGTCGGAAACGGCGGTGTAGTAAAGGGGCCGGTAGAGAACGAAGAGTACGATATTGCCGTAAGCAGCCCATAGGAATGGCAGAAGACCTAGAACGCCGATCGCTGTAGCCACAAACACGAGTAACGCGAGCGTGAAAGGGGTGCTCGTGTTATCGAGCACAAGGCCAATGAATGGTATACTCAGCACGCCGCCTACTGGTAAAGCGACATCGAAGACATGGTTGACTTGCTCACCCAGAGCGTCACTGTGGAGCATGTACTCATACTGAGTTGTGACTGTGGCGACGAAGTAATTAATCCTCGTCATCTGGACGACAGTGAACAAGGCGATGAAAATAAACCAGGGAGTCATGATCTGTTGCATAGCCGAGCGACCGTGTAGAGCACCCCACACGCCACTGATCTGTTTCTTCTTCTCTTCTTCTGTCTGCTGTTTAGTGGCGGATTTGCCGAGAAGAGATGTCGTCTCCGAGACTACGCTTTCTCGATGCTGGCGCCGCCTCACTGTATTCTCAGCATCCGGGTTGGCAGAATCGATCTCCTCGGTCCGTTCCTCCGCCTGAATTATGAGCTCACCAACTGTCTTATAAGAGTTGGCAGGCATTACAAGGATTTGTACAACTAAAATGAAGATAGGAACGACTAGATAAACCAAGAAAAATTTCTGAGGCGTAAATGATCCATGAGACGCCGTATAGATCAATCGATAGAAAAGAAAGACGGCGCTTGATGAGTCGAAAGCGCCGGTAAGCAAGGCGAGGATGAGGCCTGAATGTTGGGGGAAAGTGTTCGAGAGTTGAAAAGAAGAAATGAATATAAAAGGGCCGCCCAGGGCAAGGAAGAGGTACCCCGGAATATATGCATCGAAAGGTAGTTGTGTCGCGAAAGCCATGAGGAGAGTACCGATGGTGAGAAGTATGCTGCCGATGATGCCGCTGATACGGGGGCCGTACCTATCAAGGACGGTACCCACGGGGAGAGCGCAGACGTTTGTTGCTACGGCGGCTGTTGTGAACATGAAATTGAGCCTAGCAGAGTTCCAGCATCAGCAGGATTCATAGCCTTCCCAGTAGCAGAAAGCCTACCGTATTTCCTGCTCGTAGCACGTCGTCCCCAATTCACTACTCCTAAATTCGTCTCTCTCACAGAACTGACTGTAGACCCCCTCCTGAATCAGGACCGGTTTAATCGCTGCATATCCAAATACGACCCCAGCTGCGAAGAGGCAATAGATGACGGCGGTAACAACCTGGACTGCAATCCTTATCCGTCAGCCACGTCTCATTACCTCCAGGTCAACGAGTACTGACATATTCTCTTTATCTTCGAGACTTCAAACGCCCCCATAGGCTCGTCCTTACAGGCCGGCGCTTTGCCGTTGCCCACGGGGTTGAAGGACATATTCTTGTGCTCTGATCTTGCAGGCGAGGAACCTCGCACCACTTGCTCGTAAGAGCTCATAGAGCTGACACGGTGTAGAGACATTTTGGGAGTCCGGATTGGCCAAAAGATGAGAGGGTTCCAAAAGAAGGAAATTCAATTCGAAGTCGCAGACTTGACCCCGCGTTTCTTTTTGTAGGGATTCGGTGGATGGTTGAAAGTCTAATAATCAGAGCAGAGAAATCGACCAAAAGGTCGCAGAGAAAGAGCTTGAAGTGCGCATGATTGAAGCGGGACTCATGAGACTCGAAACCAACAATATTAGTAACACATGATCAGAGTACTCTCATACCGAAGGTTGGAAATCTTTGATCAATCTTTTTCATAGGAAAAGATCAAGAGCAAAACCAGCCGCGGGACCCCACACGGCGGCGGAAAGAAGCCGCCGTCGCCACTCGCCAAGCACAAGAGGGAGTGAGGGAGTGAGGGAGTCTTGGAGTTTTCTCCCCTCAATACACTTACATAGCAAACGGCCATGTCTAAAAGATTGGAAACAGTCGAGATGGTGGAAAGCGAATAAACTCACACGAGATTTCTAAGATGAGTCTTATCAACATGTCCAAGCCATATCAAGCCAACTTGCAGATTGCAGGCAGGCACTGCTCACCAAAACCCCTTCGTTTGTAAAGTCTTCAAAACAGGAACATTGGTGACCAAACTCCCAACCCACATCTCAAGTCTCCCCTTGTGGATGCACAGGGCAAGCACCAGCGCCTTTCGTAACCCACCATTGCCGTATACATGCCTGATCCTGTTGTCAGTCCCTTCGCTATTCACAAGTTACACCCCCCAAAACCGTAAGAGTCGAAGACTTACCCTGTGAAACTTACACAAACACACCAACCTTCCCATCTCATCGCCAACCGCAAATTCCTCGAAGCAAATCACACACTCCTGCACTCCTTCACCATCTTGCCCAACACAGTCCTTTTCACTCGCATGATAGACAAACATGCCTGGCGTCCGCATTCTTTGTTGAAACGATGAGGATGGCATATCAGATGATCCGGATGACTCTCGGTGCCCGGTAGAGATTGGCCGTGAGCCAGCAGCTTGTGAAGGCGTAGCTGCACTTGCGACTACGGCTGCTGCTGTCGCTACTGAGGCTGGTGGGTGAGATGATCGAGGCCCAGAGGAGGAGAAGTGAGTTGCAATGCACGATTCTACATGACCTTCACGCTCAGCTTCAGAACCATCGGGACCCTTAGGCGGCAGAGCTTGATGGCAGATTGGACATTCGTCTTCTTCTCGCAGTTGAGGCCTGGGGGCGGGTCGCGGACTCGCCATGTCCAAGTCAGGGAGAGGGCGGTAGCGGGATGATGATGGGATAGGGCCCAGTGATGCATGGTGACGATGGTGGGGACGGTTTTGAAGGAGCGATGCAAGATGGCGCTTGAGATGTCAGCTCATGTCGGTCATGATCACTGATCCTTTTTGTAGACTTACCTGATGCGCTGTTTGATCAGGCGCTGAGCCGTATACCGAGGAATATCCTGGCAGAGACATGGGAGAGCCCACCAGTCGTGATGCATGACTGTGGCGTCTATTTGTAGATGAGCCCGGGGTAGGAGGTGTGAGTGCTGCAAGAGGTGCGATGCCATCAAACCTGGAAGCATTGTTTGACCGGTATTCAGAGCGGCCTGAGGACACTGTTCTACTCAGCGTCGGCACTTGGTCGTCTCCTGAAGATGAGAAGCATGGTATTGTAGGTAATTGCTGATTTGGGCCTGTATTATCTGGTGTGGGAAAGGAATCGAAGGTATGACGGGCCGTCGAGAGATATGGAAGATGAGGCAAGGGATTTGGATCTGGCACGCAGGGGTTGCATAATCTAACTTCTTGGCCACCACCGAGAGCAGGGTCAATCCTGTACTCTGAACTCTGCGGGCGTTCTTCAAGGTTCACCACCTCTCCAGGAGTATCGTCATCGCTAGTAAGATCAACAACCTCAACCCCAGCGTTGTTTGCAGTGCTTGGGCTCGGGGTAGCATCTTCGGGTGGATGGACGATGAATTGTCGAGGTATCGTGATCCGATGAGGAGAGCAATTCGCGCACACCACCCTTCCACACTTCCTGCAATGATGTTTTCTATACCAAAAGCTAAAAGTCGTTCCGCAAATTGGGCATTTGGACACCCCAGCATCGGGCTCCCACTGGGGAAGAGTGATTTCTCGACTTCCTCGATTTGGCAAAGAGTCTAAACTCGGCCGTCGAGGTAAGGCTCGCTCTGTAGCTCTTTGCGTAGGAGGACTGTTCAAGGTGGTCGAGGTGACAAACATGGGTCGGTCATTGCCCGGTTGCGTAATGCTTTGCCTCGAGCGAGAGCTGCCAGGGTGCACAAATGATATGCCACTAGACGACCTTCTCCTCGAATGCTCCTCCGCGTATTCCGAGAGCCTTTTTCTTCTATCCGCAGCCATGATCGCCGCCCGGCTTGCAGCCAATTGAGTCCGATTCAAAGGGTCCTGCCTACTACTCGATGGCTGCCTAAGCATGTCCATGCATGTCTCTCTTTCTGCCGATGCAGCTTCTGTAGATATCCTGCTCTTTGATTTTAAGCCACTTGATAGCACATCCCCGTCACTATGCCCTCTTCTCAAAGCATCTCCATTCCGACCATCATTTGGTCCCTGGCGGTCAACTGTACTGTTGGCCGAGGTGGTCCGAGGATGTTGTAAGTTTGGACGATGAGAGGGCGTAGAGCTTGAATTGCTGAAAGACGGGTCCATCAAGTATTTCGAGGCCAATCTAGGCCTCTTGTAAGGGCGTTCCCCAGACGGTGGAATGTTCCTCAAACTTGCCCTCGCACAGTGGCGGTGATGGTTATCCAGCTTGTTGTTTTTCGGAATAATGACGACAGATACCAGGAAGAACCTTGGAGGACGAGGGCCAGGCTGCAGAGGAAGGACTTCGTGAGCGCTGACTTCGGTAGTCTAACGGGAGGGCGGTGAAGTTTCAAGATGCGCAAAGATGGCAGCAGAGGTAGTTGTAATAAGAAGCCTTTGTCGGCGTGTTGATACTCGAATACTCTATAAGGATAGGTTGATTGGTCGTTCAAGGCCTAGAGCGAAACAATAGATATTAGGGAATGGTGTGAGCCGTCATAACAACCATCAATTGACTCGCAATTTGCATTGGGATTCTTGATGATGGACGAGCCCAAGTTGATTCCTATTGCAGGAGTCGAGTGATATTGGGAGTTCTCGCCATGTGAAGGAATCGCGCAACCTCGTGGCGGCTACAAAGACGGCACGCGACCCTCGGACCCCTTTTCTCCATAATCACATCAAACAAAGCAAAGGAACGTTACTTTCACATGCTTGGAGCTCACAGTGACCTGTGGAAGTAGACGATCCGAATGCGTGAGCATTATGTGGGTATTGTTGTAAGCAGCGTCTTCGACCCTCTCTAGTTTCATGCTCTGAGCAAAGCTCAAGCTGTTTATTATACACATTCAGTGTCTATTCTACAGTCTTTTCCTCACTCAGTCATTGCCCTTTGTCCATCGCGCATACTATAAAAATGATAACGCCAGCCAGTGATTCGTAGCCACATGCAACGCTAATATATGCTCGACTTCTGCCTCGAGGAAACAAGGCCACCGCACCTTTGCGTTTACAATGATAAAAAGAAACAGAAACTCGGTTCGCACCCAATCTATGGGATAATGTGACGCCGAGGGAATGAGCTGGCCTAGAAAGCATGAGCTTGCTGGGCATCAGGACTGACACTCCTTTGATCAGGGTCGTCAACGAGCTCAGCGCTTGAGCCCAGCATTGATGGGCCATCCGAATTTGCAGTGTGGATATTGTCGCTGGCTCGATGTTGCTGCACATAACCCATGCTTGTGGGCCGATCGAGCTGTTGAAAACCGGGAGCCAGAGAGCCAAGTACAGATGAAGAGTGTCTCGCATGCTGAGCGTATCCAGCCTCATCAGTTTCTCGGGTTCCTGGTGAGAACATGCTGGAGTTCATTGAATCCCCACCTGCTGATAGTTGGGTGCCTTGGGAAGGTGAGGTGGCATGATGAGAATAGAAAGGAAAGCGCTTGCTGTTGTCTTCTGGTGGCTGCAAACGCTGGTGGGCAGAAATTTTGGGAGTGATTGGTGGAGAAGGCGCTACTGTTGATAGCCTGGCACCGAACTTCTCCAAATCTGTTGAAGAGTCGCGTCTGGAACTCTTTCGTGGTATGCTCGGTCTGGTGCTTCTCCGCGTACTCTCACGAGTGGGTCTTGAGCTTGCCTTAGACGCAATTCGACTTGGCAGCTCTATACCTCCTGGGGTTTCGATATTTGGTAGGGTAGGCGGAAATTGTGAGATTTGACTTTCTCGATTCGGCCGCCAGTCTTCATCCGAAAGAGATCTGTCGTCACCCTCGTCGTCTTCGCTGCTCACAGGGCTTTCTTCGTCAGGCAGATGCCTGGTACCAGCCCCAATTGCATCTCCTTGATCGCTCAGGGCAAGGTCACGAGATCTCTCTGGCTGGTTGACACCGGGTTCATCCAAGTAACGAACTTCTTCACCCGGTATAATTGCACCTGAAGGTGTTTGTCTTCCCATAGGCGGCGCTCTTGAACTCCTGACGACCTCGAAACCCTTCCCTTTCTCTTTGGTCTTGCCACCAAATAGACTCTTGATCCAGCCGGAGGCAGATATCACAGGCCCAGTCGGATCAGCGGGGCCCGTCTTCAGCCTTCGAGTTGGCTGGTTCGATAGAGCAGGTCCTCTCACGCCGTAGTAGAAGTCAACTTCTCTTGTTGCGTAGTCAGTCTTGGATTGCCGTGGTTCTTCCGCATCAGAGTCAGAACGATCACGAGCCCCGCTCAAATGAGCTGGGATTGGTGTATCACGTCCAGATGCTGATGGGCCTTCTGTTGGCTGAGGGGATCCTTCCAGGTCAGGGCTGTGGTGACTCCACCGCCTGTTGGCCCAGTCAGGACTTCCCCACGAACCTCGAGTACGCTCTTGCGGAGAATTCGCATCCATGGTCGTCCTTCTCTGTCTCGGTGGGCGATAATACGGATCGGCCGTTTCAGCATTTCTCAGATTGACTATACCACCCGCTGTTGCTCCGTGGCCTGCAGCTTGGCTGCCACCTGGAACATAAGAAAAGGCGCTCGCCCCTCCAGATATTGGGGTTTCTCCTGCACCACCAGCGCTGACCGAGTCAAGCCCAACACTCGTGCGGTTATCGCTAGTACCTTGCCTGTTCAAAAGAATTGCTGAGCTCCCTGACATGCTTCGAGATCGACCTCCGTTCCACTGTAAAGACTTCTGGTCTGATTCCTGGGCTAGTATAGCCGCGTCAGAGGTTACGCTTTGACGTGCTCGGCCACTACGCCGAGGGTTTCTTCGGGAGAGTTGACGCATTCCGAAGACCTAAATAATGCGCGAAGAGTGAGTGCTGTAATCAGGAGAATCGTACCAATCTTGGGAATTGACGAGCAACAAAGTTCATCAAGGACTGGATGGACGCACCTTGACCAGTCCTCCTCTGGCAGCCCCTCCACCAACGCCCTCTTCACCTCCTGCACCAGCCAATCTTGCGAGAACCTCGATTAGAGTTTGACATGCATTGAGGAAGAAGCCAAATACCAGCACAATGGCGTGCATGAGAAGGATGATGTAGCCTATCCAACCTCTGGGTGCATCTTTGACACCTAAAGAGGGCAAGAATGCCACACTTAGAAGGACCGTTAGAAGTCTGACGACGGCGAAAAAGGTGTGAAACGCGTTCATGGACGTTGGAGAGTGGAATGGCCGAAAAGCGTTCAGGGTGAGTATGTTGATGACTTCGCAAATTGCGAGTAAAACCAGTTGAGCGATCCCGGACGGTTGAACGGCACCGATTGCTATTCCTCGAATGAAGGTCAACATGACAGGGACCAGGGCAAAGGTAGCTGCGTTGTCCGAGTACGTGTTATACAAGGGCCCATAGAGCAAGACCGTAGGGAGATCGTCGAACAAATACGATCGCGGACGAGTAGTCGCTATCAACCACAGGAGAAAACCTGCAAAGCCTATAAGGGCAACAAGCAGGACTGTTGCAAACCCTACTGTGGAGCCTGGAGAGTGTCCCGCGATGACTAGCTGGAAAGTCGAGAGCGCCACAATAGGTAGCAGAAAATAGTTGAATACAACCCGGATTGCATTACCAAGACTGAAAGGCAGGTTCTTTTGCCGAAGGTCTTCTTCTCGTGTATCCGAGATGAATCGATAAGCCCAACGGCAAGCGAAACCGATCTGTATCAGGGTGACAACAGACACCACGATGACTAGAAGCCATATTACCATACCAGCCCATATATCCTTATCTGCGGTCATTCCTACCAATTGACTCATCCTATCAAGTCCATAGGATCCGTTGGCCACATATATTCCATCGAGGAGGCTTTGGGAACCGCTGCCGTGCGTGACGAAACTCTCATTGAACATGAGTGCAGACCAGCTCACTTGGCTTACCACAGGCTGGTAAAATCCTGGGTAATTCAGGCTCAAAGATCCTATCAGGACGATGAACTGGATATACTGTAGACAATCTCCGAAGCCGGGAGTCACCAGTCGTAGAAGATCGTCATCTCTGCCGTAGTTGCTTGTGAACTTGAAGACATCGGTAGAACCCCAAGGGCTGAAAATTGCCGCGGTGGCTGTTGCAATGGCAACCAGAATGAGGACGACAAGCGGCAGGTAGGTGAGGGTCCTGCTGATAGTGTGCCCTAAATCTGGAGTTACGCTGGCTTCTATGCACGCCAGCGGGTCGGCATGTGGGTCTCCGGACTTGAGCCTAAGGAAGGTGTTGATTGAGGTGAATGCATAGCTCGAATACAGATCGTGCGCGGCAGTAATCCCAGGAAGCTCGGATATGTTGCTTCTTCAGGCAAGATGATTAGTACTCGTGGTTTTGGGGATGAGAAAGAGGACCTACTCAGTGCCGTTGAAATTGAAGACTGGGGCAACTGGACATGCTGTCACAGACGAAGTGTTGCAAAATCTCGCAGCGTCAGGAGCATAGGGTGTGTAGTCCAGCACATTGAATTCCGTCGTGAAAGTGGTATACAGCGCGTCTGGACCTGAACCATAGACATCTGGAATTTTGCCAACCGTATCATTCGGATTCGTCCACTGCGGGTCCGTCTGACTAGGATACGGCTGCTGGGTAGCAATTCCAGCGACGTTGCCATAAGCAGTAACATTGAGATTGTAGCTCTTCGCACTCGTATTAAAAGTGGCCCAGACGAATAGTGGCACAAATTGTAGAGTCTCCGGGTTGTTTGAGTTGATGGTATCCGGACTCAAGCAGTTGCCAAAATTAATGAACGCGGCAGTCGAAAGTCTGATAGGTAGGAAAAGTGCCAGTAACACCGTTCGCAGGATGTTAAAAGTGGAAGGCGTATCCTGGCAACTGCGTGTCTTCCATGGTGGTCGTCTTGGTAATATATCGCATGGCCATGGCAGCTTCTGGCTCTTCCTTGACTGTCCTTTCGCCTCTGCGGTTGCCATCAAGCCCTGCGTGTATTGCAATTGTGCGTCCCATGATGCCTCGCCCATTCGCGCAGGATAGTGCTTTTGACCATGCCACCAGGTCTCTGAGGCCATAGCCTTCACCCCTCCATCGACAGCATATATTAGTCACGATTTGCAGGCCTCTTAGATCTCTGGTATACTGTGTGTATTGAATCGATGGTTGGTTTGAGAGGAGAAGGACCGCTGAGTGGTAAGGCGATGGATCGACAGGTGAGGCGGAAGCGAGAGAGCTGATTCGAGGAAACAGTGCTGCGGTCGCAAATGAGAGTCTCAAAACAGGATTATCTAGTTTGGAATACTCGTGGTGGGCAGGCTGAAACGGGAGGGATTGGGGTGGTAAAAAGTAGACGTTGGACTTCGCGGGGTGAATTGATTCTTGAGATGCGAGGTTCGGGAAAAGTGAGGATCGCCTGGCCCGTTGCTTACGAGAGAGTAAATGGAGACTTTTTGGGGGCTCTCTTGAATCGCATCTATAAATCTGCTACAGTACGTGCGCCTATGTCACAGTCCTTTTGGGCTTCCTCTTCAACAGCCTGTGAAGCTGGAATTTGTTCCAAACAGTTATTGTTGTCTTGTGCGGAATGGTGAGAGTAGTCGAAGAGACTGATACGAGTATCATGCAGATCATTCTATTTCTAGACCTTGTTCCGCTTCCCTTACGGTCAACAACCATCCAGCAATAGCTATGTCTTGGGATGTCCTGAAGCATGTCATACTATCTTGACGTCTGATAGGCACGCCGAAGGAAGCTCAAGCGTATGACTTGCAGAGGCAGTCAGTCCCACACCGATGGTGCCGGGCTCCCAGTAGAAATGCCTGGCAAACATGCCGGAGATATGTCCGTCTCGAACATATACTGTACAGATCTATGCACCTGGTCCAAAATTTGGTGTGCGCGTCTCAAGCCAACCCAATGACTCGAGAAATCCGAAAGCCGGGCCATGTGTGCGAGTGCGGGTTTCTCCCTGCCACGCTTACATGCGCATGCAGCTTTCCCCGTTGGAGTTTCACAACAACTGTCCGAAACTAATGACTTCCACTTGTTGATCGTTGATCTTGAAGTTTCGGCAGAGAATTCAAAACGGCATTAGACAACAGCGTAATGTTTGGTTCTTCCTTGATGTCACCGTAGAATGTTGCTTCAATGAGAATTGCTGCAATACCCAGAAAGGCGTTCGAGGTGGAACAAAAGTTTGAAACCGATTCCGTGTCGACTTATGTAGACGTGAGTACCGTAGTGGTGGTAGGAAGAAGCGTTCATGTATATTGTCTACGGGGAAGAGTCTCATTCTCCGTCTACATCAAAATGCTATATATATTAGCAGTTTGCTTGAAAGGGATATAGAGGTCGGCCCCACAAGTCCTGCATAGCACTAGTAGCAGCCCTAGCCCTACTTCCGGAAGGCAGCCCTATAGGTAAGATTAGTCGGGACGGTATCCGACATCTGAACCCTTTTCTCATATGGTGATATGCCGGACTTTTCTCTATCTTATATCAAACGTCCTGCACATGCGCTAAAACTCTTAGCATGCTGAACACTGGTTGATTCTTCTATGAGATTGTATTCGCGTCACTGTTCACCAGCATCAAGATCATTGACATTACTATCGATAGAGCTTGAGTTCAAGCTCAATTCCCACTGCTATTCCCAGGCTCACCAGCCTGTCGTCCTCAAGAATCAATACACCTCAAATAACCTGAACAGCATTGCCCTTCTATAAAACTAGAAGCGCAAGACCAGAAGATTCTTGCTCATCTCTTCACGCAAGTCGATCCTCCAGACGACCACCCAGCTCGCTGTGAAAAGCCTCTGGCGTGATGCTTTGTGATACCCCTCTCCATTCAAGCTCCAATCCATGCGGTACTAGCTGCTTCAGCATCTCTTCCAAACTCCTCGGCATCCCGTGGCCAAGGATGGGCGCGCAAACCGCTATGACCTCAACCAACGAGTGATGGACGCCTCCAAGGAGCAGGGCCGCCATCGTAAGCCTCAACTCTGGCAGCTTCTCTCGAGGTCCGCCAAGGACTAGCCACAGATTTGAGTAACGATACGCTGTTCCCGATGGTCCGCTAGTTGTGAACAGACCTTTGTTGGTACAGTCCACCACGAAAGGGTCCTGCCCTGCCAGCGTGTACTTGTATGCTCCACACTCGTACGGTAAGCGTTTATCGGCATGCGAAGCGAGTGTCGCGTCGACCCCGAAGAGAGCTTTCAGCTCAAAATCTGAGATTGGGGGCCCGTAGCAATCACGCACACGCCAATGTGTCCGCCAGAGCTGTTTGGTAAATTCTCCAAGCTGTCCACCGTCTTCAGGGGCTACGCGTTCCCTCCCTACCGGCTTCCAGACCTCACGGAGATGCTCGGGTGGAGACAGAATTTCATCCGTGTCGCCAAAAGCTGCGATCGCAACAAACTTGTCTACTTCGCTTGGTACAATAACGCCGAGCTTGCCGAGCTCTTGCAGGAAGGAGTTTTCCGAACCCTGATCTGACTCTGAAAGATAGCGCAAAAGAACGCGAAAGGGCCCTAGAAGGCTTCGAATGGTATGAAAAAGTTGTCGTTGGTTTGCCCTTGAACGCAAGTCTCCAAGCTGCATGGTATTAACTCCTGATGGTAGCAGCTCTGGTCGTCTGCGTTCCACAAAGATGAAGAATCGATGCAGCTTCTCAAAAAGCATACGCAATACGGCCGCAGGGAGCGGGTGATTGCCTAAGATCTCGCGCACATCCATCTCCACAACTCTGCTTGTCGTTGTTCGCACCCTCCGGTGCTTGACTATCTGGCATTTGACTGCTGCCGAAATGCTTTCCGAGACAAGAGGTGTAGAGACATTCCAGCGACCTAGAAGCCCTCGTACAGCGTGCTCGTGTTCGATACTGTAATCATCGATATGCGTTCGAGGCTGAGAGGTTGGTGGCTCGGTGTGCTCTCGGAGTCTTTCGAGCTGCTGCTCCAAGATCGAGCGGCTGTCCATTCTAGTTTCTTCAAAGACGTGGCTAACCTAACGAACCAGATATAGCGAGATGCATTCAATCAAATTGTGACCAAGCGGGCAATAGCTTCAGTCAATGACGCAGATGCTCATGCTTCTTCAAAACCCTCGATTCGAAATGAAGACCTTCCCAGAAACGACAGAGACCTCTCACAAAAAGACAAAGCGGAAGACAATCTCTTTGTATCCCAATGCATTGTGTCAAGCGGCGATACGCCCTCACGATCTATTCGCAACGTTCGACTGCCATCACCTACTTGCGTGTACTAGTAACACAGGGTTTGCTAGCTCTAGTATCAGGAAACATACGTGCGGCCTTTCCGCACAACGCTAACCGCGTATCATCATAATTGTTTACTGTATGTCAGATCTGGGAGCTTTGGGGGTGTCACCCGCACAATGGACGAGGTCCAAAGTCCTTAGTGCGATTATCTCAACTTCTTTGTAATTCCAACAATGCTTTTGTTCTTCATATCCCGCACCTTTGTGTGCTGCACGCAGTTGGTATGTATAGGGCCCAACAGCTTTATCGTACTGAAGACTGCTGGTTACCCTCTGTTAGAGTAAACTCTATTCAAACAGTCCGGCTCGATAGAGACTGAAGATTTGATTGAACGCCAAAATAGCTCACGACTCCAAAAAATCAAGTTCCTTGCCATTCTTTCCTAATTTAGTTTCGAGGATTCAAGATTACCGTTCCCCACTCGGAACGATGCATGCGACCATGTTCGAAGATCGACCTTCGTGCTTTTTTCGAGGCCATGCCATCACGGCAATTTTTGAAGAAGTCGCCTCTGAAAACCCAGAGAAGCTCGCTCTAGTCAGTCGTTGCGGAACTTTGAGCTACGCCGGCTTGAACGAGCGAGTCAATCAGCTCGCACGTCACCTACGCTCTCTGGGAATCGGTCTAGAGTGTGTAGTTGCTGTTGCTTTGGAAAGGGGAATCGAATACGTTGTTGCCATGCTTGCGAGCTGGAAAATTGGTGCTACGTATCTACCGCTTGACCAATCACTGCCCGCTAAGAGAATGCAATATATGATTTCGGACAGTGGAATTTCCTGTCTTGTCACCGTCAAGAAAATCATCGAGGAGAAGTCTCTCAAATTGAAGGCTGGAACGACCATATGCCTAGACGAAGAAGAACTCATTGATAGGCTGAGGGCATATCCTAGCGCGGACATGTCATCTGTAGCGTATCATGACAATCTGGCATACATCATTTATACTTCCGGTACGACTGGGAATCCCAAAGGTGTCGCTATTACGCATGGAAGTGTCTTCAATCTGGTTGATGATATTCGACAGAGTCGCGAAATCGAGCCTTCCGATCGAGTGTTGCTATTTTCGCCTTTCTGCTTCGACGCTTCGATACGAGACATCAACGGCGCACTGGTGCTAGGTGCTTCGTTGTATGTCCCAGAAGAAGAGGAAATCCTCCCCGGCAATCTCGTGAAGACCATTGCGCAGCATCGAATCACCAACTCAGTCATCACCCCCTCGGTCCTCCGGACCTGCACGTTGGAACACCTGCCAGACTTCAAGACCATTGTTCTTGCTGGTGAAGCCGCTGACGCGTCTCTCATCAGGACTTGGGGTGCGGGGAGGAAATTGATCAATGCTTATGGTCCTACAGAAGCCACTGTCTGCAGTACGAAGCGGGTGTACTATGACGGCCAAATCCCGTCGGGGTGCTCTGCATCAGTGATTGGAAACCCAATATTGAACACAATTATCAGCATTCTTGATGATGACGATATTCCTGTTAACATGGCGAAGTTGGCGAGATATGCGCTACGGGGCCCGGAGTCAGTCGCCCTGGCTACCTCAATATGCCACAACTCAACGCTGATCGTTTTAGAGATGACTCATTTTGTCAGTGCCGTTCTTACAAAACCGGGGACCTTGGAAGGATTCTGCCCAACGGAGAGGTCGAGTGCCTTGGACGCAAGGCTTGCACGAGGCAGATCAAATTGAACGGACAACGTATAGAGCTGGAAGAAGTCGAAAACGTCATACGCAGCACTTTCAATGTCCTTGACGTGGTAGTAATTTCACAAGGAGTGGCGACAATTCGCAGCTTATGCGCATACGTGGTGCCTGCACATGAGGGCTCGACAGTCAACAGAGAGGCACTCACAGCGCATTTGAAAGAGCTCATGAGAAAAAACCTGCCTTCTTACAGTATTCCAAGCGTCATAGAAGTCATCGACGCCCTTCCATTATCTGCGAACAAGAAATTGGATATCAAGGCTCTGTCGGACCCGGCGTTCAAAAAAGTTAGGTGTTTTCGTTCTAGTCGCGAGACACTTCTCACACCGCTTGAAAAGAAAATTGCAGCAGCATTACTAGAGGCTCTGGATTTGCCGACAGAGCAAGCTGTGTCGCCCGGAACAACCTACGGGGAGCTGGGTGGCAGCTCACTGCAGGCATCATTGGTCCTACGCCGTCTGAATGGGTCTATTGGCTGCAAGATTCAATTTGGACAATTCTACCGAAGAGATATCTCGATACGTCATCTTGCGGACCTCATATTGGGGAGCAGCAACAGCAAGCAAGCCCACCACCTGACGACCTACTGAAACGAACAATTCTTCCACGTGATATTGTCTACAATGTACGAGCACCTAGATCCTGTCGGCAAGAGTATGTTTTCTTGACAGGTTCTACAGGTTTTCTTGGGAGCCACCTTCTCGCAGAGATGCTAAGTACAGGAAGCACCAGGGTAAGCTGCATCGTCCGCGCCCCAGATAACAGCACCGCATGGAATCGCATCAAAGCTGCTCTCCAGACTTGGGACTTGTGGGAGGCTAGCTTTGGTTCACGTTTCGACGCCTTTTGTGGCGACGTGTGCAAACCGTTCCTCGGTTTAAGCACGAATGAGTATCTGTATCTTGCAAGACAAGTCGACACAATATACCACTCCGCGGCTGCCGTCAGCTTAATAGCGCCCTTCGCCGAGCTGGAAGAAGCGAATATCACCGGCACCATTGAGATCCTCCGATTTGCCAGCACCCTTACTCAAAAGCGGCTGACTTACATCTCAACCCTCGCCGTATTCTTTGGCATCGGCAATAAAGTTCACTGCGGAATTGAAGTCCCCGTCAACAACCTGCAGTCTGGCATCGTGACAGGATATGCACAGTCCAAATGGGTGTCCGAGCAGCTGGTACTTGAATATGCAAGATTGGGCGGACATGCTTTTGTCCTTCGACGGGTCGTCTGCTCGGCAGCACTTGGAACTACAAATGTCCTCGAGATGACTTCACTATCCGTCTAATCGCGTCGATTCTAGAAATGGGGGTCGCACCTAACTTCGACGATATTGGTGGAAAAAGTTGGCAAATTGATCTTACGCCTGTAGATTTTTGTGCTCGGTTAGCCCATCGGTTTTCGTTGCAAAAGAAGACTGGAATTCGGCATATCATCAACAAGGAAACCATTTCATTTGAGGCTATCGTCAAAGCTCTGGGCGAACATATTCAGCGGATGCCTTATCGGCAATGGCTGCAGCTAGTCACCCAGTCCGCGCACCTCGCCCCTTTGAGCTCACTCTTCCACGGGCCGGTCTCGGATCAGGATAGCAGGAGTGTTTTTGAGGTTCTGCTCCAGACGAAAATACTTCGGTACAGCAGCTATGAAGCTACAGTGCCGAAGGACGACACCGATCAGCTCCCGTTGACTATCCAATTGCTCAACAACTATCTGGAAGGAAATCTGGATATCTTTTCCAACAGTAGAAAGTATAATACTCCTAGCGTATAGAACTGAAGTAGCAGTAGCCTCTTATACCATAACTTAGACGTTTTAATGTCCCGTTGTAGGTAAAAGATTTGGCGCCGAAGTCCTGTATGTCAAGGGGGCTCAGGCCCTAACTTCTTGCTCCTTCAGCTTTCGTCTTTCATCCTGAGCTTCCAACGTTCTCCTGCCTGCCCCCACATAATCCTCGCATTAATCGAAAGCGCCCTGTTTCTAGTCATAGAACCGGAGGATTTTCCTGCAGAAGATGCGGCAAGATCGCTTCGTTGACAGCTTCTAAGCCTTCTCATTGGCCGCCTAATCATGATAAGATGACGCTATATGTCTGCTGCTGTATCGAAAATGCAATCACACCTATTCAGTGAACGATCTGATTGTATCGGAATCAGTGTGGGTCGCTACTTTAGGAGTTGAGCTGGAGCTAGTGAGATGTCTTCCTGCATCTATTGTTGTGCTTTATGTCGTCTCGTTTGTTCGTTGTGATCGATTCATTGTCCTTCCTGTGTTGTTTGCTTTAACATTGTCTGTTTTTGTGCTTCACATTGTTTCATTTGTGCTTCGTAGTCGGTACTCTGTACTTTCTTTGTTATTTACTTTGACATTGGACATATCCCTTATTTCATTCTTGCAAACCTTTGAGTGCAATTTTCTTCCGTAAGACGCACTCACATCCTGATACTCGGAAACGACCACGCGCTCGTATCGTCAAAAGACCATTACACACTCACCTCCGCAACAACGATCGTACCTAGCAATATGGCCGCGTCACCTTCACCACTAATCCTCACCGAAGATGAGAGGTATGACCTTATCACATCCAATATTCAGGAGGTCCTCCGCCCTGACATTATTCGGGGAATCCTGCCTGTACGCCCCCTCGAAATTTTCTGGGGTACAGCGACTACAGGTCGCCCACACGCAGCCTATTTCGTTCCTGCCATCAAAATTGCCCAATTTCTCCGTGCTGGCTGCAAAGTCAAGGTTCTTCTCGCCGATTTGCACGGCTTTCTAGACGCCGACAAAGCCCCTGAAGCTACACTAGAGAACCGAGCCCGGTACTATGAGCGTGTCATTGGAGCCTTACTCCAAGCTGTGGGTGTCGGACTCCACAACGTACAATTCGTGCGCGGTAGCTCTTACCAGCTGACTCCAGCATTCTCCCGTGACCTGCTCCGGCTCAGCAAGCGCGTATCGGTGCATGATGCCGTAAAGGCAAGCAGCGAGATTGTCAAATCTATGGGCGAACCCGTTATGGCGGATGGACTCTACCCAATGATGCAGCTGTTGGATGAAGAGTATTTGAGCGTCGACGCAGAGTTTGGCGGCGTTGACCAACGCAAGACATTCGCGCTAGCCAATGACACAATGACCAAAGCGCTAGGGTTCAAGACGTGCGCTCATCTGATGAATCCAATGGTTCCCGGTTTGAGTGGCGGAAAGATGAGTAGCTCAGACCCGAAATCGAAGGTCGATCTATTGGATGATCCGGCAACCATACACAAGAAGATTGCGAAAGCCTACTGTGCACCCGGCAAGATAGAGGGAAATGGTATCTTAGCATTCATCCAGCATGTCTTACTACCGTACTCGCAATTGCAATCTCCAGATGGTAAGACGGCAGCCATTAGTGTGGTTTTGAGAGATCAGACTGAGCCGACCACTTTCAGTTCGTTTGCTGAAGTAACAGAGGCTTATGCAGCGGATTACTTGACACCACAGCTGGCGAAGCAGATTGTTGAGGAGAGTCTGATTAAGCTTACCACCTCGATTCGCCATCAGTTCGACACCGATAAAGAGTGGCAACGTATTGCCGATGCTGCATATAGCAATCTTACGGTATCACCTAGAGGGCAAGACACACAGAAGAAACAGAACAAAAAGGAGAAAAAGGAGAAAAAGGAGAAAAAGGAGAAAAAGGCAAATGGGACTAATCCAACAATCCAAGATGGTGCGGTCGACGATCAGTAGCCATGCCTTTTGTTGGTAAAGCGTGGACTTCGGCCCTCTAGAATAGATAGGCAGTGAGACTCGAGGGACAAAAAATGCGAAAAGTATGGAACCCTAAGTCTTTAGATCCGCATGATAGTGCCTGTCCATTCTTCCTTTTCACCACAGCCTGTCGTACCAAAATAAGATAAAAACTGCTTTCAATGCGTACAAAGAATGGCCCCCTTCAAGGTAACAAATACTGAATTGGAATACTGAATTTCTCCGAGCTCTTGCGGCGGTTCCTTTAAACAGACTGTGCTCTACTGTCAAACTTTTGTATGCTGCTTTAGATTTTCTAACCTACGATGCGAGCTTTCTGACTATAATGCTGACCATCAGCAGGAAGAACCAGAAATCGCCAAATGCAGAGAAGCTCCAAATTACATGTATTCTTGGATTTGGGTCCTACAGATGGAACTGTAGATCGCCGCTGTACACAACATACAAAGATTCAAGTTGGAACAAAGGAACAAAGCAGGGAAGCTTCTGTTCAACACCGCGGCTCTCGTGGCAGGCTCTGAGCCGCGTCCTTGAGATCTAAAGAACAGCGCCCGTGTTGAATACAAAGAAGTCTCTCGGTTGAATAATTTATAAATGCTTGGTTTGTGAACGCTGGATTTATCTCATCAGACTTAGATCACCAGAAAACTCGGCACTACCATGACGGAGCAGCAACAGCAAATAGAGCCGGTCGACGGGGCTTTCAAATGGCCAGCACGTGAGTCCCCACACCCCGAAAATCTTGCTCTTGCCTCCAAACTCTGCACAGCATTACTGCCTAAGGGATCAGATACTAAGACTATTACAAAGCACTTCCCCTGTGGCTGGTCTTCCAACGACGTCATCCAAGTCTCGATCCCCTCTCCCGCTCATCAACGCTGCTTCGTGGTCAAGCTCCCCCGCCGTCAAACCTCTTCGTGCATTGCTGCCAGTTGCAGGGCGGAAGCATTGCGAACCTGCTGGGCGGCCAAGCATGGCTTTGGACCCAAGGTGCTGGCTATCCATGAGGAGAGTGGGGGATTCGTCATGGAGTTCATCCAGGGACAGACGCTGACGACGGAGATGATAAGGCAGCGTCTGCCGCAAGCTGTGAACATGCTTCGACGGATCCATGAAGCTGAGGCAATGAATTGGATGAGGAGGTACGACCCAATGGAGATTGTAAAAGAGCATCTGGAATGCGTGAAGGAACGCAACGCGATGCGACCAAAAGATGTGGGCTTCGTCGAAGGCATCATACACGATACTGGGGAAGAAGTGAAAGGCCATCCGTGGATGCCCTGCCATAATGACTTCCACAGCCACAACGTAATGCTCAGACGCGCCAGCAGAGATGATTCCGACTGTCTGCTCGCAATCGATTTCGAGGACTGCGATCTCGGCGATCCGATGTGGGATCTTGCTTACTTGACGGTCAATCTCGAGCTGGAGCAGGAGCCCTACCGTTTGGAACATCTGTACGGCGCTAGCGCAGAAGACAGACGACGCGTTCGAGCTTATGTTCCATTGGCCATGGCGCATTGTGCTACTTGGGCAGCTTTGCACGGAGGGTTATGGGCGCAGCATCAAAAGGAAGTCATGGAACGATTAAGGAAGCTGGTAGGCGATTTAAGTTGAGGGACGGACGCATTGGTTCGCATGGTATTATTTCCAGTGATAGTGAGTCCAAGGCTTGTCAGGCTGGAACATCTTCCTATTTCAACGGCACGTTGAAGGTTTCGCAGAATTCTTATGAAACTGTTCTACAAAACATGAATCGCTTCAGTGATTGGAGGACAATTAATGCCCCAGCGCCCCTTCTATCTCCTTGTCTCCACATTGCTTGTTGACGTCGAGCCTCGGAAGATAATCTCAGTCACCTGTAGAAGCGATGTTAGTGGAATCCGAGATAGTAGTGCACGGTTGCTCTCATTCCGATTGCCTTCCAGTCTGAGTAGCCGCAGTGTCATTCTTAGCCCCGGACATTCACTCTAGATCAGCCTGTGCCAGATCTCTCATACATCAATACCTATATAGCTATGATGCAAGATTGAATGCCACGCAATTTGGTGCCAGCGCCAAGACAAATTTTCGCCTCATCCCTGCCGGCTGCAGCCTTGTTTGAGGAGCGGCCGCTAGTGTCTTGGCACCAATCAGAATCGTAGAAAGAAAGCTGCTTTGACAGGCGAGAGGCAGGTACGCTTTGAAGGTCTCGTGCTTGTGTGGTCAGCATCGACCGGGGCACACAACAGCCTCAGATAACGTCTGCTTGCCATCATGCTTGCCCTATGTCAAGCATCGAGCAGCTACAGAGCCCACGACTGTTCAGCTTCTCCACCACGCGACCCCCCATGAAACCCCACAATGTCGGAGAGCGTGTCTTCCCCGGAAGAGTCTCAAGGCGAGAATAAACCCTTTGGGAAGCACAACTGGCGAGGAAAACTCTTTTCAGCCGACAGCAGATTTGGAAGAGCTGCGGAGCCTCTCGAAAGTACTGACGATGATGTCGCCAACTTTCTCCACCCAGCAGGTACAAGACCAGAGGCAGGAACTCAGTCAGCGCCGCTTCCTCCTCGCATTGATGTTGCTGCTGGTTCGAGACGGCCATCTGCCGCCAATGTCCACCAGGATGATACCATAGTCGATGTTTATCGAAGGCCCAAACCTCGTCAGAACAAGGGGCTATGTGTAAGATTTGATTTAGGTCCGCTCGTAATTGGTGTGGGCGGAGACGAGGCTGAGCTTCCTTCAAGAGATGTCTCCAGGTCGTTCGCAGATTCAATGAGATCTGAACGATCGCCGAATCGAGAGCTATCACACTACAACACCAATGACCAGCGCTCCCAGGCATACGGACGGTCAACACATCCTTATGACGAGACTTCCTTCCCGCCCTCGTCTCTGCAGAGAAGACCGACCGGCATCGACGATGAAAACCTTGTGGAGGAATCACGTCATGCAGGCCATGATAGAGAAGCAGTTCAGTCTGCCTTTTCCCGAATTCGAAAGTTGTCGCCTCGACCGCGAAATGAAGAGCAGGATCTGGACTTGGACCTTCGTAAAAGAGAAGTCACGAATCTATCCTATAGACCCTCCTCGGCGAGCGAAGACCTGTCTTATAATCAAAGCTACACCTGGCAGACGGCAGAATTTGGGGATCAGGGGGCCACACGGCAGTTAATCGCTCCTCCTTCAGAAGCTCTGCCCGCCAGTGCTTTGAATCCTAGCGAGTCACCTGAGCCACCATACGTCTCCCAAGAGCCCTCATCATCAAGCTATCACTTTCCACCTGCCACCAAACGTCTACCAGAGCTGCCGGGTTCAAGAGATCAAGACATACATCATGACTCTCAGGACGTCCCACCCAGTCTCAAAGTTAATTCGCTTGCTATACACACTGCAGCCGAGAGACTTGGGGGCGACTCCTTGAATGACTTTGACTCGCGTGTGCGGCGCTTCAGCGACCTTTTCCGACTCAATGCTTCCGCTCATGTCGATATCATGGCAGTGCCCTTGGGACGATGGGTCAGCATCTCTGCATGGTGGTTCTTGAGGGGCAGAGGAGGGCTCGAAAGTGCCTTGCGTAGAAAAGCCTCGGTCATCGCTCCAGCTACTGCTGCGAACGATGGTGGGTTTTCTCAAGCATACGTCAACCTTGCAAAGGCCTGGTGGGTATTGAAAGATGTCACCCCGAATCTTCCTGAGATAAGAAGGTTCGGTAACGCGAGTATGAGTTCCATGGTTGCAGTGATTACGAGCTTCGGAGACCAACCTCTTGCTGAGCTTGTCGAGGTGCACTTAAGAATACTTGCAAATTTGCGTGGGTTAACGATGTCGATGAAAAGAAATGGAAGGTTGCCACCGGACGATCTCCAAATGCAGGGATTAGAGCCACAGATCTTCCTCGAGACTCCGACCTTTTCCCCAGATATTGCGGCTCTGATGATCAACAATACTCTCGATCCCACAACCAAGGGCAAGAACTACGTTGCCGAGCCCTTTTTCCCGATTTTGGTTGGAGACACGGCACGTCACTTCAGCTTTGGCAAGATGTTTGTTGACGTTTGTTTGGACACTCGTAATGATGCAAAGTCAGGAGTACAAATAGCCTGCGTGGTGTCGGTACTGCGCGAGCGAACCGATTGGGCGGTTAAGACAGCCGTTGCGAGCCAAGACGGGAAGGTCAATCTTCTGATACAGTCAGGCGAGGCTGGCAGTCTACATTGGCATGACGTGCAATGGAAAATACCGCTACACACGATGCAGCTTCGGCTTGCAGAAGATATCTGTCTACAAATCAAGTTTTGCGAGAAAGATTTCAAGACCATCTGGGGCATCTGTGATTACACGCAACGCATTCGAAAGGAGTACTCCGCCGGGAGAGACGAGGAAGCTCTTTATGAGCGCGAGCTACCAATCTTTCAATGTTTTGATTCCCCATCATTTCCTAGGGAGCCCATCAAAGACTGCAGAGTACGACTCTTCGAGAGGAAAGTCGTTGCAGTAGAGGGTAGTAGGCAGCATAGAGTTCACGATGGTTATCGGTTGATGGTGATCACTCCCCCAGGTACCAAAACATTGAGCAAGGTTAACTATCAGCTGGGAAAAGAAAGCCCAATACTTTTCGGCACCTATCGAAGCAAAGGTGGGAACACACTGCTTGTAAGGGTGCCGCCTTCTTTGAGGGTGTCTCTTACTTTCCATAAAGCAAGCGATGTCGAGCTATTCCGTTCCACCATTACTGGGACATTGATAACGGAAGACGATCATTGTTCGGCCTTTTTGCAGTTGCAAAATTTTACTATCAGTTCCGTGTCTGTTGATCAAGACATGGCATATATGAACGCCAGTCGCTGTATTAATGATCTCAAATGGCATACGCTACGCGTTGTCAGTAAGGGACCGCCAACTTATGGTCATGACTCGCAATCGACAATTTTCTCAGAGCATCTTCGAATACTGGCAGACTGTGATTCTGGCACATTCACGGACCGAATTAATGCAGGGCCAGGTGATCTGCAGCTGAGTCTGAGCGTTGAGAATTTTAATGAGATCAAGCTCCTGCGGGCAGCACAGCAAGACATGACTTGGGGCTTCGCCGACGGTGTACTGCCAGAGGCTGACTTGAGCTCGTTGTCCCACATGCTACAGTTGGTGGGCATGTCTCCATCCATAAGAACCTACCACTTCCGTTCTCTGTCAGATCTGCACAGCTTTCAGGCCATGCTCACAGGATTCCACGTGCTGTACGACGGAATGGCAAGCACATTCTCTATCTCGCGCGGACGCTTCAAGCGCTGGGAAACCAGCACTCCGCGCTTGCAGATCATAAAGCAAGACAAAACCGTGCAACTGGTAGCATTCTTTAAAGACTTCAGCCATGGAGCATGCATGAACTTTGTCCTCAAGGTCACTGATTTTTTTGACACTTTCGCCCGTTCTGGCGTATTCTTTTTGCGCATCGTAGATGCTAAGTTTGCGTTACCAAAGGGCGAGTCGGATCTCGCAAGGGACTTCGTTTGTCTTGACATGCCTGAGTATCCGGGTGAACACGATGATATCATCATTGGATTTGATAACGAAGATGGTAAGCATTTGAAGAGGCTCATTGACTCTAGCGCAAAAAAGATCTGGACTGACCAAGCTGCAGACAGAGATAGATTTGCACAGGTACGTTATTTCGGAGTGAATGCTTTCTATTCGAGACCTGAGTCTGGCTCGTGAGACACATGTTGGGAGCGAGAAAAGGGTTTCTTCCCGAAGCAGGCTCTAGAGACTGGTCTCACGATTACATTGCGTATTGCGAGATGGGCTTTTCCCCCCCTTCCCTGGTTCCTAGACCTGTCTTACGAGTCGAATTTGTGTCTCACAATTAGCTTCTCTTCCTCTTTGTGCTCGCTAGACCTGTCTCAAGAGCTGAGTCTGTTTCTTGCAAACAGTATGCTGACTCCGGCATCAGACCTTGCCGGCGCCGGTCAACAAAATGTCTCGAATGGCGTCTTTGAGGAGGTGACATTGACTGGTTAGCGACTCCTTCTGAAACTCTGGCGGGGTGCTTAGGCTTCGATGCTGGCATGAGTAATGCCTCTACTCTACTGGGATCTTCATGTCACGATGAAGTGACACAAGTCAGAAAATCGCAAGTACCTACATTCTATGAATCAGGAAGCACCGTCGGATTGCTCGACGCTATACTTGTTCCAGGGCCTCGCGGCACCTGTTTATGGGGCTCTATAGATGGTCAAGTATGTCCTTCCAAACATGGGCCGAAGAACACTGTATGTTGCTCTAAACATTTTGATGGTGAAGGTTGATGGAGAGCTGACGAGCTGACGCTGAGGCCAACAATTGAAGCCATTTTCCATATTCGGCGCTTTCGCAAGGCCCAGCGGGCAATCATCTGAAGTGCTATCCTTCAAGGAGGTGTGAAGGGTGGCCGAATAGGAGATTCCCCGGAAGAGAGTTATCTTCTCAGTACGATAGGTTCCAAAAGAGTGACATGAGAATCGTCCAGACACACTGTTGCTGGTGATAATATCTGAGCAACGTGTAACCAACACTTGCGGTGGTGTCCTTCATTGAGGACAGCAAGAAGTATAGGCGTGATAGATAGCCAAAATGTTGAATCCCCTTCACCACTTTACTGCAATGCAATATATCAACCACAAGCTTAAACCTTTTTCAGTTCAAGCCCTAACTCGGCAATTCTTCGGGTAATTCCATCTGAACCTCCAGCAAAGAGGTAGCAGACTCCCCTCCTGAACACCGCCGTCCTTACTCAATCAAGCATGCCTCCCTCCGCTGCTCCCATGGGTATAAACGCCGTCTCCCACTCCAAACCCCCCCATCCAACCCAAACCCTTCACCACCCTTCCACCCTCGCCATCCACGCCGACGATCAACTCAATCGCTCCACCGACGTATCCCCCGCCCTGCACGTCTCCACAACATTCCGCTACGCCTCCAACCCCGACGACTTGGTCCCCGCGAAAAACCTCAAGGTACGCCCCCCGGGTTAGCCCACACGGGTACCAATGGGTTCTCCCAATCCCCAAAGGAAAAAAGCATCCGTCGATGTCCAGCCCAGCTGATACGTATCCCCGCCGCCGCAACAGGGGCCGCAACCGCTCGACGCGCACGTCTACTCCCGGCTCACCGCGCCCACGAGCACCCGGCTCGAAGCGCTCCTCGCGCCCCTCCTCCGCGCCCCGTGTCTGACCTACTCGTCCGGCCTGGCGGCCCTGCACGCCCTGTACGTCTTCCTGCACCCCGGGCGCGTCAGCATCGGGGGCGGGTACCACGGCTCGCACGGCGTGCTCGGGTTGCAGCGGAAGATGACCGGGTGTAAGGTCCTGCCGTTGGATTGCGCGGCGGAGGAGTTGGGCCCGGGGGACGTCGTGCATCTGGAGACGCCGGTGAATCCGACGGGGGAGGCGTTCCGGATCGAGGAGTATGCGCGGAAGGCCCACGCGAGAGGTGCGTACCTCCTCGTCGACGCGACGTTTGGGCCCCCGGGGTTACAGGATCCGTTCGTGTGGGGCGCGGACGTCGTGATGCACGCCGGGACCAAGTATCTAGGCGGGCATAGCGACATGTTGTGCGGCGTTCTGGCGAGCAAGAAGGAAGGGTGGGTGGAGGAGCTGAGGGAGGAGCGGACGTATCTGGGGAGCGTGATGGGGAGCCTGGAGGGTTGGCTTGGAGTGCGGAGTTTGCGGACGCTGGAGGTTAGGGTTCAGCGGCAGAGTGGTAACTGTCAGCACCTGGTAAGCTGGCTCCATGGCATGTTGGAGGGGGCGGAGGGAGGTGAGGCGGTTAGGGAAGCGGTGGAGAAGGTTCAGCATGCAAGCTTACAGACCGAGGATATGGAGTGGTTGAGGGACCAGATGCCGAACGGATATGGACCTGTATTTGCAGTCACGATGAAGATTGAGAGTTTGGCGAGAATCTTGCCGAGTAAGCTGGAGTTGTTCCATCATGCTACGTCTCTAGGCGGTGTGGAGAGCTTGATTGAGTGGAGGGCTATGAGTGACGAGAAAGTTGACACTAGGTTACTCAGGATCAGTGTGGGGCTGGAGCATTGGGAGGACTTGAGGGATGATTTGATGAGAGGATTTAAGGCTCTGAGAGACGAGGTGAAGAACGGGATGGTCGCCTCCGACTCAACGGCTTGAAAGATCCCTCCCCAAGCAATCGCGGCATAACACTCGCGGCATCCCTGGCCAAAATCTGGCCCAAGCGTCAAAGCGACCAACACATGCAGGAACTCACCGTTCTGTGGCAAACAGCCCTATAAGTGACCGCTCTTTGGTCAAGTGATGGAAGCCTCACTGGTTTGCCGACCTCCGGCCAGTAAAATGAATGAACCAAACAGTCACCTCTACATCCCGCAAGGGACTGAACCCACAATGAATTCATAAAACAGTCACCCATCTTTTGGCCTCTTTTGTTTATCTAGTGTATGTTGTGTCTCTTCCGCACAAAAGAAGAATACCCAGAGTTTACACAGCTGTTTAGGTATTCAAAAATCACACAATGTAAGGATTCGGAGCATTCTGCGTTCTTCTTTGCAACAAACCATGGGCTTGCTGCCCAATTTGCGTGATCATTTGTAGGCTGACTCCCCAGTTTTTGACAGTGATATCAGCATACAAGCCTTCACTGTGAGTACAAAAGGATGGCTCCTTACCCGTCTATCAGCCAGAACACATGACTTGACACAATCGACATAGTTACCGGAATAGGATGTTGGCATCTTCAGACGTACCAACGGAAGGCCTTGCAGCACTCAGTGCCATGCCACCTGAAAACACCATAACCGACAACGTCACTAACGCATCGGCATCTTCCCCAGGGAACAACGCCAATGATGGGCCTCATACCGCTGCAGATACTCAGATTGAGGCTGGGGAGCCATCCATTACTCACAAGACTGGGACAGACGATCCGGATCATGAGGCAGATATCGGACCTGCTATCTATCCGCCTGCCCTCGAGAACATGGAGGTCCTGGGCTATATCAAGGACAAGAATGGCATTGACTATTTTCGTGACATTGGCTGTTCCGCTTCGATCCATGACGAGGTGTACTTCGTCTTTGGGGACACATTCTGCAAGAACTCTGCAGGAAAGTCCGTTGGTACCACGAGCAATACAATCGCCTATGTTGAAGATCGCACCAACTTCCTCGAGAGCGAGTATAGAGAGATCTCAAACAATGCCAGGGTCAAAGCGTTTGTGCCTCTGAATGACAGAGAAATTCGCTTTGAAGAGAAGAACGAAAATGCTCGTGTGGTGTTTCGCATGTTTGGTGGGATAGCTGACATTGGTGTAGTGGGTGTCATCTGGTTCCAGAAGTCGATCAAGTACGAGAACGGCGAGGAATCTTACCGTGGCGTTGGTCAAGCCAGACTCAGTACCTACTCGGATGGTAGTATCATTGTGGAGCGCCTCCCACCTCTCCTCTTTGGCCCCAACGAGCCGAAGATAGGTTCATTCTCCACATTGTTCTATAAAGGCCACGTCTATCTCTGGGGAGACGGTCCAAAGGGGCAGATAATGCTTGCTCGAGTGGATCAGTACGAGACGGCTCTTCGTGACCGATATGAGTACTGGTGAGTTATGTTTTCCCAGCCATTTGTTCCTCATTCGTACTGCATCTTGTATTGCAAGACACGTTGCCGGAGTTAAACACTCCCGGAACATGTCTCACGACTCGGGTTTGATCCTAGAAGAGTTCTGCTAACTGCGAAACCATATAGGAGTGGTAGCGATTGGGTCCAACGTTGGCACGATGCCGTTCCTGTCTTGCACGATGTCCAGCACGGCGCCATTATTCACACTAACCTGTTCGGTAAAGAAAAACCATTCGTCTTCGTCGGAGTAAACAATCGGGCGGACAGTATGGTTCAGATTGGCGCAGCTGCGGAGGTCCAAGGCCCTTTCGCCCTCACGGCTGTATGCCAAGCAACAGGCATTAAGAACGACAAAGAGCACAAGTGCTGCATCTACCCTCATATCTACCCCCATCTTTGGGCCTCCAATGTGCCAAAGCGTGAATTGATGATCACTTGGAGCGAGAGTCCGCCTGGTGGAGTCATCGCTGCAAAGCTGAAGTTCAAGATCGATGAGGTCGCGGCCGTCAAGGAAGCCGAGGAGCGTAAGCGTGCAGCCGAAGAGCAGGAGACCCGTCGTCTTGCCAGCATCGCCAAAGAGCAGGAGGCAAATTTTGAGTATGGTTTCGTGTCCGATGAGAGCGATGACCCCAGACCAAGGAGGGATCGCTCAGAAGGACGCCTGAAGACAGGCTATGTCTTGAGGGTGGTACGCACCTCTTCCGATCATCCAACGAAACCGTAACCGAAGCATTCTGCCTGCATTCAGGAAAATGCTCCCATGTGCTGGCGGATGTACATGGATATTGATCATAAATCATGTACCTATAATGTTTAATAGCTTCACAAGAATGCTCAAAGAGAGATCCTGGTGAGCACCACCGAACGTAGACTGCCAACATGTCTCCTTTATATTAATGCTACTTTTGGGGCTGTGGTTCTCAAAGCCAGTGTTCCGAAGAGGCTGATTACTCTGTGTCTACGGGTTTCTGAGGGGGACTGTCCCTAGAAGAGTTGGCAGTTGCTCGTATGTTGATGCATTTGTAGGGCACATAACCATCGCAAAAAGGCAGTCCTCGCATCATAGGACTAGTATGTCAGAGCGCAGAACAGATCGTCCCGCGAAGGAGGATCCTGAACTTGAGGTTTCGTACCTTCAAGTCTGGCAAATGGAAGGTCGAGGAAATTGCTCCTCTCGATGTTCAGTCTTGGCAAAGATTCGTAAGCACAGATTTATCCAAGGTCTTGGCGCTAGCACTTCGCGAATTTCAAACGCAGTGTTCGACACTCGAATTACAGACCACTCTTCTTCCTCCTCTCTACCAAACTCCAGCAGTCTCTCTCAAACCCTCACCTCACCTCAACCATGGCCAAGTAAGCCCCTGCCCCCTCCCCCTTTCCATCCAAGCGTGAGCTAAGTAGCCCAACAGCTACCTCGCCTCCATCTTCGGCACGGAGCAAGACAAAGTGAACTGCTCCTTCTACTACAAAATCGGCGCCTGCCGGCACGGCGACCGCTGCAGTCGCAAGCACGTCAAGCCTTCCTACTCCCAAACCATCCTCTTGCCAAACCTGTACCAAAACCCGGCCTACGACCCCAAAAACAAGATGAACCCGAGCCAGCTGCAGAACCACTTCGATGCGTTCTACGAGGACTTTTGGTGCGAGATGTGCAAGTATGGCGAGCCGGAGGAGGTGGTGGTGTGTGACAACAACAATGATCGTGCGTAGACCTTCCCCCCCCCACCCCCCAGCACGCCCAAACATACTGCAGCGTTACGAGGGAGACGACGAAGCTGACTCGAGCGGTGTGCCGTACAAGATCTCATCGGCAACGTCTACGCGCGCTTCAAGTACGAAGATTCGGCGCAAAAGGCCTGCGACGCGCTCAACAGCCGCTGGTACGCCGCGCGGCCCATCTACTGCGAGCTGTCCCCCGTGACCGATTTCCGGGAAGCGTGCTGCCGGCTCAACAGCGGGGAAGGGTGCGTGCGGGGCGGGTTCTGCAACTTCATCCACCGGAAGGAGCCGAGCGCGGAGTTGGACCGGGAGTTGGAGCTGGGGACGAAGAAGTGGCTGAGGGCGCGCGGGAGGGATGAGAGGAGTATGACCAAGAGTCCGAGTCCGGAACCGACGAGGAAGAGGTTTTGAGGCGGGAGTGCGAGGGCGGTTGGGTAGCTGGGTGACGGTGATGGCCATGGCGGCTGCGACAGGTGGATCTCGTAGCGTGCAAGTTCTCATGCTGAATGCGCTATCTACGTGGCGTTTTGCGGAAAAGCGAGGCGTTGAGTCGATGGGCCTTTAGGTGAGGCCGAAACCATTTCATGTACTTTAATCGGGAGGGAAACTTCATGTTTCCTGGTCATGATCCAATTATTACTCCACTAGTGTCCCTCGCGAGCCATGTGTATCACTGTATTTCCAAGTCCCAAGTCCTAAGTCCCAAAGCCCATATCGCTGAGCCCCATGCATGATCTATACCAAACCCCATTCGCCATGCTTGTGGCCATCAGCCAGCCAACAAGCAGCGCTAAACCAACGATGTACCATCACGCTTCATGCCAGTAATGTCTCACCTAGCGAACTCCTCATTCGTTCCCATGCTTAAACCAATTATTGCTTCCCAACCATGCAAAGATCGCGATCAATATGCCAATAGCAACGAAGAAACAAAGCGAGATCATCCATATCCGTAGCCGGTTGCGTTCGTGCTGCTTTCGCAACCAAGACTCGCTGTCGCAACGGTCAGCATATCGTGCGTCCTTCGAACACGGTGAGTCCGGCAGGGTAGACGAGGACGTACGTGTGTCTGAGCTCTGGCCGAGGTAGATGTCTATGAGCATGATGGGCTTGGGATTGGGCTTGAGAGATAGAGGAGGATGGGTATATGCTTGTATCGAGGGAGTCTCCACGGACGGCAATGGATGGATAGAAGGTTTTAGGGTCGAAGTTCTTGAGGTGAACGGGATCATCAGGCCTTGCCATCCTGGTTGTGGGATATAGCAACCAAGCGTAGAAAGTGCTTGTGTTGGACCCTGGTATGCGGACGATGTTCCAATCAATTAGATGCTGATTTAGTGAGGAGCTGACAAGAGTCTTGGTATCTTCAAGGGCTGGGCGCCGAGCAACGGTACTCCGGGAGGAGACTGTGCTCGTACGAAAGAATGTGAAAGACAAGGGATAAGAAGACGGAAAGGGACGGGAAGACGATACACTCAAGTATCCCAGAGCAAAGAACAATAATAAAGGGGGATTGACACGGGAGCTTCACATAGCCAAGGACATGCCCACGTTTTCGAATCGCTTGACAAATATGCCTGAAACATTCAAACCCTCAGCACACTTGCCCACACGGTCACGGTGGATTCTCAGCTGAAGATTCATCACATAAGAGCACCATTTGATTTCCATTTTGCAATGTTGTGAAACCTCAAAAGAGCTCAGCAGTTGGTCTTTAAGTAGCGGTCGATGTCGATTGGGGGCGTCTTGAAGTTTGCTGACATTCGAGCCAATGAGGCTGGAGCGCAAGTCGGCTCCGCGTGGGATGCAAAGCTAGATCTACGATACCGTCCAACCTGGGTCGATAATCGCAGTCGTTGATATCATTATTGACGATAGCGCTCCAAGCGATGCTTGGGACACAAGTTTGAACCGCTTCACGCGGCGTTCTCTTGGCGTCTGAGGACCCTATATTGTACTTGCGCCGCGATCCACTTTCAAAGCAATGATCACAGCGAGGGTTCGAACATCATCTCTGTCTTTAGGGAAGAGATCAGCGATCCTTCTTGATCCATTGGAGAGATCCTTCTAGAACAGTGTACGTGTTGTATGCAGTATCATCAGCCATGATGACTTCCTTTGCCGTACTTCTCCAGTCATGGGCCCAGGAACACTGTATCTGGACTTTGCTCCAAGACCTGTGCTTCTCCCCAACAGCTCTATTGGTGCATTGTTCTTGAGCAATTGCTGAAACTTTTCTCTTGCGAATGGTTTTCATCCTCTTCTTTCTTTCTTTCGTCTAGACCGCTCCCTCTCTTCCATCTCTTCAAAGACTTCCCTTTCCAATTCGTCCCTCAACCCGCCCAAATCTGGCGGTATGTGCTGCATCTGTACACTCGGCGCTCCCTGAAGGTACCGTAATTGTTCCATTATCCCCATCACTACGCTTTCCAAGTACACCCTGCTGTTCTTGTTCTCGTACCGCGTGAAGTCTAATTTGGGAAAAAGGGTCTTCTCGTTGCCGAAGTGTTCTAAGAATGGAGTGTGAGCCGGAAGATTCGGATGCACCTCCGCACCAATGCACAAGCTAGTCTCATAAGCCCATGCTTTGGCCACATTCCGTGGTGTGTACCCTCCGCCGCCAAGTACAAGCAGAGGCAAATTGAATTTTTTGACGAAAGCTACACATGCACCATGTGCCTTGATGTTGACGTTGAAGCAGCCAAGTCGGTCTCCACCGAGTGAGTCGGCGCCACATTGAAGGACAATCGCTGTAGGCTTGTACTGGCGCACACAAGGCTTCACTACGTCTTCGAAAAGTTTGATATATTGCGCATCCTCGATGCCATCATGAAGGGGCACGTTGAGGGAATGGTGGGCGCCAGCACTCGCATTGTTGATAGGGCCAGTGTCGTCTAGGGCACCGGTACCGGGGAAGAACTCGGCTCTGTTGTACTTATGGAATGATAGTGTCATGACGCGGTCTGTGGACCAGAAGGCTTGTTCGACGCCATCGCCATGGTGGACATCGATGTCGATGTAGAGGACTCGAGGGTGATGAAGAAGTAGCTGAAGGATAGCGAGGACAATGTCGTTGATGTAGCAAAATCCAGAAGCTTCATTCTTCTTGGCATGGTGCAGCCCTCCTGACCAGTTGATCGCAATGTTGGACTGGTGGTTTGTGAGCTTGCGGGCTGCATCAAGAGAGGCTCCTGCATAAAGCGAGCAGTAGTTGTAGAGACCGTCGAAGATCGGGCAGTCGTCACCGGTATTATAAGCATATGTCTGGCTGTCGGGATCCCATGTGTTGTCTGACGGAGTGACTCTACAGGTAGTGATTCAGCAATGCTAAAGCAAGACCGGAGGCATATCCACCACTGACCTTTGCAAGAAGTCAATGTAATCTCCGCGGTGAAAATCTTTCAATTCTTGGCTTGAAGCCGCCCTAGGTATGTAGATGTCCATTGCTTCATGCATGCCATAAGCCATGACAATCTTGTTTGTCAAGGTCAGTCGCCATGGCTTCATCGGGTGCTTCTGCCCAAAATGCATCTGTTCCATTTCAGGGTTGGCATGGTAAGATACGGTGTATCCCTTTGGCTTTTTGATTCCATTGTTCCAGATCTCCCTCCGAATCTTCTCATCGACAGTGAAAGTGGATGTTGTTCCAGGTTGTGGATGTTTGTAGTCTTGAACTACAGATGTCTTCGCCATATCGCCGTTTTTCACATCCCTTCCTTCTCTTAGATGAGGTACAGTTGTTTTCCCTTGGAGCAGTGGCTCTTCTCATGGTCAGAACGAGTAGCCAGCGATTGAAGGGGATAGGAGCATTTCTAGACAATGAGGTGAAGAGGATCGTCAGGAACAATTCTGGAAGCAAAAACAACCGAGATGCGCCTTGTCATAGCTACGGCTCGGCTCGCACTTCCTGACCAGATCAGTGACATCCATTCGCTCTCAGCTTGATCAGCAGAGAAAAACAACACGACTGTCTTCCAGAATATCTCGAAAGGATACCAAATCATCGCATCAACACCACTTTCCATCATTTCATTATCGGAGTGATTCTATAAATCTGAAGGGACTGTAGCAGGTTTCGGGCGATAACCAAAGTCAAGATATTGCGCTCACTCTCCCGGGGCAAACCCTAGGCGATAGGATAGGATAGCAATCAAGGGTGAAAAAGGGAAATAACTATGCGTAAACACTCTTGTTTTTGGTCGATTATTTAAGAAAACATCGGTATCGTGCGAATTCACTGGACACCTCAAAATCTTGAGAACTATTTCCTTGGATAAACTTGTGCCTCGAAAAAATTGTTTAAGGGCAACTGGTTCTCTATTCGCTAAGAGTATTCGAAAGAGAAAATCAAAACACAAAGCCAAACATCTGTGTCCTCATTTGTTCGGACATGGCAATGGCAGAGGATGCAGCTTCTGTGTTAGAGCAGTTCGTTCAAGATGGTAAATACCTGAAATTGACTTGTACGCCTGTATACGACTAACCACCTTACACAGTGGCAAACCTACCCGCAGAAATCGCTCATCTTCTCGAAGAAATCCAAGCCAAAGATCGAGTTGTCCAAGAGTGCCGAAATGTCATTGCAACTCGCGATAGCAGCATTCAAAAGTTCCTCAAGCTGAACGGAGCTGGTCAACCAAATCCCAAAGATGAAGGCTATTGCAAAAACGTCATGGCCAACTTCGACAAAGCGCAGGTTGTCCAGGAGGAAAAGGTCGGCTTGAGTGAGAAGGCCGCTTTATTGGTAAGTCTTCTTTCTGTCTCCTTTTCCAGCCGGCAGGAGGGTATCAGATCTTGCTAACACCATCTCTCCAGCTGGACCGCCAAATCAAACGCCTCGACTTCAAGATCCGCGATCTCCAAAACGAAGGCGCCATCCATCCAGACCCGCAGCTCCCCTCCCTCCTCAACAATAACACCCTCAGCACGCGTCTTCCACCCCTCTCATCCACCACAACCGGCGGCCCAACCCCTCTGCACCCGCTGTCCGGGAACGCCGGCCCCTCCACCACCATCGCGAACAACCCCATCAGTCGCCTCGTCCAGCCATCAGCATCCGCTCGGCAACCATCTCCGCTGCAAACGACCGCTCCGGCCACTCATCTCAACCAAGCGCGCAACGCACATCGGTCTCCGTCGACTGACCCGTCGAAGCGTAGGCGGTTAAATCCGCATCATCTTTCCATTCCAGCTACGTCGTCATCGCTTCGTCAGTCATCCCTTGGGCCCAGCACCCCGAAAGGAGATCTCGCAGCCTCCCGCGGCAGTAGCGCCGGTCCAACGCGTCCCACTCACAAGAAACCACCGAACGGACGCGCTGGTCAACCTCCCCATCAACGCATCGGGCACCTCAATCCCGCTGCTACCAAGAAATCCAATGCCGCCGGATCCCGACGCCGTGGAAACCAACACAATAAAAAATCTGGAACTCCACTGTCGACCACTGGGGACGACGATAGCGCGATGGGAGATGACAATGACGAGGATGTAGAGATGGAAGAAGGGGATGATGAGGGAGAGGGAGATGATAAGAAGTACTGTGTATGTCACAGTGTGAGCTATGGGAACATGGTTGCTTGTGATAATGATGATTGTCCGAATGAGTGGTTCCATTGGAGTTGTGTGGCTGTTACGAGGGAACCGGTTGGGAAGTGGTTTTGTCCGGATTGTCGGAAAGGCAGGGGGTAAGGAGAGGGATTTGGTGTGAACAATGTCAAAGTGGGGGAATCTGGGGATTTTGGCTAGAATCTTAGTATGGTAATGGAATGGTAGTTGACAGCATGCAAGAAGAGGTGAGCTGAACTTGGTTGAAAAGCAGCTCAGTCCCTAGCTAGTCATTGACAGGGCGAACATTTATTGAATGAAGATGCTGTTCGCCTAATCATGCTGTTCAATCGAGGGGAAATTGCAGAGACCATAAACCCCCTTTTAGAAGCTTTGTGGATATGCCAACAAGCCAAATGGAGACCTACCATGCCGTCGCTGTCGTCACCCTCTTCCAGAGCATGCTCCTTCTGAGTTACTGTCTAATAACCTGGTGCGTCGACGAATTCATCAAAATCGTTTGTTTTCGTGTCGACACGCTTGATCGGATGGCCCGGCTGTAGTGGCGCTTGCATCCCTGGGGGTGCATTTGGCTGAAACTGCATTGGATTACTCTGTCCTACTGCCGCAGACGTACTTGGGGCTGGGTTTGACTGGCCGAAATCGATCAAATCGTCGTGGGCTACCGCCTGCTGCTGTGGCTGACTTGGTGGTTGTGTGTTCTCTTGGTTTTGCTGAGGCTGGGAAGCCTTGCTCTGCTGGTTGTGTTGCTGACCTCTGAGTATTGGAGCGATGGCAAGTATCTGCTTGGTTTTTTCTTCGGGAGTAGCACCATCGCTAGCATTGTCAGGTCAGTTCAGTCATATGGACTCAGGTAGACACATACATATTCGCGTTTAGTATCCAATCCAGGTCTTCTTCTCCTTCTTCTGGTCCACCAGGCCCTCCACGAACTGGCCGGAAAAGTTTTGGTTGCCACTCAATTCCCTGCTCCGCTCTCTTTGCGGTCTCATCTCGTTGTCTGTCTTCTACTTTCGACTTCTCCTCTGTCGCAGCAATATGATTTGACTCCTTGATGGCTATCACGGTCTTAAGCCACAGCCTCTGCGACTCCCGCTCATCTTGTTCTTCAATTGGTCGTATAACTGGAGGCGTGTGCTTCGCATGTGACGCATTGAAGAGAACTTCTTTATGTCCAGTCTAGGTGTAGGTCAGCAGAGTAGGGCATCAAGGGTAAATCGCGTATCTTCCTACCCTGACATCCTTCAATACCATCTCGCCACTCCACATGCCTGATAGCTCGAATAAAGTCTCTCCGGTCTTTTCGTTCTTGATGTTCCCGCCTATTGCGTTGTAGGTCCCACCAAAGTATCCTTTGGTCTTGAACTCGATGTCTGCCATCAGGCCATTCTCAGGACATTTAATGAAACTGTGGTCGCCCAATTCGTACTTCATCTTTCCGAATAGTATTCCACGTGCGTACATATTCGGCTGCGTGAGGAAGCTAAGTTGTGACATACTGTCAGCGGTGCCAAGCATTGTCGTGTAAGACCTACATACTATCTCTCTCCGCCTTGTGTTCTGCCACGGTTCATGAACCGTAGAACACCTACGCCCTCCATCAAACTTGCAGCTGAGTTGCCCAAGAATTTACTTCTCGGCTTCAATGCCCCATCTATCCGTATGTTGTGTTCAGGTGCCATGAAGAAATAGCTGGACTTTGGAGGGTGATGTGATGTTTGCTCTGATATGTAGTATCCTCGAGTATGATCCGGGTAGTCCCAACAACAGGTAAATGTTTCGCCGAGAATCGGATTGAGAGGTTTCTTCACGCCCCTGCGGTTGTCTTCAGCCAAAGGTTCCAACGTGCTTCTTATACCAGCCAAAGCCAACGTACGGTGGTTTGATATGCCAGCCGCTCAAGTAAAATTTGACGACGGAAACGAAACGCTGTGTTGGATCTTCGATTTCGGGCATAGGAAGGAGAGTTTCAGGATGTGCCATGAAGCTATCGCGGATCGTTAGAGATCAGCCAGAACCAAAGACCCGAACGCTTACTTCGTTATCCGTTCCAGCATAGATTTCGGTTCTAGGATGAATGTAGGTAATGTGACTTTGTTCAGGTCTGCGCCTGGCCGCAGTTGTGATATGATATGTGACAGTACTACCAACCGGACGGCGCTTCAGTATTCACACCAACACCTTCGACAGGAGGAGCAGCCCGTTGCATAGCTCTTCACTGACCATTTCCCTGATCCGGTTCCACCACTAAAATTTTGTCAGAATCGCTTGTGCAGGACAGGCATGGGTCGATTCTCTGACCCGTTTCATCGTCACCACCAGCTGCTTCTGCACTCCCTTCGTCTGCCGATTTCCCTGTTCGGCAGGCCGTCAGCTTGAATGCTTCGTCGAAGCCGATAGCCGAGGTAAGGACTGACTGCTCAGCGACATGCGCCGATGATCGTCGCCGTGCTTATGGAGGCCTAAAGGCATCTTGAATGCTGTGGAGTAACACTAGTGGTGTGGGAAGCTGGCTCGGAGGGATGATGAGAGGATGAAGTCAAGGTTGGAAAGAGCAGGAGGAGTAGTAAGGGGCAAGGGACATATTATCCCCCGAAAAGGTTTCAAAGCAGGTAAAGAGCACGGACAAGAAGTCGGGCTTCCAAGGGATCCGCAACGTTGGTAGAAAGGCTTTACAGCGGAAGCCAAGAAAATGACGTTCAGCGATCCGTCCTTGGCAACTGTTCCCACTCGTGACTACCCACAATCACTTATCAATCACCTTTGAAGTCTAGACTCCATGCACTTATCCATGGGTTTTCTCTACAAGATTGAATCAACGACATATGTATTGGTATCCAGTCTGCATCTTAGGCAACACAAGTAGCCAAGCTAGCATCCGTAAGTCTTGGCAAGCCTCACTGGAGTGCTGGACCAGCTATCTGTAAACTTGCTTTTCATTGGCAGCTCGCCTTGCATGAATCCTGGCCGAGAGATAACCTCGGAACGGCACGAAGCAGCCAGCCTCATTTTCGGTTCATTGCGACTCGATAGCCACTGGGGTCCGTACTCTACAGGTATATGTAATCTGAGCACCACTCATCACCCAGCAATTCGAGGCTGTCTGCAGATTTGCCTCTCTTCCACTGGTTCAGGAAGAGGGGTTCTACATCTTTATTTGACTGGAAAATCTTCTCTTTAGATTGTGCTTCTTTCAGGGATTTCTTGATGTAGGTGGCAAAGAGGGGAAGGGTTCTAAAGAAAGCGCAAACATGGCAGATGCTCAAAGGGTGAAGGTTGTCATATTGCGTAGCCGGAGAGTGGCAAGCGTGTCATGATCCATCATTCGACTCCTCTTCCATCTGTTAATAATGTCCCCAGCTAGTCTATAATTCCCAGTGATCCGTCAATACCAATGCAAGACTCGCAGGCCTAGATGCTGAAGGACCACTGCGTCCACCCAGTCTTCTCGCGCGGTGCATTCGCGAGCCGACAGCGCACGCGTGGGCTTCAGCATCAGGGGCTGAAGGTGCCTGTCCAGCTTGTGCTGACAATCTTCTTCTATCAATTCGTTCACAGTCCGGTGAGATATCTCTGAGAACCAATTCTCGAAACGCCGCCTTTCCTCTGCTGTTCAGGACGAATTCGGTTTGGATGGAATCTAGCTCACGAATTCCTGCGAGAGCGTGGACCCAATGCATGACTTTCCTCTCGTGGAGGGAGTAGTCGAAGCAGTACCGATTTGGGTCAATGACCGTTATAGAATGATGTTGTAGGCTTAGGTATGGTATGCCTTCTGCTAACCTGTTGACTGAAGACTTGTATCCATTGCTGATGAGCGGGGCTGCTGTGGCCATGCCGGTCCAGATTAAGACAGAACCTGAAGGACTTGAAATAAGGACAGTCGTCTGGTCGATCGTTCAAGAACGGCATGACTGTGCTCATTGAGCGGGATTCGACACTGCTCTTCCGGTAGAACACGGAAAGGGCTTTGCTCCGAACGAGACGACAAACGCCCAACAAGCCGGGCACCTCACCATTGGTCTCCGGCACAGCCATATGCGTAACTTTGTAAGACGTCGTTGGCATCAAAGACGACGATTCGCAAGTAGATTTCGGGTGACATTGAGATGGGCATGGGACATCCTGGTGGCGGACTGGCTGATACGCTGTCTTGTGGACGTGTAAACCGCAGCGCTATTCGAGTCTGTTTCCTCGTGGTGATAGTTTTCCACAATGACTTGGTGCGGGGGGTCTTTTTTACCGTCTTCGTCCATGGCGTAGCTTGATGAATGTGACACTAAAAATAATAATGATCGCATTATTTATTTGATCTCTATTAAGATCTGGCGTTGGCGGGTTCTTTGTCCATATTGAGCATGTTTGACCGATGTGAAGGATGAATGATCATGTAGTGTGATAACTTTGTAGGTAAGTCACTGGGCGAGTGTTTGTTGTAAGAGTCCGGCAATTTTGGGGAACTGCGTTAAAAACCATGTGAAGGGCATGTGTCGAAAGAAGGCACAAAGTAATTAAGGTATATAATTAGATTACGCTGCGCACATATATTGAAGAAATTTATCGAGAAGATGTGTCGAAGGGATCTGTTTCTGGTAGCAATCAAATATCAGCTAGAGAATTGGGGCTCTGAAGTTCGATATGCCTCCGACAGCATGAAGATACGCTGGCAGCTGTTGTAGCAGAGATCGCACCCTCTCTGACACGTATAGGACCGACCACGTCAAACACACTCTGAAATCAATAACCAAACACAAGCTCTCAATCAAACCAAATTCCGCATACTCTTCCCCCCATTCCTTTACAAGGTACCACAATCATGAGCAAGCACCCCTCCTCATTCCTTTCCCTCCCAGGGGAAGTAAGGAACATCATCTACCGTCACGCTCTTGTCGCCAAAGACAACGTACACATCCAGGACATGCGCCCCGGCCAATACCAGACCACGAAGCGTTCCGCCAAACGAGTCCGAAAAGCCTACCAGACCGCGAAGATTCTCCACCAATGTAGCAGATGCTCTTGCTCGAGGCTCAAGTTCAAATGTCACGAGTGTCGGAAGACACCTGACTTCTTCCAGACCGTCTACACTAGGGACGCTGATCACAACTCCGAACTGAGTCCAGCTCTCTTACGCACCAACAAGAAGGTCCGAAGGGAAGCCCACTCCATATTTTACCACGAGAACACTTCCTTCTTTGATAGTATGAGCGCCGTGCCGCCTTTCCTGAAAGATCAAACTCGGGAGTCGCCGGCCAACATCAAGAGCATCGGTTCCCATCTGGAGATCGATCACCACGTCGAGCGAGACCCGGCGTCCCTCGACCGGGTGCGCACGTTCCGAGAAGCGGGCCGCATGGCCGATTCGCACCTGCAGAACCCTCAGTGTCAAGATCGAGGGTCGCAGGTGCAGACCCTCTTGTGGAGGATGGTGGGCGACGGACGGCCTGTACTGGGCGTACAGCGTCACCAGGATTGGCGACTTGCCAGGGGCTCCACGTGGAGTTCGATCTGGGCAGGGCGCAACTTTCCCGCAATGGGAAGTGGGAGCGGACGCTCGGCGTGGAGGGTGTGAATGCCGATTGGCTTTGGTGTTGGCTGGCGCCTAGGATGCTGACGGATCGCAAGGGGGCGGTTGAGAAAGCTGCCGCATGTCTGAAGAGTGGGGAGGCGACTCGCGAGAAGGACTAGCTGTTTGTATTGGATGGCGTGAGAGGTGGAGAGATGGTCTGGGATCTCCTGAAGGCGATGCGATAGGTCTGGGCGAAACCTCATGCAATGGACGGACAGCTCACGGTAAGCCTTCGCCAGTTGAAACCAATCTCGAGCGTTGCCCACATTGAGGTGACTTAGAAAAGCGACTAGTAACAAGTGAAGACGATTTTGTTTCCTTGTATTTTTGGGGCCTGGAACAATACCGGCGGAACATGTGTATGACCTCGCGGTTATGGCGAACACTAACAAAAGAGGAGGACTGTTGCTAGCTAACATTCAATCTACCAACCACGTGTGCGAAGGCGGTGTTGCACTCCTTGCAGCTGTCGCGGTAAAAGCCCTTTCAACCTTCACGCCAACAATCCTCGCCACTCTACTGCTCCCGAAAATGAAACGTTCAGTGACGGTCCCAAAACGCCGAAAGAGCAGCTTTCTGTCATCGTCACGTCCCCACCCCCACGGACGGCCTTGGCCATGAGAAGGTACCTTGGGCGGAAGGCTATAAGTTCCGGTAACCGTACCCAGACGGTATTGATGTGCGGGACAAAAAGAACGAGGCCCCACGCACGCAACCCTGGAGGCGAGGGTATTGCTGACCATCGCGAATTCGAAAGAGACCACGACTTCTTCACCTGCAGCCACGGATTATAGTCTTAGTCTGCGGCAGCATAAACGATAGCCTCTTGAATAAGTTCACCTGCTTTTCGCACCACGCGGGGCTGGAGATTCGAAGCTGCCGCTGGTTCTTCTCAGCTGAGGCGAAAGGGTGTGTGGAGAAGCAAGGTTGTAGGTGCTGATATTCCGTAGAATGGGCCGGAGTGGGGAGCGGTTGGCCAATGGGAACGTTCGTCTAGAGTAGTCTCCAGCTGCTGTATGCTACCACTGTAGCATCGTCAATGATCTCTATTGCCCTTTGGCAATCGAGCAATTTTGGAGCCTTGATCAAGGTTTTCAGAGAGATGCATCAGTGCATTGTAGCAAAATGATACCTTGTCCCATTCCCCGAGTCTAGTCTAATATCGTACTCTCGGAAAGCTGTGAGCTGGCCGGGCTATCCCCCTTCGTAATCTCCTTTATGAACTCCATATCCGGGTCCTTCATCATGACATGAAAATGCTCCATGGAATGTATCGATTTCAGCTTCGCCCAGTTCTTGAACCATATGATCTTACAAGGCATCAGTCAAACCCAACCGAATTCTCACAACTCAACCGACAAGTGAAAGCTTTGGTATAAGGAAGAAAGAGCAACCCACATTCTCAGCCGGGACCCTCGACCCAAAAGTCCTCTCCACATACCCATCAATCTTCCCCCTCATCTCCGGCGTCAAATCCCCATTCTACGCAGATTTCGCAGTCAGCATTGCTTATTCGAGGCAGGAAATGGAATTCCAAGACTGTTTTTGGGGAGTAGAAAGATCCTTCAGCTCCCGAAACACGTCTCGAGACTCAATGTCAATATTCGATGGGAAGGATTAGATCCGAACTGTACGTACCGGATCCTTCTCATCGACGTCGAGCGGGAACTTCGTCCATACGCACAGATGGACAATACTCTTATCGATGCCATAGGGCCAATCATTATAGATAATCTTCACATCATCTACCCACACTCCCCACACACTCGTCAGAAAACCAAACCATTCAAACAAAACGTCCCCATCCACGAAAACGAAACCATATACACACCCGGGTCCTCGAACGCCAAACCCTTAGCATCAAGATCCGTCCACCTCAAGCGCCGATCCCTTACATACTCCATCACGGACCCATGCTCCTCCTTCAACCGAGCCATATAGCACAGATAATTCCGATGGTCGAGCGGCGCGCGGCGGAACTCCTCGATCCGGTTGGCTCGGATCGTCCGCCGCACCTCCGGCCACGTCAGGCGCTGGAACGCGGCTTCGGGGACGTTGACGATGTCGAGGTTCCGGGGCGAGATGTCGGTGAGGAAGGGTGGGCATTGGGACGGCCATTGGGGTTCGGGGACGTTGAGGAGCCAGTAGGGGAGGGGCCGTTTCCCGGCTCTGTAGGACGAGATGGTGGCTACGGCTGAGTCTGTTGGGTTTGATGGTGCCATTGTGGCGGTTTCTGGGGGTGGGTTTTGAGAGGGTCGATGCTGGGGGGAGGTTAAGGGTCGAAGACGAAGACGATATGTAGCATGAGGGATCGACCCCGAAGAAGACAGATAGCAGCAATGAGCTAGATGACAGAAAATCTACACGGTTCTTTTGAAAAAGGAAAAGCCTGGATTGAATAGCTACTTACAATACCTAAATAGGGACGAGAGGCTTAGGGAAAAGATAAACAAGGGGGAGAGTTTTGGGAAGGTGACGAGGGGGCCGAGAAGTGGACCCAAGGTTTCGCCCATTTCGTTGAGCAACTCACGGTTTTACCGGAAACATCGATACACTATCGTAATTCGCTAAGCTGAATTATTTGCAGTGATCATCCTCTATATATGCTAGTAAAACAAAAGAATAGGAGAGATGCGCCTGCACCTTGCTATGTGGTATGAATGATATCAAATGCTCGCTCGCTCACCCATTCCTCCTACCAGCCGGTAATTAAAATATAGATACAATTACAAAAGGGTATATCCGACGAAAAGAAATCCTATCAACGCCTTCCTAGTAGATGTGAATCCACTTATCTCCAGTCCATCGCACTCCCATTAGGAGCATACCTCCTGCCACCAACCCCAGTCACTGGCCCCACAGACCTCGCTCCTCTCCTCTGGTCCTCTACTCTGTACTCATTTCTTGGATCCCCCCTCCCTCTCAAATCCATACTACGGTTCCTTGGGATGTTGTGTCTTGGCGCATCGAACACGTCGTCCATATCCTGCCATCGCACGTTCTTTGCTTTCGAGGGCGAGGGGCTGGAAGGCTGCCTTTGATAGGGCGAATAACCTTGTGCAGGACGCTGTGGAGGAACAGTTGTAGAATGACGTCGAGGGCCAGATGGGCCTGAGGGAGAGTGGAGCTTGGCGTGGTAGCGTACTGGACTCATGGAGGCAGAGCTGGTGGTCGTGCTCGATGTGTCCGACGTGTCAGAGCTCGTGATGGAGATGTCGCTTGGGATTCTGGTGTGGCGTGGACGGATGTGGGGATGGTGATGTGGATGCGGAAGATGATGTTGAGGATGGCTATTTGGTAGTGGTGGTGGTGGTGGAGGAGCGTAGTTCGTAGGCGTAGGCCCGTCACGAGGCCACGAAGATGGGTAGGCTCTATCGTCGGGTAGACTGCTACGGCGGCGCTCAGGGGACCAAGGCTCTTGATTGGGATACTGTGGTGGCGGGCGTACTCTGTATGGGACCTGAACGAACAGTGGGCCGCGATTGTTGGCGCGAGGATGGCTGAAATATCCAGCTCCATGCGCAGCATCCACACCAGAATACGAATCCACCGACGAAGTATCCCTCGAGCTCTCCAAATCGATGTCACTCAGCGCGAGATTAGGTCTTGGAGGCATCGCCCTTGCCGCCGACGCCTGGGCTTCCAACATCAGCTTTTCCGCCACAGTCTCATGCCACTCCACCATCTCTATATCCGGCTGACACGGTAGACTCTCCTTGGGTAGTATACTTGGAAACGGCGCGCCATCTGCCGGGTTCGTGAGATCGAACCTCTTCACCGCCTCTTGCAAAAATGGCACATGCTCTTCTGGCTCCAGCAGCAGCTGGACCGTCTGCCATCGTACGAAGCCCGCAGGGGTCAGAGACGGTATTGTAGGGGGTGTGTAGGGATCTTCTTCTGGTTGGAGAGTATGGTAGCAGCCGAGGGATTGGTAGATGAAGGAGAGCGAGGTTTGCGAGGTCTCGAGGAAGAGAGGGTCGTAGTCACCACCGACGAGGCGGTAGAAGGCTGCGAGCTTGGCGGGCGTAAGGGTCTGGATGTCCCAAGGCGCAATGTGTCTGTTCTGCGTCATGGTAAGTATCCATTTACCCACCGTCACAGAAGAGGGGAAGCAAAGACTGACGATGTAGTTTGCGACTCCAAGCAATAGCTGTTCGAATACCGGTGTCGGAGACTTGTCCGGTTGGATCAAATAGCCCCAATATTTTTGCGCGGCTACCGCAGTGCCCGCCATTGTTGTTGCACGAGTTGAGAGTCTTTGGCAGTCGGCATCAGTGACATAACCATGCAGCTACCCTGGTTTTAAGCGGGCTCCAGTATGCTGCAAGTCTCATGATGAGCGGTATCACGTCTGGTAGCTGACCCTTGCCCCCTGGCGGAGGCTGAGTTTTAAAGATCCTTCTGCGGGAAATTAACACATCTAAAGGAGAGCCCAAAGCAGGTTGCGCGAGAGATGCAGCGGTGCAAGGATCTGAGCAATCAAACCCAAATCACGCGGATCTCAGAACGCCTGCATGATGCTGTATAAGTAAGGTACTTATATCTCAAGACTGTGTAGCAAAAGTCATACATGGGGGGGAAAAACCCTTAGTGAAATGGTAGAAATCCGACAGTTGCCAGAAAATAGTGACAATTTTCATGAGCTTTTCCTTAAAAATGGTTATTATATTTATCAGGGAGACCCTATAGAAGTCGTAGAGTTTAGGTATAGTTCCATAAAAAAGTACGATTTTCGCAGATATTTCCTAGAAATCGTCACTTTACCTACCAAAGAGAATTTGTAGAAGCCGTCTAGTTCAAGCGCAGTGCCCAAAAAAATGATAGTTTCACAAACCTTTCTTAAAAATCGTTAATTTATTCCTTCCGATTATGAGTTGAAATTCCCTCTACATATAGCTTTTGCTACATTATTCTCTGACGAAAATGATTTCCCGATCTATCTTGCATACGGTTTCGATCAGAGCCTAAGTGACAAGCGCTCTCAAACACAACTCAAGTAAATTGACTCCAGAATCCTTCCATCCAAGTCGTCCGGGCCCCGTTCCCAAGCCTCCCAATTACATGAGTCCAGCATTCGAAGCCTTGCGCCTAAAAGTGTATGCAGGCCTCTTTTTCCAACTAAGCCTCGCATCTTTCTCGTCCTCCTTCGGACTTCTTCCCGCATTGCTTGTCTTCCCTCCCTGCTCCAACTCTTCAAAGTCCTCCTCTTGCATCTTCTTGGTCCAGCGCCAATCCTCAATTCCTGCATCTTTGATATTACGGCTGGCCTTGAAGACATTCCAACTGTTTCCGTTCTCGAAGAAAGCATCCATCTGCTCCAGACTCCGGCCCGAGGTTTCAGGGTACATGAGTATCACGAATGGCAAGCAGAAGATATTGAGCCCGAAAAGCAACAGCAGAGTTCCGTAACTTATCGCTTGGAAAAGGAATGGCGTGATCATGGTGATGACGCCGTTTCCAATTGACCAGCCAACAACGGACCAAGCACCACCTTTTGCACGTACGTTGAGAGGGAATATTTCCGTAGGGTAAAGCCAGGGTGTGGTCAACCACGTAGCTCCAAATGTGGCAGTGTAAAGGAAGGTGAAGGCCGCGACTCCAGCGCCGTAGGCGTGTTGGTTGGGTCCTTTGACCTGTGCAAACTTGTCCAGGATTCCGGCAACAAGGAGGATAAGAGCCATGGCGACGGAGCCCCAGACCATGGTTGCTTTTTCGTGTAAGTCAACGTTTTGGGAGAACATGCAATGACATGACTTACATCTACGACCAAATCTGTCCAAGGTATAGACAGCGAAGATCACAGAGAGCATGTAGCTCAAATTGTTGAAACCTGCCAACAACTTGCTAAGCTCCTCACCAAAACCAGCGTCCTCGAAGAGATCAATCGCATAGACGGTGATCACGCCGATTCCAACAAGTTCTTGCATGATCTGAAGCCAGACAGCGAGGAAGACCCGCCATCGCAAGCCCCTGGAATACTTGTCCTTTGGGAATAACATCGCCCAGTAGTGGTTTGCTGTGGAGGTCTCCAGCTCGAACTTGACGACCTTCTTGATCTCCTTCAATTCATGTTGCACATCCCCTTCACGGGTAGCTTTAAGGACGTTTTGTGCCTCTTCTTCGCGACCGACCTTCATGAGCCATCTCGGAGATTCCGGAAAATAATTCACGCCAACGCCAATAATAATGATGAAGATGATTTGAAGAGCGAGAGGTGTACGCCACGCCATGGATTTGTTGGGGTTGAGGTATGCGAAGTATTCAATCCAGTAAGCTAGAGCGAGACCGCCAATATTCTTGTTCTTGTTAGCCAAATCAGGGAGGTAGCAACTGGAGGCTGTCTCACCATGAAGAATTCTACTGCCAGGAAAGTGCCTCTTGCAGAGTGGCTAGAGACTTCCGCAGACCAGACGGGAATGACGCAGTCGATAGCACCCACTCCTATCCCAGCGATAACACGAGCACAGCACATCCAGGCGATGTTTTGTGCGGAAGCCTGTAGTACAGCACCTAGTAGAGCCCACATAGACCCGAATACTACAGCCTTTATGCGTCCGGCGCGATCGGCTAGCGATCCAGCAATAAGTGCTCCGATGAGGGTGCCACCGTAGTAAACAGAGACAATTCCACCCTCGGCAGCAACGTTTCGGGAGTTGCCCATCGGGGAATTGATACCCACTGGTCTGTTGTTAGCTGTTTCCCCCTTTAAGAATAGACGCATGCATACTATGATTCCAGTAGTCTTCATTCAGGTTGACTTGCGACATTACACCTTGATCATAACCGTAAAACATGATGGCTACACCCGCAAAGAGGTTGATAGCGTTGTACATGGTCTTGGGCTTCTTGAACTTGAACATGCGACTCTGATTGTAGCCTCCGATGAAGAATCTCTCCCACTTCCATGGCGGAGGATAGTCGATGTTATCGTAACTTTCGTCTTTGGCATCGTTGGCAGGAGGGCCAGCGCTGGATTCTACTTCCTCGTATTTCTGAGCTTCCTTGGGGATCTGGGTGTCCGAAGACAATGCCGAACCCTGGAATACTTCCTGCTCTGTAGCCATGTTGTCTTAGAAGGTGAGCAAGATGAATGCTGCGATGACTGCGTAGACACGCAGATCAGATAAAATCAAATCAAATGAGATATAAAAAATGGCATATAATCGCTGGGCGTTATCAACGCTCTCATAACCACGCAGTCAAAAGACACAAAACCTGGGGTTCAGGAGACAGCCAAGAAATGGAGGGGAGCATGATTAATGTACTCAAAACCCGCTCACCATACCCAGGAAGGAGTCAGGGAAGCTACAGTACAGTATCCATCCTTCGTCTCCACAAGCACGGGCCACAGTTAGCCCGCGCCTCTGGGGATGCAAATTGACATCATCATGGCTATTCTCCGCCGTATCAACTCGTTTCACCGAATGTGATCATCGATGGACGTGAAAGGCATTCAAAGTAAATGTCGCACTTTGCAACGGGATGGCTTATATTGTACTGTAGTGGAATTGCCAGATTGGCGATCCAATCAAACCAGCTGTTTTGCACTCCTCCGCAAACGCTGGCGCCGTCGATCCCCGTATCTCTATTTAGGCGACGACAGAAATGGGATTCCTATAAGCGCACCGCTCCAAGACATTTGATAAGATTAGGCAACACGTGTTTCCAAGGACGGGCGATTTCGCATGGAAGCTTTTGTCTGAGAATGTGCATGGCCTCCTGTACGGCGAAGACCATACCGGCACAGAAAAATCATGTAAGAGTATGTAGCAAAAGTCATCCATAGAGGGAATTTCACGGTTTCTAGGTAAACTTTGAATTCGTCAATTTTTGGTACTGCACCTGAACTATACGATTTCTATAGATAAGATAATGTTTTTCTGGTACTGCGCCTGATCTATATGACTTCAAATCCCCCCAGATTAAATGACGGTTCTTAGAAAAAATACAAGTTTCGTCAATATTTTCTATACTACGCCTGAACTATACGATTTCTATAAGTTCTCCCTTGCAGGTAAAGTGACGGTTCTGAGAAAGAATTCGCGAAACCCGTCAATGTTTTCTGGTACTGCGCCTGAACTATTTGACTTCTAAGAATTCACTTTACAGGTAAAGTGACGGTTGTGAGGAAAAACCTACAGAAATCGTTGGTATTTTCAAGGTACTGTGTCTAAACTCTACGACTTCATTAAGGGTTTTGGGCCTCTATGTATAAATTTGGCTACATATTCTTACCACCTCCTGCTCATCAATTGTCTTGTCTCATTTCTATTCTGCCATACTGTCCCAATGCATCGTCGCACATGCCTTGAATCCTGGCTCAAACTTTTGCCACAAAGAAGCCTGAGAGCATGGACCTTTACGAAATTCGAGAAGGCGTCTAGGAATTGCAAAATGACGATTGGCGCTTCTTCTCGTCCTACAATCCACTGGAGTGGAGCAGGGATCTGTAGGCTCATCGGAAGGATGGAGCTGACCTCATGAGGAAACGCTTTTGACCTTCGTTCTGACGCGTCATCTCAGATGCCTTTGGCAATGTGTGGCATGATTGGGTAGGGAGTGAAGAGGACCTTCAGAGAGAAGGATGTCGATGTTGCCGAGATACGTGTCAAGTGTCCTTCTGCAGCAAGCGAAGATTACTGCCAATCGAAAACTCACGTGTTCGGTCAGCTTTTAAAGTCTCTGAATCTTCTCAACTTATTCAATCCGCCTTTGCATCGTTCTCAACCCGCTCCACCTCCGTCTACAGGAGTTCTTCTTGCTACTGTCACATTGTTATGCTGAACAATGCCTTTCGCAATCTTACCGATCGCAACCTCCACCATTGGATCGCCGAGGTAAACAGTGAAATAGCTCGAACGGCAATGCTTGTGGTCAATCATGTAATCGACCAGTCCCAGAACCACCGTTGCAAGTTGTCCCCAAGTAAGCATGTGAGGCGAATTGATGACTTCCAGCACAACCAGTCTGCCATAGCGAAAGCTACTGCCCCCCAGTATGGCATCCTCCCCGCTAGCCGCGATGGCGTTCTGAACAATTTCGATTACGACAACGAAAAGGTTCCTGACCGCCTCCGGGTCCAGTGCTTGCCCTATGGAGCGATGACCACCGCTGCCCGAGAATCTGAGGGTCATGTCGCTATCCTCGACCGGCCAGTCGACAGGTCCACCAAGGTTAGGCAGGCTCGAGTTGCGCTGGTTAGGAATTGAAATTGCAGAAGAGGGCAGCGCCAGAGTGGGGATCTCCAGACCTCTTTTGGCCGTCCTGTTCGAAAGCGAATTTCTCTCCCACTTGACGATATGACCCCAGCCGATCTGAGAATCATCCTCGATGTCGAGGATATCAAAAGTCACCGCGCGATACCGCACGCCTGTAACGATGTACTCCCAGAGTCCAGCAATGACGTCCTCCAGCTCGGACCAATCCAGCCCATCCGGATCCTCAGGCATCTTCCTGATCAATATCTCCAAATCATCTCCTAAATCGTATTCGAGCCCACCGTTGAGAGGGTGGCCTTCATCGCCGTGCAAATTGATCTGTTCTTGCAGAAAGGCTTGTGAGACGATAAGGATCGATTGCAACGTCCACTAGCACATCTTAAGAGTCAGCATTGCTTTTCCGGGTTCAAGTTCAAGTCCTGTGATAGCGTCTAGGGATCAATGGCGGGTGGAGGATGACCGCAGTATCGGGAAGGAAGTCAGTGAAATGAAACGATAATGCTGACCGGGTCTACTTCATTGCCGTAAGCCCAGAACCTGAGTGCTAAATCACTGTCGGGAATCGGGAAGAGTTCTGATCTGTGCAGAGCATGTCAGCGCAAACTTCTACCGGGCATCAGGGCTGTATACATGTCCACTGCATTCGATGCATTCGACGACTGCACGTCTTGACTAAGACCTTGAGACGGCAGTATCAAGGGTGAGGCAGGTAAGGAGCTGGCAACATGGACCAGTAGCCACAACGAACAGAGACAAGCCAGGGGAGAGCCTTCTTTTCTGCATCTCATCTTCGCTCATTGCCGGACTGCCAGAATCCGGACGTATTTGGATGGGGAGATATCCATCTCGACGCTTCTCACATATCGGGATTGGGGAGATATACGTTGGCGGATCTCCGGCATTCTCAGCCGCGGGAGACACACACACTTGACATACATTTGCGACATGCGAATTCCCCCTATCTATCCAATCAATGTACTCGATCTTCGTGCTCAAGAGCGCGTTTTTAAGGACCTTTGCCGGCTGGAAGGCGCATCTGCAAATTCTTCATCTACCTACTCGTGCTACTTGAAGATTCCAACTTGAATTTTGATGAATGACAGTCAATAGCTGGATAACAGAGGGTCTAGAAGCGCTGTAAGCCACCGCTAAGAACAGGGAAGGAGTGCAAACTTTGTCTCGATTGGACGATTCGCTGAGCAAAATTGGCAAAAGAAGGAGATAACAAGAAGAGGCGCACCACGGGGGTAATTTTCCAATAGCGCTTACACGGGCTGTTAGCCGTCACTAGTGTTTGGAAGGAGTTTGGGATATGTCTGGATTTACTGTACATGCTAGACTGCCAAAACAGTAAGACCAAGGGAAGAGGAAAGCCTAGCTTCTCAAGTGGCCCTTTTCGTATAGAGATTCGCATAAGCTCGTCGTTCCGAATCCGATGATCGAATGCTTTCCTTGTCCATATCCATGATTCCAACAAGAACTCGCAGGGCCATCATCCTGCGCACAGCACCCAAGGCCCGCTCTCATCCCCCAAGTCCTCCATCTCGTGCCCTAAAGTCTTCTGTTACGCTATCGTGAACAGTCAGCAAACGTCTTCCCACGCAAAACGATCACAAAATGCACACGGAAGACTTACACTCAGGTGCCTGGACGGCTCTGCTGCGCCTTGATGTTTCGCTCGAGATCCTTCTGAGTCATCCACCCAGAGCGCTCGTAGGCGGCGGCTGGTACAATGTTGACCACCGCGACCACTGCGACCAAGCCGGCTCCTCTAGCTGTAAGCTTGACGCCTTTGAGGAGGAGTTCGGAGAAAGGCATTCCGACAATCGATGCTCTGGACCCCCTTGGCTGCTTATGGTGACTGGAGACTTTGAGGTAGGTGGATTTGATTGCAGGTGCTTTGAGAAGTTTGCTGTCGGGAGTGCGTGGGTTGGAAGACGGAGACAGCTGGAAGGCGAACATATTTATATAGCAAGGTCGTCCACTGTGTTGTCACTCTTTACAGTGAAGCCCTCTTTGAGAAATCATTGTGCCAAGCATTTGTGTCACTCTCATACTGTAGATTCACAGTGTTTATAGCTTCCCTGTATCGTTGCAGCCTTCACGACTTAGACACCAGGAGTCTGAAGTTTGTTCACTGATGAATGTCATTGTTCCAAGTGCCGATTGCCGATTCCCGGTTACTGATTGCTGATTGCTGATTGCTGATTTTTGTTTGTGTGAGTTGCGTCAACCCCAAATCCTCCTCCCCAGCTCCATCCTCAGCGCCATCCTTGTGCCCTTTGCCCTCACCACAGCATCCCTATTTTCCTCAGCCCGTCTGATCAAATACTTGAGACACTCGCCCACAGAGCCCCACACCAGATACTTATAGGTCTTGGGACCCGCACACTCCGTCTTCTCAAATGGCACCACCCCTGCCGCCTTCGCAGCCATCACCAACTCGCAGCTAACCTCATCTGCCATACCCATCAGCTGCCCGTAAGCCATATCGATCTTCGCTTCATGCTTTTCGGTTTGCTCTCTCTGGATTGCCATGGCTTTTTGCACGGAATCATGATTATGACTTGCCAGCACAAAGGCCACTTCTGACGATATTCTCTCACTTGCTTCCCTGGTCGACGGTCGCAGAACATTGTTCCACCGCTTCTTGAGCAAAGCCTCTGTAACACCATTGTAAGCCTTGTCGGTTTCCTCTTTTGTACTCCAGAAAAGTGTTCGAGGATCGCTGCTCATATAAGCGCCCCTGACGAGCTTTACACCCAACGTAAAACCTTCTTGCTTGGCAACAGCAAGATGTTGAGCCAGAATTTTTGGCGTGGAGCGTAAGTAAGCCTGGTATGTCCCGTACACAACCGCTTTTCCTAGAGCCATCCTGTTATACCTTCTCGCGAATTCAAGCGTCCACGCATCGATACCGCGCTGAACAGCGTCTTGCTCCGCATCAAAAAGTAAGCGAACACCTCTTGCCTGTGCAAGGTCACATATCTCGGTTGTCGCCTTCTCAATGGCTTCGCTAGGTGATGCCTCAGCAGCAAGTTGCCTCATCGCGTCTCTTCCAGCCCCGGAGAATTTCAGGCCAATCATATCGCCTTCTTCAGCCATCTGCACGGTCTTCAAGGTACCTTCTTTCCAATCTTGCACATCCCTCTCGGCTGTGGGATCTGCTGATTGGCTTGAGGATGTGTCAACCTTCTCCCCTTTGTTGAGCACGATCTCTTTGCCGTATGCTAAGATGACGCCGTTATATCCCATACTCTTAAGCCCCTTCACCGTCTTCTGTACCTCAATCTTCGTCTCACCAGCACAGAATTGGGCGTAGAATGTCTTCTTGAGGAGGTAGTGGAGGAGAGGATTGCGGTCTGGGTTCAGGAGTGCGGACGAGGAGTGGGCGACGAATGAGAGGAGACGAAGGGAGGGCGATAGGAGTAGCGGATAGGAAGAAAGAGCTGTAAGGGCGTATGAGCGGAGGAGGATGGGTAATGGAAGGACGGATAGCGGTCGTGAGGGCTGTGATATGGTGGGCAAAGTCGGCGTTACAGCAGGAGTGGCAGCATAGGTGTCCTGATCTGTGGAGGCAGTTGTACTGATGGTCCGGTGCGACTGATCAAAGTGGAGAGAGCGGTACTGGGTGCGATTGAGGTAAGGGGGTTTGGTGCCACGTTGAAGAAGCCGAAGGGGCTGCTGTGATTTTAGCATTCTTGGTAAGAATGAGTATAGAGAAGTGTGAGAGCAGAAAGTGGAAAATGTTTGGCTTTGGTAGATTCACGGGGAGTATATGAGGAACATGATCCCAATTTATGCTGACTGTTCACCCTTATCTTTTCTAAGAGAGTGATCAAAGGAAGGAAGTAACGATTGAAAAAAGCCGTGTCTAACCGTGCTCCACTTTTATCGATAAGGTGCCGCTTGATGCTAGGATGTCAAATTCTGGCCCCTCTCCTCTGGTGGAGTGAGACTTCATAGCACAAGCGCGTCATTCGCACCCAAAACCTTGCGTAATCGTGCCATCGGTTCCATTTTCCTATCGGCGCATGTTGTGTAATTCTCCACCAGAGTCTGAGGAATCGTTCAATGTCTCACCAAAGTACATTGCGCCGCTGGACACATCTTGGAGTAGCCAAAATTCGGAAACACGAGCTCGGCTTTCGTTCCTATCTCAACGTCGAGGTGCCATCATGGAAGTCAGCTCTCGTCTGTTATATAGTCAAGGGGACTCGGAGAAACCCACAATCTGCGCTTTTCCGGCGGCTTTTGGAACTTCCTCCACCTTTCTAATCAGACCCCTTGGCCTGTCCATTCCCCTAAAACCTCACCCATAAGCAAGTAGGCCACTGTTGCGTTGGCATAGCCCGTAATGACGAAGGCTTTGTTCAACATGACCACTGCAGGAACTTCCTCCGTGTTTTACCATGAATGAAAACGATCTCCCTCTTCGGCTCCTACTCCGCAAGTGTTCAATACGACTGGACTGTTGACACATCCAGAGGTGCATCGAAGTGAGTGAGAAAGATTTCTTTTAAATGCAGGCGACATGAAGCCCTGCAATGCTTCTGAGAAGATGTGGGTATTTGACTAGAAGCACATCCGTGAGGATTTTCTGTTGGTACATAGTCTCTATGAGACCCTGTGGTGTATCAGATGATTGCCTCTGGGTGAAGTCTGGGAGGAGTGAACCACTGGTGTGAGGTTTCCAGACAACGGTCTTCCCAGGTTTTGGAAGTTCAAGCTGATGACTGAACCTGATTAGCGGACAAACCTGGGATCGTTCCGGTGTACTGTCCATCTCGACTGTTACTGTGTAAATGTTCTGATGTGGCGGAGGAAAGCAGGTGTACCGAATTACAAAGTCCGAAAGATTCCCCTCACCTCAATGTCTCGACGATAATGACGAAAGCCAGTCAAACAAATGAGAAGAGCAGCAACTATATGCTAAGGAGACGATGAAGTTTTAAGAAGTAACATTGCAAGATGGAGAATTGCAGCATCTCCACCAGGCTGTACTAATGATTGTCATAGTAACGATAGCATCTTCGAGATTCTTCCCTACAGCCGAGGCGAAACAATGCGAACAAGGAGATCTGATTCAGATGGCTCACACTGCATCACAACACCTTGAGGACATGTGGAGGAAGCAAGCTGATTACCTCTTCTTAAGAAGGCTCGATTTGCTCCCCCAGCTAAGCCGCAGGTCAAGGCGGCAGGTAGCCGCAGGTTTTACATTCGTACGACAGATACCACTGTCATCGTGGCTGGAAATGGCTTGCCATTGAATTATTGCGAAATGCCTGTGTTATCTAGCGTCTCTCGAATCCGCAATAGTTGCAAGCTTCCAAGAGTCAGCGACGGCAGGAAGGCTGTGTTTGTGTTGAAGAAGAGCGTGGACAAATGAGTCACTGGGTTCTTTTGATAATCTGGTGGCAGTAAGCAGATTTCTGCTACGCCCGCTCATTCATTTCGGAGGGGAAGGATTGGAGAGGCTCATCTCCCAGAGGATGGTAGAGAAGGATGGAGAATATGATGTTGGAGATACACTTTGCCGCGCTTAGCGCGTAGGATGAGCGACGAGGCTATGAGTGAGGGGAGCGTCAGCGATCCAAATACCCTTCTCTATTCTCGCTCTTACAACAAACCATCGGGTTCGTACTTCTCTAATACTCAGACCTGCAATGAGGATATTTGACAAGGACCGAAAGCGGCGTTTCAGACCTCCCACGCACCGACACCTCGAACTTGCTGATCAAACAAATCTGACAGGACGCTTGTGGTGCTTGTGACAAGCAGGGGTCCCGTCCTCGAGAGAAAGCTGTTACGTCTGATCTTTGGGTGAATCTTTTGTGTTAAAGATGAACGTAGGTTGATCGCATGTATGTACCGGCAAGGAAATGATTTCATGCAGATTCAGTATTGATTTCCATAAAACCCTGTCGCGTGCTTTTACTATAGGCTAGAGTGCGGAGATGCTCATTCTAATTTCAAAGGCCGATCGTGACTGAAGAAGCCCTCCGACCCCTGAAAGAAATAAGCAAGGCGACACCTTCTGCAATGCGTTGACAGGGTAGTATGCACGCTGAACAATCCAATACACCCTTTTCCATGACACCCACACACATGCGATTGACTATATAACGATAGCAAAGGCGACCAAAATTCTGCGATACAGGCCTCACAGAACTTTCATGATCCATCATGACCATCCATACCGCAGTCGTCACTGCCACTCCTCGCGCACCGCGAGAGATCTGGCAACTCCCTTCCACACCAAAGGATAGTGAGGTGCTGATTTAAGGCGAATGGACGGCTTCCATGCCTCTCGACCTCCACCAAACAACAGCCACATCCTCGTTGCACCACGCCAGATCCTAGGTCACGGTGTCGCTGGCACCGTTATCCAAATCGGCGTCACCACTACCCATCGGAAGTAAACGATGAAACTTTCAGCTTTGTCAATCAGAAATTTGCGGAGAGAGCGCATCAAGGAATCGTGTGCGTGCCCGAGAATCTACTTTGCCCTCTCTCACTGACGTGCTCACGAAGTGAGAAGCCGTGATTATGCCCAATGAACTCGTGACGATCGTAATAAGTCTCACAATAAGATCGCCAACCATGTTTTCATCAAGAGCAAGTTTTACAATGCTTTCCTCAACGTTGTTTTTCTCCTTGGAGCCTGGTTTCACGCCGAACGAGGCCGCTTTGTTCTGCGCTCCAAGCTCAGAACAGGCGAGACAGGTCCTTGATCTGGTTCGGTAAGATCAAAGACTACGGCAGAAGAAGCCATGAAATATGCTCTGTAGTCTCAGCCACCATCTGACGAAGTGCACAGTCTTTGACTAACGTTCGTTATCGCTCATAGTCTCGCAGAGCAGCGCCAACACACAAACGCATCAAAAAGATCAAGCCCACCATTTCTTGGTATACAAGCCTAGGCAGTCCTATGATGCTGCTTTGTGGTACCCTTCAATGTTCCCTGAAGAGCTTGCGATCACCATTGAATTTTCGCGGGACAAGGCTTAGTATAGTGACGCGTTTGGTGAACAAAGCTATCCAGATTATCAATCCTGAGTCTCAAACTAGTCCATTGGTCAAAGATTCCCTCAAGGTGCATTGCTGAAAGGTCGCCGCATCCGGAGGAAAAACAAAAAGATTTCACAGCGTTGTCTCTGGCGTTCAACGCTTCCCTCAAAGATCCCAACCTCCAACAAAGCGTTCGGCACACGGAAATCGGATACAAAGCCTGCCTCCGCGTGCGTCTTCTCGACAACCCCCGAATCAAAAAGGCGACGCAACCAGCAGTCGAAAAAGCATGTTCCACCAACTCGTCGTACTCGCAACCCACCCCTTCGCAAAACTCACATCCAGAACACCAACGCCAACGCCAACCCCAGCCCCATCCTCACCCATCACCATGAAGGCCACCGCATCCCAAGAGCTCAAGAGAGTCAGCCCGCGCACCAACAAGGGCATCTTCACCTCTACCAAGCTAGACCAGGAGCAAACCCCCCTGCCAAGAAAGAGCAGCAAGAGCAAGAGCCAGGGCAAGGCCGGCAAGAAGGCCCCACCGACCAAGACCGCCCCCAAAGCCATCCAGAAAGCCACGGCCCCCAAGAACGCGGCCCCTTCACCCCCTCCCCACCGCAGCAGAGCAGCCCGCGCGGCCGACCGCGCCGCGCCCGCTCGCGCCGCCGCTGTCCGCAAGTCCGTCAAGCTGTAGGAAGCTCCGAGCCTGGGACCCTGCGCTCGAGATCGGTTGACCGGTCCGAGGCAGCGCGGGGTCTAGGCCGTCGTCGGCCGGTTCCGACGAGGGGGATGCGCGGGAGTCCGACTGGCGTTCTGGAACGCTTGGGATGGTGGAGATTCGAGCTGGGAGGTGGGCCAGGGGATGGGGGGAGGCTCGGGATCCTAGGACGGTGGTGGATGGGTATGTGGGATTATTTCCCGCGGTGGTGGTAATATGGGACTTTCGTTGATGGCGGGAGGATTCGGCTACTGGAGTTTGGCGTTTGTTCTGTACTTGTCGATTATTAATAGAGATTAATGCTCTCCGCTGGTTCGGAGCTTGGACTCCGATGCCTCGCGCAAATTTCAAGTATCTCGTTGCTCCGTCAAGAACGATCATCTGAGGGTTCTCACGTCTTCATCAGCAATGCATGTGGCTGAGAATCTTTTCATCTATGTAACATGAGCCATCCATGAGCATCTACCTCATTTATGAATTGGAATTTTTCCAACTAGACCATCCACAGCCCTTGGCCTGTCCCTCATCAATGGAAAAGGAGACCTCGGATTATCTGAGACATTGACAGCCATTGAAGTATCTTCCTCCTTAATTACCCGTCAGCTTGTAAAGCTGCAGACGAAATCTTGACTTCACCGCTCGCACCAATCAGCATTAAAGAATTACTGCTCCCTTTTGTGCTCTCTGATAAGAGCTAACACCATGAGCCGTTGCATCGTCAAGTCATAACCCTAGCTCCGAAACCTCGCTTTTATTTTAGTTGAATGCATGTATGTACTGACCGAATTATTTCCTCGAGCATCGCTAACAGCTTCTATACGTCAAGGATGACCATGAGGCATACCATCGTCCTCATAGCGAGAGCCCGGCTTCGAACTTCCCTGTGCTGTCCGTCCACGTGTATTCCCTCCACTTCTCTCATCCTCGGATTGGCTAGCGCTCTCATCGCCTCTGGCTTCCTTGCGGAGTTTCTCTGCTCTATCGGCAAGGTCTTGGGCTTCCTCGGCGACTCTCTGCGCACGAATTTGCTTGCGCCACATACTCGCGTATCGCCCATCAACCTTCAGGAGGTCAGAGTGTGTACCACTCTCAGCGACCTTGCCCGCGTGGAGGACCATGATTTGATCTGCGGTGGTAATGGTTGAGAGGCGATGAGCAATTACGAGTGTAGTACGGCCTTGAGAAAGCTTGTCTAACGCAGTCTGAATGTTCTGTTCGGTCTCGGTGTCGAGAGCAGCGGTTGCTTCGTCAAGGAGAATAATACGTGGATTCTTGAGTATGGTCCTGGCGATGGCAACGCGTTGTTTCTCGCCCCCAGACAGCTTGAGTCCGCGTTCTCCGACACGGGAATCGTAGCCATCAGGAAAGTTCAAGATCTTTTCATGAATGCTCGCCGCACGACAGGCCTCGAAGACCTCTTCATCTGTAGCATTGACGTTCGCATACTTGAGGTTGTACATGAGGCTTTCGTTGAAGAGCACAGTATCCTGTGGTACAACACCAATGTGACGTCGCAAAGAATCGATCGTAATATCTTTGACATCATGCCCATCGACTTGGATGCTTCCTCCACCAAGGTTGTAGAAGCGGTAGAGCAAACGGAACACTGTTGATTTGCCCCCTCCTGACTCTCCCACTAGTGCTGTAGTAGTGCCTGGAGCGCATCGGAAGCTCAGCCCTTTCAATGCAGGCTTCCGAGGATCGTACGCAAAGTTGACATCATTGTAGCGGATTTCCCCTTGGCAGCTCGGCAATTCTTCTGCAGTAGGCTCGTCTATGACGGTAGGACGCTCTTTGAAGAGCTCAAGCATACGCTCAGCATTGATCATCGATTGTTGGATGGAGCGGTAGAATGTGCCCAGAAAGTTCAGTGGTGCTTGGAGTTGGGCCATGTAGGTTAGAACTAAGACGAAGAGGCCCACATTTTGTTGGCCGCTGGTGACTTGATAGGCAGCAATGAAGCAAACGATCATCAAGCCCAAGGTGAACACAACATTCTGAGAGATGTTCATGATGTTGAGTGTAGTTGCAACCTTCCACTGCGCTTGCTGGGTCTTGTTGACGGCGTTACGGTAGCGTTGGAACTCGTAGGATTCTGCATTGAAGTACTTGACGGTTTCGTAAGAGACCATCGAGTCATTCCTTGCAATGAATGTGTTAGAAAATCCAACGATAAATTTCGCCATTAAACTTACTTGACAGCATCCTCTTGGCGATCAAGGTTGACATACTCCCTTCGAAGGTCTGCACGCCATTGTGCCAAACGGATGGTGATGTACAAGTATGCACATGTTACGATCGCCACTACCAGAGCGTAATAGGCATCGACGGCGTAGAGAAAATAGCCGAAAGCGACGGCGAGGTCAACCAGCATCGGCAGCAGCTGGAATGTCACTTGTTCAAGGAACGTGTTGATCGACTGGCCCTTACTCATAGCTGATATTACTTCTCCAGTCTTCTTGCCCAAATGGAAGTCCAAGCTAAGCCCATGGACGTGCTCAAATGACGCAGTCGAGAGCTCACGGTAGGAGTATTGTTCAATAGGTATCCACATCACCGATCGAGCGGCGCCAAGTACTCCACTGCCTCCCTGGAGAAACCTGTAGAAGATGTAAAGACAGATCTGGCCCCAAGGAACACTAGAAGGAGCCCCATTTTCGCCTGCGAGAGTATTGGTAACACGACCTGCCTGTATTGGAACCAATAGATTGACGGCTCTTTGTATCATGACAATCACGAAGCAGACGATAACAATGCCTTGCAGTCGGCGCGACTTCGCAGGCCAGAGGTAAGGGAAGAAAAGAGAGTATCCACGAATGTATTCCCACCAACTCTTCGTCGGTACTTTCGTTGGCCTCACCCAGCCCGGCTCTTCTTCTTTGGCGTGGTCTGGATGAATGCTACCGTAAGTTTGACCATTGACTGTGCCATATTCTGCCTGATGACCATTGAGAAGACCGGTTGTCTCGGGCAGATTTCCGTTTGCTGCATGACGCTTCTCTCTCAGCTTTGCCCATCGAAGGGTGACAAAGAGAACGTAAAAGAATATCAGGGCACCAAGGAATAGTATTCGCAAAAGATCGATGAGGACCTCAACAGCTTCATATGTGGTCACCCCTGTCCTGAATTGGCCGTCCCTACCACTACCTGCTTTGGGCTCACGGTGGTCGGAAGTATACAGTGCCAAAGAAGCGCCGAGGAGTATGATTTCTAGGATGGATGCCACGATCCATGTAGAGAGATGAGCACCCGTTGGAGCCGGCTTTGTGTCGACAATCGATATCAAGAGAAGAGAGTATGCAAAGAATGAGGCAACTACATAGATCTGGAGGCCGCACATCAGTCAAGGTCCACCGGTGAAGCAGGAGTATAATCTCACATACCACAACGGCTTGGCCGCACCACCAATTATCTTTCCTGTCCAACAGTGCATGCACAATCACGGTTACGGCATTCCCGAGGAAGGTGAGCACGACACCAGCGGAGAGCCAGGTGAAAAGTAGCTTTCGAGATGGACTGAAGTCCAGTGCCTTCTTCTCCCGCGCGGCTTTAGCAGTCGGTGAGCTGTTCCGCGGTAACGGCTTGCCCCCCGGTCCAGTCTGGCCCGTTTCCGGTTGGACGACATCCTCCTTGGAAGCGGTTAAGATGCTGTGAGCGGTGAAAGCGACGAGGAAGAAGACAAGGAGAATGATAGGAGAAGCATAATGGGTATAGACCATGATCTCTTGAGCCATGGTGATAATGGTTGTTGAAGAGGTCATGCTGGGTAACGAAAGACTTGAAGGCACCTGAACGCCAGGACCGGTAAAGAGTAAGAGATATTAAGTAGAGGCCATGATGATATGCTGCTGAATTGGGATATGAGAGGGAAGGGGAAGGGAGGAAGGGGAAGGGGAAGAGGGATGGGCGTGGCGAAAAGGAAAAGTGTGATAGTCGCGTGAGGTCTTTGTGAGGAGCTGCTGCATATATTAAAACATGTTCATCCGAGATGCTTATTTATTAGAAGTTAAGGTAAGGAAGATTTAGATCCTTCCCGCTGAAGAGTGGCCCAAGAGGCTAATACTGTAAGACTCAAGAGTAGTCTATCAATTTAAACGTTGTGAGGCGTAAACAAGCCTGCAGAAGCACTGCAGAATGCCTGTAACACCTGCTTAGAGTCAAAAGTCCCTGGTCCCCGGTTGCCGGTAGATTAGGTGCTCTGCCAATGATCGCTTAGGCAGCTTAGGCAGGGGCCTTAATGCTGCCTTTAGGGTCGCCGTACGAGCACAACCCGCTCGTCGGCTGCCCAGAAGGAGCCAAGGCCCAACGCCTAAACCGTCAGCCAACATGCCGCCAAGCCCGTTTTCGAGATCAATCTACTGCACCACTCTGCACCACAATGCACCGGGAGCTGTGAAAGGCGTCGTCTGGACCTCTCAGCTTCTTCAACGTCGTCGTCGAACCGTTGCATTCTCTAGACTGTATGCAAGCCTCGTTATCTCAAATGAGTGAAAGAATCCTGTCCTATACGTGCTCGCTGACCGCTCCTTTAGATGGTGGGGCCTTCGGGCTGTCCCAATCATCATCGAGTACAGAGCAGGCTCAGCGTGATACTCAATGTCCAAAAATCCGCTCCAAGATGAAAAATCCCCGTCACCTCCATCGCCGCCACCCCTTCCCCCGCAGCGATATGGATTCGCAGCGAATACTCTTGCACGCCTCGCACATCCCTTCCGCTATGGCCCTCGACCCTCGACAGCCGTGGAATACCTACGGAGTACGGACTCCCAACCATCCCGGTTGAGTGGGCAGACAAGCACAAGGTGGGAAGCCCCGTCGCTTTTGCGTTCGTTGTTCCAAACCCCCAAGGTCCCCCAGGTCCCCCAAGGACATCAAGAATCTCCCACTAACGATCCTCGTAGCCCAACATCAGAAAGAAAAACACAACATAAGACAGGCATTCCAATCGCCGCTCTTGACATCTCCCCGGGTCGAACACATGCTGTCTTGGCAGGGCGGGACATTCTCAAAACCATCCAGGTCGAGGATTTCACCTGTGCAGAAGACTTCAACCTTCGAACCAATATAATCGCTTACGCAACGACCCACGAGACCTCCGCAGGTGCAATATCTGCAAGACACAGAGATCGATTGGCAGCACAGGATGTAAAATGGTCCCACGGGAATTTCGGCACCACCATCGCTACGGCTGCTGCCAATGGAAATATCGTGGTCTATGACATCAGCCGGCCAGGTGTGGAGATTGCTCGTCTACACGAGCACAGTAGACAAGTGCATAGGTTAGGCTTTAATCCGCACGCACCCCAGCTCATGCTCTCTGGGAGCCAAGACTCGACTGTGCGCTTATGGGATTTACGGAAACTTGCTGGAGAAAGAAGTGTAATGACTTGCCAGAGTCTCAATAAATTTTCAGGAAACAGCGATGGTATACGTGATTTGAGATGGTCCCCCACAAATGGGGTGGAATTTGCCATTGGGACCGATAATGGTACTATCCAGCGTTGGGACATCCGCAGGGACAATGCTCCGCTCCTCAAAATAAACGCCCATGAAAAAACCTGCAATGCAATTGACTGGCACCCGGATGGAAAGCATATTGCAAGTGGAGGAGCAGACAAAAATATAAAGGTCTGGGACTTTTCCTCGTCAGACCGTAGAATGAAACACCTATGGCAGATTCGTGCTCCTCAAGCCGTCGTCAATGTCCGTTGGAGGCCAGCTTGTTGGTCTTCCGATAAAGAAGAGCCTGCCCAGTGGCAATGCACACAAATAGCAACATCATATGATCAACAGGAAACAAAGATACATATCTGGGACTTCCGGCGGCCATATATACCTTTTCGCGAAGTGAATCGTTATGATACCCCTGCAACTGCGCTTCTTTGGAAATCGGAGAGCTTGCTTTGGTCTGTGGGATCAGCTGGCATGTTCACACAAACAGACATTAATTTTGCAACAAAGACATCCGATAGACGAAGTTCAAACACTGTTGATATCGCTCCAGATGGCCGGGTCTTGTTTTTCCTGCAGAAAAGGGAGCGAAGGCGAGCATCAATAAAGGATATGCTTGACGACTTTAATCAACGGGATCAACGACGAAGTAGTGGAAGCGAGAAGGTCCCCAGCAACCACGGCACAACGCACGGTAGCTCAGAGGAACCAACTTTACTCAGCTCATCGTTCAAGAACCGGCAACGTAAGCATCCAGGCCCCTCGAGGTCAATGAAATCGTTAGCAGGTACGCCCCCATCTGCGGGCTCTGGTGGACCAATTCAGAAATTGGACATAAGCCTACACGAAAAGGAGATGTCTCACTCAGCCCAAGCAGCTGGCATTGGGCGGATTGAAGGTCTCTCTTATCACGATACGTTCAAGGTCTATGCACGCGAATATCACATTCCACCACCACCACCGACCGACGATTCAAGATGCAATAGACATCACGAACTTGCTTATGCTTTACGCTCCAACGGGGAGATTGCTGCACAAGTAGGCGAGTATCAACTTTCTGGAACCTGGAACGTGGTGGCGAAAGCAACGGAAAGCGAACTGGGCGAGAGAGCAGATGAAAACCGCCGGAAGCGTCTCAATGCGGCATCGCTTTCAAGTTCGATGAAGCGAGCGTCTTTCCAGTCGACGAGTAACAATGACGGCTACACGAACGAAGACCAGGAGAGTCAGATGTCGATTTCGATTGAAGGAAAGCTGCGATCGAGAAACAAGGCCTCCACAGCTCTTGATGATGCCTCCAATATGACCACGCCTCTCGCCAGACCACAACCCGATGCTCTACCTGGGTCGAACTTTTCGGCGAATGTCGAGTCTCTTCAGCTTTCTGATGCCTTATGGAGCAAGCAGCCCTTGAGACCAGTCACGGGCGTATCACAGCTGGCGAAGATGACCAGCCCTGAAAATCACGCCGTAGGCAAGGACAGCGGCCTAGAGAGATCTGGAGGGGCAACAGCTCTTTGTGAACCTGAGAACGAGCGTCTATCAAAGACTTACCAAACATCTCCAAGGGCTGATTTTGGCGAAATTGACCGGCAAATGACCGAACGTCGCGCTGCCATGGAGAATTATAGGGCGATACCCCGTCCATTACTCAGACTTGATGATCCGTTCCAGATGAACGGGCCGGGCTCAGGCGCTAGTATTAATCGCCACGACTCGAACGAAAGCTTTCAGCTGTTTTCGGCTTCAACTGACAGTTCGAACCGTGCTCAATCAACCATGGGGTCTTTTGAAAGCAATCCAGGATCCGAGAAGGCCTCATCTACTCCTGAACGTTTGAATGCTCCCAAGGACCGAGTCTATCAAGATAGCCCAAGTCACGAGGAAAGTGCATTGGTGTTCGAGGATGAAACAAGCCTACGCTCTCCAGCATCTTCTCCAGCCTCTCCACACCATTCCAAGAACCCACCCGTGCAGCACTTTCCGCCTGCTACACTGATATCGAGCTACCGCCCTAGCAATACAGCCGCATTGGTCCATCACGAAGACATGGAGACCAATGGCCTTGGCCAGTGGGCCCTTGACCCTCCCACAACAAAGGTGTTGCTAAATAAACCTGATTACTATATCCTTTCGGATTTCGATCGTCCCAAGCAGAGGTCGCCCATTCCACATCCATGGACAGCAACAGCCATATTCGAGGAGATCATCGATTATTACACCCTTAGACTGCACAATGCACAATTTCCTGCTTATCTTGTACTTCACCTTGCACCATATCTAAATCATTCTATTCCTTTCGAACGCTGCAACTTGATCCTACTACAATATCATGAGCAACTTGTCACCCATCAGCTCTTCGTCGAAGCTGACGCGCTCCTCAACCTCTGCGATCCCGACTATCCAGACGTCGTGGACAAGGGTTTCTACCACATCGCTTCAGGCGGGCCATGGTGTACCGTCTGTCAAAAGCCAAACAAAGGTGGAATCCCGAATTATTGCGAGCGCTGCCAACAACATTGGGCTGAATGTCCCATCTGCTTTGGGGAAGGTCTTGGATCGTCCAGACGGCATACGCAGGAACCTGCGGATTGTGGTAAACCGCAAAAGAAAGATGCATCGTGGGGATGGTGCCAGGAGTGTGGGCACGGCGGGCATGCGGACTGTCTACGGGTTTGGTGGGGCGATCCAATGAGTGAGGGTGCCTGTCCAACTATAGGGTGCCTGTGTGACTGTGTGCCAGGAACACGGAGAGACGTAATCGTGGAGAAAAAGGAACGGGGCAGGAAGGCAGAGAGTGTGAGCAAAGATGAGCGTTATGCAGCTGAGAGTGGAGCTGTCCGAGGGGCTAGAGCCATGGTTGGCGGAAGCTCTAGGGGCAAGAGACCAGGGACAATGGGTTTGGGAGCCGCGGGAAGGAGTATGAGTGGTGGTAAGAAGGTCAGAATCGTGGTTCCAGAGGAGGAGGGAAAGGCTGCTTCTGGGAGCCCTGGGGCTTCTGGCAAGACGAGTGCTTCGGTGCCTTGATAGGGGCATAGGCGAGTTCATGGGGGTTCTCGCCAAGGTATGGGCATTCTTATGGCGTTCGATACCCAGGATAAATGAGAAATTTGAAAGCATGGACCCGAGGATCTTGATTCTTTCTCCATGCGTTGATGCTTACAGGCCCACATCCTTCAGCCCACCCCATAATCAACACCATATCAAATCCCTTGCTTAGCAAGTACCAACATATTGATCAAATTGACCACCAAAATCCACTTCCCCTCTCTACAGTCACCGTTGTCCTGGGCGAAGAACCAGAAAGTAAGAGATCTTCTATTCTTACTTTCCAGAGAACAGCAGTCGTCTTTGTTTCTCAAGGTGTCTCATAATATTGACTTTGTCATAGAAAGGTAAATAAATGCCAACTCAAATATGTTTTCATCAGCCAGTTCCATTCCTAATCGCCGTCTCGCTTTCGAGCCGACATTTTTGCGTCTGCAACCCAAACCTCTGCTATCGAACCGGACTTATACTTGCACCTTTCTAGGATGATGGCCAGGCACAGATACCCTCAGCTTCACATTGAGGCACGATGGGCCAATCCGTACACCCAGCTTGAATTGCTAAAATCCGAGTCAGACACTGACCCACACCATCCATTCGAACAGACGTGGGCGTGAGAATGAAAAGATGACAGCGCCTACTCACCGGCAGCGTAAAACGCATAATTACTCGCAGTCACCAGACTCTCCGTCGCGTTCAGCTCAATGGCAGCCTGCACACCATCCACCTCCTGCACGACACTGTTGCCGTAATCCAACGACTCGGGCACATAGACGTGCGCCAGCATGTGCACGACCGAGCCGTACATGCTCCGGATCAGCGCCTCGTCGTCCGGACTGGCCCTGTTGCGGACGACGCGTGGGCAGCTGGCCCGCGTGAGCCCGGCGGGGAGGGCCCAGAAGGAGGGGCAGATGAAGACGATCTCCGTCGCGCCCCACGTCATCAGGGTTGCGGATATCGTCCCCGTGTTTCGGGCGAGGCATTCGGCGTAGAGGTGCGCTGTGAAGGCGTCTCCTTCTTCCATGCAGGCGAAGGTTGGGGACGCCGTCGGTGATCCCAGGCGCGTGGCTCGGTCGGCGGATACGGGGACGGGGTCGCCGGCGGAGATTTTGTGGAAAAGGTCCGTCACGGCCGCTTGGTTGGTGTCGGTTTTGAAGAAGGCGGTGTAGCCGTGCTGGGATGTGGTGCCTTTCTTGACGTCTTGGATTGCTACCTGGAGATTCTGCCAGATCAGGGGGAGGAGAGCTTGGAGCTTGGCGGCTTTGGAGTCGGTCTGGCCGGCGCCGCAGAGGAGGATTTGGTACCTGCCGCTTATTGTTGCGTCGTCGGTTCCGTAGTACTGGAGGAGGAGGCGGGAGGTTGTGATGTTCGTTGCAAGGACAGGTTCGGTTGCGTTCGTGGCGTTTGTGTCAACTATGACCTGTGCAAGGACTTGATGGCCGGTGGCTAGAATACACCAACACCTCCAAAACGGGAAAAGCATTGTGAGGGTGTGGAAAAGTTGGCAACAAAGGAGACACGTAGAACCGGGAGGCAGCGACTTCGTGAATGTCGGCTATCGCCAGTCGCGTGTATTCAGAAAACCAAGGAAAGGTGGGACTGGATGTTCAAGTAATTCGAGCGCGAGACATTAAGAACGGAAAGGAGACTGGATAGCTAACGCAAGTGGTCTAGGCCTCGGTTGCTTGAAGCTGCGGAATTTGGATAAGGTATCTAATCACTCCTCTCCACGGTTTGAGTATACAAAAAAGCGTCCATTCTCGAAAGGGTATTCACCGCACGGACACCGCCAGCACCAACTTGTCGATGAAGGAAGAAGTGGCTTCACTTCTTAGCAGAAGTCTTGGCCTTCTTCGCTGGTGCCTTTTTCTTCTCCTTCTTCTCTTCCTCCTCACCGTCGTCGTCGTCGTCCTCCGGCGCGCTACGCTTGGTGCCAGCAGTGGCGGCAACGCGAGAGCTCTTCCTTGTTCCCTCTGCAGGTGGCTTCTTCTCTTTCTTGGGAGCTTTGGCCTTTGGCTCAGCTTTCTTGGTGCCGGTTGCCTTCTTGCCACTGTTGGCCTTTGGCTTCTCTTTCTCCTTCTCCTCGCTCTTCTCTTCGCCATTCTCCTTCACTTCGGCATCTTTCTTCGCGTCGGATTTGGGGGTCGGAGCGCCTTTGGTTGGCTCGTTCTTGGATCCTGCTTCATTCTCGTAGCCGCCGCCGCGCTTTTCGTACTCTTCAGAGATTTTGCCAGCCTGTGATTGACAGACGCGTCAGTTACTTGGACTCCAATAGATGCTGCGCTGCACGGATAGAAGATAGTGGCACATGGTGGTACGCGATGCAGCGGCGCAGGATAGAGCTTCGAAGCGAGAACTGACCTTCCATCCAGCCATGTGACCCTTTCCACCTCCATCCTTGTTTGGCATCTGCTTGACATCTACAGATAATGGTGCGTTAGCTGGACAGGAGAGTGTAACACTGTAATTTCTGGGCGCATAGTAAGGTGTATTTACATACCTTCCTTGGCCTCCTCGCGAAGCTTAGGGTCTGTAGGCTTTCCCTTTGATGAAACCATGGCGACGAATTCGAATTGGTTGCGTAGGAGCTTGTTGGTAGATTTTGGAAATTGTTGTGAGGTTGTTAAAAGCGCGTCGCAGCGAGATGCATGACGACGGCCGGCAAAGGTAGATCTCTTGCTGGAACCGCGCTAGTAAACGAGTCCATAGATGGTAAGAGCCGGAGTTCATCCACTATAAATACCGGTTCCATGTAATGATGCAGATACTGTTGTAGCAACTAATGCAGGAAAAATGCAAAGATGCTGAGGTCCACTCCTCTCAAACACAGCATCTTAAGCTCCGAAAATTCCAGTGCTTGAAAGATGATTCTCTGCTGGCGGAATAAGCTCCGTAGACAGTTCTGGATGATCAAAGCGTGTCCAGTATTACTGAGTATTGCTCACTTCAAGCTCTTGACTCTCGCCATTTCCGGACCTTCGACGCTGATGATCTCGATCCCAGCCTCCCTCATCTCCTTTGTGGCTTTGCCCCACCCATTCTCGCCAGCATCCACACTTCTCGTGGCTTCCTTGACCACATAGACCTCGAATCCCTCTTTCTTTGCATCAAGAGCCGTACATTTGACACAATAATCTCCTGCCAAGCCCACGGCGAAGACCGTTGTTATTCCAGCGCAGTGAAGCAATCCGGCAAGATCTTGCGAGGCTGCCTCCGGTGATTTGCTTCCGAAAATATCCGCAAAACCAGAGAACATCTCTAACCCGCTATCCTTCCCCTTCTCAACCACTTCATCCAACTTTGATACGTCTATCTCTGGAATGATCTCGGCTCCCTTCGTACCTTGAACACAATGCACCGGCCAAAGCGGTATCTCGTGAAATTGGGTCCTGTCTGAGGGATTGGAGATCTTGACAGCAGACTCGAAGGCTTTGTTGTTTGGGGGGGGATGGGATATTGCAAAGGAGACGTGGCCTTGAGGATGTGCGTCCTTCGTCGCTATCTTCAGGGCAAACGGCAGAGAGAGGAGGCTGTTGATTGTCGGTGCTATGTCCCGTCCACTTTCCACTGCTAACGATCCACTCTGCCAAAATGCTTAGCTCCTGCTGAATATCATCGACTTGTACATGGTGGGAACACCTACAGGCCCGCAAAAGTCTTCCTGCATGTCCACCACCAGCAAAGCTGGCTTGAAGTACTCTCTAGATGTCGGCGCTGCCATATTCTTCAGAGCTCAACGACGTGGAGCCACCATCTGCTATCCGTACCGTCATTCATGGCGGATCGTGCACGCTCAATGAAGGATGCTGAAAACCCACCTCAGCTTTCTCCGCATTTCAATTGCGGGATGGGTAATCTTCGGCAGAAAGGGCCCGAGAGGAGTGAAGCGTAGGGAATTGTTTGAGTCTTGACAATATCAGCATGATTATAAAGGCTCATTGTTGACTTAAAAAGGAGATGCTAGACTGCTTCTACACCTCGATTGTCCAGAACTTTGCTCTAATACCTACGGATGTACACAATCTGGAGAAGCCAGTACCCAAGACTACCACTTTCTGACAGCTTGGGTCCTGTTACTAAGAGTTTCAGACGATTCGTATGTAAGCCGACTCTCGTGCCAAGAATTCGTGTGCACTATCAGGCTTTTGTGGCCTCAAGTGCAAGTCTCTTGGGCGCCGCTACAGAGAACCTTGGCTCTCCATCTGCCTTCCAGAGCGCATATTCCTCCCCTCGCTTCTCCTCGAGATGCACGATTGGCGCCTTGCCAGCTATGATGTCCTGAAAAAGCTGCTGCACAATTATCAAGATCTCCACGCCGTCCACAGAGGATGTGATATGTCCACAGCCAATCCTGATTGTAGCTTTGCCTGGTTCCTCATTCTTCTCTTCCACGAAGCGGAGTAGCTTCTCCAAAGACTGCATGTAGTGGACCCAATTTCCCTCTTTAGGGAAGATGATAGCCTGTTCATACGAGTTGTCTTTCGCTACTCGCTCATAGAACGAGTCTCCGACATATAGATGGCGCTCTTGCTCGTCGTACCATGCCAGCTCATCTGGCGTGTGGCCCGGAGTATGGAGAATCTGCAGATGGAGTGGTTTTCCGTCGAACGAGAGCTTGTCGAGATCGTCCGCCCAATATGAAACAGTGTACTCAGGAGTGGGCACGTCAAGAAATTCACAAAGTGAATGCACAGGAAGATTTTTTTCGATGAAATGTCTATCGAACGAGGAAGCAAGGATACTCGTAGAGGCGGTCTGAAAGTGTTTGAGACCAAGAATATGATCGTAATGACAATGTGTACAAATGATAAAATATGTTCTCCGGGCCTCAATGGGGTTCAACGGCTTCCCATCATTAGCCGCGGCTGGACAAGTCTCTATGTACTTCTTTAAGTTGTGATAATGTTCTCGATCCTCGTCACCACCTCCACAGCCGGTATCGGATATTACAACGAGGCGAGGGTCATCATATATCTTGACATAGATAAAGGGGTGCTCTTCATATTTGTCATTTTCGTATACCACAAAGGTGGTAGCGTTCAACCGAGAGCAAGTGAAGTATTGAGAGCGACTAGGATTGGCCGCCATCAAACCTGGGTTCCCAAGACAAAGGCAGTATCAGCTGCCAGTGCTAGCGTCCAGCAAGAGGCAAATGACCTGGCCTCGACCGACTAGAAAGGCTTATCTTGATGGGCAATAACTGTTTGCTTGGAAGAGCTGTGGGCGGCGAAGAACTTGGAATCATGAAATCAGTTTCGACTTGTTTGTGTACTCGAGAGGTGAGTGGTAGCGCTCTCGGCGCCCGCAATTTTTAGCCTGGGGAAGCGCCAAGAGAATTTGAAACGCTGCCGAATCTGAGACACCACGCGACCACGCGACTCAACATTTTCACTGGATAGCGAGCCTCAACAGCTTGCTCCTGAGGACGATGACTTCTTTACTGGTAGCTTCTCCAAACATCTCTTGCACGATCTTGAAACAATAGCTTTGTGCCCGGAACAATTGAATCTAGAAGCCTGTCGAGGTGTTTACGGCTTCTTGCCACTCAGTACGCGCCTTGCCCAATCGATGCAAAACAGTCTCCTTCACCAAGTATAGCAGCGCATGCCTTTGCTATGGGACTTGCTCTCCCAATGGACGCCACGGGTCCTTTCGAAAGGTTTCAAAGTTCCCCGTAATAGACCCACAGTTTGATGGTGTTTAAAACTCGAATCACCATTGGCTGTCATCAAGTCATGTCAAGGCAAGATGCTATTTCACCCCTCGATACATGTGAACAGATGCAGCACTGCATTCTTGCTTCTCCATGCCTCGTCGTGATATTGAACTCATAATTCCCTTTTCACTTCAATTCTCTTTTGTCTTCCTTGACCTTCAGCAGACTTCCATTGTAGGTACTGTAAAACGTGTGAATACTTAGTATTTTCGACAATAGGCCTCGCCTCACGACAATGACTTTCGTTCTTTGATATCCTATTCAGCACGTTGACCGTGCCTATTGTTCATATTTAATTGTTTTCTTCTACCTCTCACTTCTTTTATCATCAGCATCTTTCCACATCTTTCACATACTCTTCCACCAAAACGTAATTCACTAGCATTCTACGATCTCACGTCCTTCAGCCTCACACCGGCCGTGCTTCAGATATCAACCAACGACCTCAGTCCAAAATCCACTCACACATCAGAATGTATTCTTCGGCGGCAGCTGCCCTGGCGGCACTTGTCCTCCTCGTTGCTCCCACCACAGCACACTCATGGGTTGAGGAGATGGATGTCATCGACCCCAAGACAGGACTCTTCACAGGCACCCCAGGCTACTGTCGAAACAACACTAAGAGAACAGCCCCGAATTTCAGCGACCCTCTTATGGTACATATACTCCCGAGTTTAGGGCAACCCGCGATCGAAGAGAGAGACACGATTCCTGCACTGGACACAACTGGAGTTTACCCCAACGACACAATGTGCAAGCGCACCCAGGACGCGCAGTACCAGGCTGATGGCAGTCCACGCCTTCAAGCAGCTCCGGGTGACTTAGTCGCGTTGCGCTATCAGGAGAACGGCCATGTCACTCTCCCGCAAAACCAGCCGGGTAAGCCTTTGAATCGTGGTTTGGTCTACATTTATGGTACTACCCAACCAAAGTTTCCCGAGCGATTCCTTGATGTCTTTGGACAATGGAACGCGGAAGGTAGTGGTGGTGATCGGCGTGGCAAGCTTCTCGCGACTCAACCTTTTGATGATGGCTACTGCTATCAAATCAATGGAGGTAACATCTCAACCCATCGTCAAGCGCAATTTCCTCACACAGCAAACCAGCTCATGGGCACGAATCTATGGTGCCAAAATGATATTGCTCTTCCTACAGATATACCCACTGGGGTGCCCTATGTGCTCTACTGGGTATGGGATTGGCCAACGTCTATGTATGGGGACCCAAATCTGCCCAAAGGCAAGGCTGAGCTTTATACCTCGTGTATGGACGTCGATATAGTCGCCAAGCAGGGAAGTAAGAGACGCGTTAAAGCTCGACAAGCATCGTCACCAGCTTCGTCATCCGCTGCCGACCACCTGAACAGCGCGGCCATTCCAGCATACGTGAGCTCGCTCACCGCTTCCCCAGCGGCAGCGGGAGCAAGCCCAGCTGTATCTGCCCAAGCTTCACCGGCACCTGCGGGAGCAAGCTCTGCTGTATCTGCTCAAGCTTCACCGGCAGACTACAACTCAACGACGAATGCTGGAATGGCTTCCTACATCGAGAACGCAGTATCCGCGGCAATAGTCGCTGAAGCTCCAAAAGTTCCGCTGACAGTCACTGTGGATATTGTCGAATCCACCGTCTCGCCAATGACTGCCGGAGCTGCAGCGGCGACTCAGCCAGCCGCGGCTCCAGCATCCGCTCCAGGCGCGTCGCCAGCTTATGTAGCACCAGCAGCAAATCAAGCCGCATCCCCAGCCGCGGCTCCAGCATCAACTCCGGCCGCGTCGCCGGCATCTATCTCCCCAGCAGCGACTCAGCCTGCATCCCCAGCCCCTGCATCGGCTCCACCAACCGCTACCATTTCGACGCCAGCTCAAGCACCAGCAGCGGCGCCTTCATCGATGCCACCCAAATCACTGGACATAAACCCACCCATACTATCAGCCTCGCCTTCGACTCCCACAAGCGCCTCAACGCCAGGCTTCTCGGGTACCGCTACCCCTGTGGTTGCATCTCCAGCAGTTGCAGCGACTTCGGTCGTCGCAGCCAATATCGCGTCTGGCGCAGCTACGAACTCGAGCAGCCCAGTCATGGCGTCTGGAGCGTCTCAGAATGGAACGACGGCTGCGAAGGGTCAGCGCGGATGTACCGCGACGACTTGCAAGTCAAAGAGGCAATCGAAGATTTTCGGCAACAAGAGTGGTGGTCAGCGCCTCTGAGCAAATTGGGCCCATAGCTTGCAGGGGTTGGAGGTTTGCTTTGCATTTCGTCTCTCGCGAGCAGCCTGCAGGGGTTGAAGGTCTGCTTTGCATTTCGTCTCTAGCGAGCAGCGTGTCGACAATATATCATTTCGGAGCGAAATAAACGGTGATTTTGAATAAAAATATGTTAAGCCTACTTTAGTGTCTGCGCTTTGTTTGGGGGTGGTTCCCGTTTTTTTTCCCCCCCGGAGCGCCCTTGGCCTTGGCGGGGGTGACACGCTTAGTCATTGAAAAAAAGGTCAGAGGGTCGGGGGTTCGAGGACGCTTGGATCCCCCATCAAAAATCAGAAACTTTGTTTTTTCAGAGGGTCGCTCGGGTAATAAGTCCCCCGAAGGGGGCCCCAAAAAAAATTTTTTTTGGGGGGGGCCCCCTTTTTAAAAGGGAATTTTTCGGGCAAAACAGCCCTATTCCAACGAGGACATTTCGGGCAGAAAGCCCCAAAAGCCCAACAGACGCCCGGGAAAGAAATCCCGAGGCTGGCCAAAACAGGCCTGAATTTGATTTGTGTGCGCTAAGGCGGGGTCACAGGCCCGGAATACAGCCCCATTCCCACATTGTACCGGTGCGAAGGCGGGCCAAAGGCCTTTCACTTGGTAGCCCCGTGGGCAAAGGCCCCAGAGGCAATTTCAAGCCCCGCAAATGAGCGGGCATTTAGAAGTCTTCGGGGGAGTAAACCCCGGAGCACAGGGCATGTTGTCCTTAAAAATCGTGGATCTTTCGGGGAAGAGTCCCCGGGACGTCGCGATTTTTGCACT